ATAAGCCTCCTATTCTATCCGGTAGAGTTCTACCGAAGGTTATTAACCTTAGAGATCTTAAGTTACCGCCTACCCCTACGCCGGTATCTTTATAGCAGGCTTAAGGTTCTAGACTTAATGTAAATAGTTATACGTCGACTATAACTACTACCGCGCCGAATGCTCTAGCCGTATCCTCTACGCCTTAAGAGAATACTTAAGAGAATGCTTAAGAGAATGCTTAAGAGAATGCTTAAGAGAATACTTAAGAGAATGCTTAAGAGAATGCTTAAGAGAATGCTTAAGAGAATGCTTAAGAGAATGCTTAAGAGAATGCTTAAGAGAATCCTTAAGAGAATGCTTAAGAGAATCCTTAAGAGAATCCTTAAGAGAATGCTTAATAGAATCCTAAAGAGAATGCTTAACAGAATCCTAAAGAGAATGCTTAAGAGAATCCTTAAGAGAATTCTTAAGAGAATGCTTAATGTTCTAGACTTAAGGAAAATAGTTAAGGGTCGACTGCAAACACTACCGCATCGAATACTTTAGCCGTACCCTCTATATCTTAAAAGAATGCTTAAAGTTCTAGACTTAAGGAAAATAGTTAAGAGTCGACTATAGACACTACCGCGCCGGGAGCTCTACCCGGGATCTTCGCTCCTCGAGAAAGTTATCTAAATATATAGATTAAGTAAAGGTCTTAATAATAGTCTAACGAGAAACGGAAGAGGGTTAGATAGCGGTAAACGTATACGAGATCGTTATACTCGTACTAGGCCGCTCGATTCTAATACTAACTCGGAGCCTATAAGGAATAGCAGGACTACTAGACGCGCTCGGTCTAGGGTTAATGTAGATACGGGCAATCCGGAGCCGGACGACCTAGAGGAGTAGGCAGAGGCGACCCCTTATATTCTAAGTTAGACCTATAAAGAGCTCCTCGACTGTATTAAGCAAACCTAGGCAGGGGATCTTAACTAGAGTTATACTACCGAGTTAGAGTAGATAAAGGGACCGTATATTAAACACATCTGCCTATACCTACAACTAGTACCGTATCTTTTCGCATATCTGTATATACGTATTCCCCTACCGGGCTTTAAGGTAAAGCTATGCGCCTAGTATATGCCTAAAGCTACTTAGCTTGTATTCTGCCGACCGTAGTATACTCGAGAAGCCTAGGGAATCTTAGGCGATATTATAGGTCTCGGCAAGACTATAGAGCAACTTATAGTCTTCGTTTTCGATAGGCAGATTGCCGATATACTTAAAGACTACGATTGGAAGAAAATAATAGAGAGGCATACCTTCTATAGGGTACGGAAAATTCGGAATGCCTATCTACGAATAAGTTCTCTATCCCCTACAGATATAAGCAGCGCGACCTATAGCGTAGTTTTAGGCTTCGTAGAGGCATTATAGCTCTGTGCCTAACTGTCGTATTAAAACCCGACGCTATAGGGAAATTCCTTACTTATACGAACTTCGAGGAGCTAGGTATTAGACTCTACGGCTTCGGCCCGCCTAATATAGATAATACGAAAGAGGAAATGGATAGTGTTAAGCTCTTTAAAAGGCAGACGTAATAGGCTTTAGGGCTAATCGCGTCCGTACTCCTAAGGTAGATAAGTACCCGAAAGGAATTAGCTAGCCGGGCTCTACGTAAAATCTAATCATTACTAAGGCGCCCCTCGGTCTATATAAGAAGCTCGTATTCGTGCTAAAGGGTAGTTTCTACATATCCTACGAGAACTAGAATTTCTCTATTACGACTATATAGCTTAGGAGGACCTAAGAGGGTAGGCCTTACGTAAATAGCTCGACTAATTCGAAAACCGCGACCTATAACACTCTTCTAGTTAGAGCTATCGTAGTAGACGAGGCTAACGAGGAATTTGGAATGTATATAAACAGTATAAGTACGCTTTATAAGCTAAGCGGGAACTATAACACGAAATGTATAGTGTATTTCGTAATAGGTACCCTAATCGCTAGAACGTAGAGGCTAATAGTTGAACAGTTTAGAGTCTTCGACATCTTAGGTCGTTATAGCAATAAGGAGAGTCTAAGATTCCTACCTAGGAAAAGAAGTTGAAGTATATAACGAGTTTAGAGGTAAGACTCTAGGCGAGGGCTTTAAGAGGATAATCGGTCGCTACGAGAAAGCTTTAGGCGGAGAGCCTTAGAGAAAATAATTCCCTTAAGGAACCTAAAATCCTTACAGCTAAATTACCTATACTAGTGTTAAGGGACCTTCTTATACTGCGGATATACAAATCGGCCTAGCTATCTAACGTAACAAAACCCTAACAGAAGAAGTGACCCTTAGAGGATGTAGCGGAGGACCTTATAAACACCTAGCTACGTCGAGATATTATCGATAAACTAACTATACGGACGCAGAAGCTAGAGTAAAACATTACCCGGGGATCGATTCAGAAATAAACATTGCTAGGGGTTTTAGAAGAATCAAATTCCTATAGCTCTAGTAGAGCCGGAAACAAAACTGTCCTATCGACTCTGCTATCTAAAGATAAGGGCGGCCTTACCTTAGCGACTCGGATAAGCGACTAGGTACGGGCGAACTGTAATAAGGGCCTTAAGAAGTTCCTTAAGGATAAGAACGAAGAGATAAAGAAGCAAGGCTACGCGCTATTGTCTACTAAGGAGTAGGAAACAGAATTTACGACAAAGGAGATTGATTCTTTCGGCTAGCTAAGCAAGCCTAAAAAGGACCTATATACTTACTCCCTTAACGAGATTATAGAAAGCCTACGCATTAAGGACATTATCTCGGAGCTTAAGAAGCAGACGGCTAACACCGTTGAAGATAATAAGGGCTATAAGGCTATAGTAATAAGGTATTCTAATATAGTAGCTTACACTATCGATCTAGTAAGCTCTACGTTCGTAAACAAGAGCTAAAGCAATATACTAACACTTCTATCTAGGCGTACAAGAAGGCTAGTCTAAAGTCGTAGCTTTTTAACTCTAGGGTACCGAAGGATACTAACTAGCGATTACAATTAATCGTAGAGTTCAATCGGTCCTAGACGTCGGGCGTAGACATTCTCGTCTGCTCTATATATATAGCTAGGCGTGTTCGTAACGTAATCTAAGCGAACCCGATAATTGCAGCGGACCTTAACTATTGTTATACGTATTATAATTGAGTTAAGAGTATATAAGCTACAGACTAGTTCTTCGAATACGTCGCCCTCTAGCAGATAATTATCGTTCGTTTCTAAACGTAACAAGGCGTCTAGTACGATATACTCTCGTCCTAGCTTATAGACTATCTTTAGTAGGAATAGGGAGAGGTATTGTAAAGATCTCGTTAGCCGGTTGTTAAGCTTGTCTACTAATAACGATGTTAGAGCAGTTTAGTTTATAGTTAATAGTTGCCGCGTAATCCGTTAGTACGGTAACTACCGATTCGCATACCTCGACTATCTAGTATACGCGTTTAATCGTCTATACTAGGCAAGCGACCTTCATTTTTCTATATGCTTTGCGTGCCCTTAGTCCTACTAGTCTCGGTCTTCCGTTATAGAGCAATATACGAGGCAAGGCTATAAAGGTTAAGATCTTTAAGGGTCTAAGAACTTTAAAGGTCTAAGAACTTTAAAGGTCTAAGAACTTTAAAGGTCTAAGAACTTTAAAGGTCTAGAATTTTAAGGGTCTAAGAATTTTAAGGGTCCTAGAACTTTGAGGGTCTAAGAATTTTAAGGGTCTAAGAATTTTAAGGGTCTAAGATCTTTAAGGGTCTAAGAATTTTGAGGGTCTAAGAATTTTAAGGGTCCTAGAACTTTAAGGGTCTAAGAATTTTAAAGGTCAAGAATTTTAAGGGTCTAGAATTTTAAGGGTCTAAGAATTTTAAGGGTCTAAGATCTTTAAGGGTCCTAGAACTTTAAGGGTCCAAGAATTTTAAAGGTTAAGAATTTTAAGGGTCTAGAATTTTAAGGGTCTAAGAACTTTAAGGGTCTAAGAACTTTAAGGGTTAAGAATTTTAAGGGTCTAATAACTTTAAAGGTCTAAGAATTTTGAGGGTCTAAGAACTTTAAAGGTCAAGAACTTTAAGGGTCTAAGAACTTTGAAGGTTAAGAACTTTAAGGGTCTAGAATTTTAAAGGTTAAGAACTTTAAGGGTCTAGAATTTTGAGGGTCTAGAATTTTAAGGGTCTAAGATCTTTAAGGGTCCTAGAACTTTAAGGGTCTAAGAATTTTGAAGGTCAAGAATTTTAAGGGTCTAGAATTTTAAGGGTCTAAGAATTTTGAGGGTTAAGAATTTTAAGGGTTAAGAATTTTAAGGGTTAAGAATTTTGAGGGTCTAATAACTTTGAAGGTTAAGAACTTTAAGGGTCTAATTTTTGAGATTTTTGCTAATATAACTCCGAGTGAATACGGAAGCTATATTCGCTATATAGGCTAGCAGGTCTTAGTTTCGCTTTCGCTACTTATACCGCGTACCGCGTAAAGGTACCTACTGTTCGCGCGGCTTACGCAAGATCTACGAGGAGTTAGGCGGGCATATATAGGGCATGATTTAAGCGTACTAGGTACGACTTCTTCTATTAGCGAGATCTATAAGGAGTTAGGCGGGCATATACAGGGCATAATTTAAGCGTGCTAGGCACGACTTCTTCTATTAGCGAGATCTATAAGGAGTTAGGCCGGGTATATATAGGGTATAATTTAAGCGTGCTAGGTACGACTTCTTCTATTAGCGAGATCTATAAGGAGTTAGGCCGGGTATATGCAGGGCATAATTTAAGCGTACTAAGCACGACTTCTTCTATTAGCGAGATCTATAAGGAGTTAGGCCGGATATATATAGGGCATAATTTGAGCGTGCTAGGCACGACTTTTAGCAAGATCTATAAGGAGTCGAGTGCTGTATAGATAGTATTCGGGGCGAGGAAGAAGGAAAGAAAGAAAGGTATTAGCGGGAGCGGAGGCGGGAACGGAAGCGCGTAAGTAGCGGTGCGACTGCCGCGGCCCGACGTTTCTAGTAACAAACCCCTATATACTTTTGGTACATCCTTACAATAGTTTGAAATCTGTCTGCTATAGCTTTAGTCTTAGGTTAGCTAGTTTTAAGAAGTGTGTGTTAATTAAGCTACTCTATACTAGCTGTATTTTGTTTGATTTTCCTGTACCTAAACTTTAATGTTTGTAGAATTTCGTCCTATACTACGACTAGGCATACCTTAGGGCAGCCTATACCTAGAATATAGTACTAGTATACTACTATATTATAATAGCTATTTTATAGTACTATTATAAGCGCTTCTATAAACTTCTGTACTACCTTTAAACGGCTATTACTAAGTAATATCGACTAGCTTAGAAGAGGGCTAATTTAGGTCTTCTAAACTAGATACGATATTAGCTACAACTTAATAACTAATTCCCCGATATATACTACTACTTCTAATAACTAGTTCTTCTATTAGAAGTAGTAGTACTAGCTATATCGCTATACCTAGTATAACTATATAATTAAGAGATTCTAGGCGATAGTATAACCGCGAAGTAGGTAGATTGCTATACTAACTGTTTCTTCGAGCCTAAAGGCTTTAGTAGCAATATTAGCTCGACGAAGACTTATAGCGAGTAGCTTATAGATAGTAATAATCCTATTAAAGATAGTAATAACGAGAAAGTTAGTAGTATTGCTAGTACTATACTAAAGGACCGCTATCTTCTAATTTATAGTCTTACTAGGAATATTACTTATAACTACTATTAGAAGGCTAGGAGGGCGGAAATATTAGTACTAGCGTGCCTATTATTAGCCTATCGAGACGATATTACTAGATAGTATTATACTAGATATTACTAGCCTATCGAGACGATACTACTAGGTAGTATTATACTAGATATATACGCCTATTAGCGATAGTATAGCTATTATAGTATCTCTAGTATTATTAGTAGCGATATAAAGATAGTATCTTATTTGCTATATAGTAGGCGTAGGTTAATCTAGGTATAGGCGTATTACTATCGATTAGTAGTCGCATTTAAGAGATAGTCTACCTATAGTAATAACCTTACTATCTATAACGACCGCCGCTAGTAAGGGGCCTATTTACGCTAGACGTAGCGACCTAACGTATAATAGAGTATATAGCGACTAGTCTCTATACTAATTAGTATAGAAATAGTTACTATTATTCTCCGCTATCGCTTAAGGTACCTCTACTATCGCAATTTAAGCCTATATAGGTTACTAACTTAGTACTTTAGAATACGTACGACGTAGACGACGGCACTTTTAATATAGTATATATTCCTTAGACGATAGTAGTTTAATAAACGTTATATACTAAGTCTTTTACTAATAGCGCTTTCTATTTATACCTACTATACTAAGCGGTCTTTGCTATTTAATAGTCGTCGCGAATATGCCTATACCGTAGCCGTTAGACCTACGATAATATATACTATGTAACTATAGTAGTCGCCGCTAATTAATATATTATAACCTAGTAACTAGTAAGTAGGCGTATTTACTAACGACCGGCGATTCTTACTAGAAGACTGCGGCGGCTGTTTAATAGTAGGACTTTTAGTAGTAATCTAAAAATAGAGGCAATAGCGGCGGCGGCAATAGATAATAAGGCAAGCGCAAGTAGATACACCTCGGATGATTATACTAAATTAAGCAGAATCGTAATTAGACTTCGTGCACTCCGCCGCTAGTAGTATTACTAGGTACGAATCTCTAAACTGATCCTTCGGAGGATTACAACCGCAACTACCGATAATAACTTCTACGCCGTTTGCGAGCTAGAGGAGATCAACGAGACGTCGTTTTATCCGTAGCTATTAGCTCGCGTAGGACATCGCTAAGCTCCGAGAGCAAGTTAGAGCCTACGGACAGTACATTCCTAGTGCTAGTTAGTACCTATTTATAGAAATAGAACTCGCGCAATAGATCGATAGTGGAATTCAGTTAGTATATTACGACGATCTAAAGGATAAGTTCGCGAGCCTTAAATACCTTAAGGAGTTACTTTCGAAAGCTACTACGAAGTTACGCACGTTACAGACGGGAAGCATACGTACTAGCGGAAAGAAGGTTAGTAGCACTTAGGGAGTTAGCATACCCGCTTACTAATATACGGAAGACTAGCCTTGCTATCGACGTATAGGGTAATACGCTACCTCTATCTACCGAACTAAAGTAACGAGCTTAAGAGTTAGAACCTTCCTAGCCTACTTAGTTACGTAGTACAAACTTTAGCGTACCTATTCGTAGGAATGTTAGTGCTGCGGTAGCAGAAGAATACCTAGAATAGTACGGCTTCGATACCGAGGAAAAGGAAGAGTAGGAGCCGAGGCCGTCGAGAAAATAGTAGGCGCTAAGATCGTCGAGAAGAGAGTAGCTTCCTCTCTAGCAGTCGAAGCGCTACTAAGAGTTAGAGTACCCCTAAGATTTGCCGGCTTCTTAAGACTTTAATTCTCCTTAAGATTTGCCGGCTGCTTAAGACTTTAATGCTCCTTAAGATTTGCCGGCTCCTTAAGATTTGCCGGCTTCTTAAGATTTGCCGGCTCCTTAAGATTTACTAGCTCCTTAAGACGTTAATACTTATTAAGACGTTGATACTCGTTAAGACGTTAATGCTCGTTAAGACGTTAATGCTCGTTAAGACTTTAATGCTCGTTAAGACTTTAATGCTCGTTAAGACTTTAATGCTCGTTAAGACTTTAATGCTCGTTAAGACTTTAATGCTCGTTAAGACTTTAATACTCGTCGGGATTCCGATGCTCGTTAGGATTCCGATGCTCCTCTAGACGCGGATGCTCGTTAAGACTTTTATGCTTATTAAGACCTTAATGCTCCTCGAGGTAGTATATCGGCTGCTTACTATATAACATCTAGAGAGCGAGATAGCCCCTCTTAGATTACCTATACACTAAGTCCTTATAACGATAGACGCTACGATATTAGTATATATAGCAAAGACTCTCTAGTATCTGCTTACGGTTAGTAGCCGAAGCGATCGCTAGACGATACGGAGCCCGTCTCTTTACCTCGACCTAATATAGAGTTATATCGGGGATCCGATATAGCCTCTCTAACAACAAAACGTAAACCCGTTATAGCTCTTATATATACGATTACCGATATCTTAAAGCGATGTAAGGACAAGTACGTATAGCTCGGTAAGCTTACGAGCTTCTTAAAGTGCAACTATGCCGCCGAATTCTCGCTATCGAATTTTGTATCCGCTATAAAAGTACTCTAAAAGTATAGGATAGTAAGAACAACGAGAGAGGATCTTATCTATCTTACGAGAGTTGCTCTAGTTACTAATAACAGCCTAGAATCTACGACTTCTAAGCCGCCCTAAAATACGTATACCGCTAACATTAACGCCGAGCAAACTAGCGACAGACTACGAGCTAGCACAACAGCTCCAAATAATAACTAGTCTTATATACTACGCCTAAAGCAGTAGGGGTCTTATACAACGGTACGAGGTAGGAAACGCGATATAGAGCTTTAGGGCGAATTGTATATACCTCCTAGAAAGAGGTAGAGGAGATTTGTAATATACGAGATATAGAGCCTATTAACACTTCTACCTAATATCCTAGGCATTATAGCCTCGTCTAACTATAGCACCTTACTAGAGATTCTATAGAGCTCGCTAGATTAGATCTAGGAAACCCTGCCGTAGAAGCTACTACGAAAGCTAATACGAAAGCCTATAGTAAAACCCTTTTAACCTGCTTATAGAACATCTGCTATAGCTAGCAATTTACTAAATGTGCCGACGAGCGTACCTATCGCTCCTAGTCGTAATCGCACTACGATAGGCGGGCGTTAGTCTACTTAAGCATCGTCCGATATAGTCGCTTAAGCACTCGCTCGGGTATTAGTTGCACCTACGTAAGCTTATCGCTCTAATCTAAAGGCGTATAGCAATTAGGCTAAGGGGGATAGTGTCGCTATAATTACTATACCTACGGAACATTCTCTATAGCACGAGCGACGTAAGTATATTAATATATTAGCGCTAGGCGAGATATGCGGGGAAGAGTTCGCAAAAATCAATAACGCCTCGAAGTATATAATATAGATATTCTCGCAAGACATCGTATAACGGCGCTATAGAAGCTTCGTCTAGTAATACTTTACTAATCTAGGCCTTAATCTGCAATAGCGTAGAGAGTATGCGATTATAGAGGCCGACTTCGAAAAGATCCAAACCTTCTATTACGAATTTAGCTATATACTACTACTTAAAAGGGACGGGAAAGCCGCTAAATACTATGCAACTAGTTCCGGAATTTACTCGTTTTACGACTTCTACGTATAGCCGTTCGACCTGAAATGCATTTATAGCAGTTTTTATACGCTAAGCGCTCCGATATTTAAGGTAATCTATATAGGACTATCCCTATATACAGCTACAGAAGTCTAGGACTATCGTGAGCTATTATACCTATATAGGAACAATTCTTATAGGAATCTATTCTACGTTGTTAGAGAGAGTTATACCGAAAACATAGATCGGAAGTACTATTATAGTAGAAAAGGTCGCTCTAGTAAAGGAAAGGACTATCGCTATAACCCTCCCTATCTAGAACTACGATAGTTAGGAGATAAGGAACGCAATAATGTCTGTACGTAGATAAACCTTATTATTATATAGCGTAGACTAGACTAACTCGAGTGCCGAGAGGAGGGCTGCGACTTTAAAGGAGATCGGCTAGCATTTATCCGACATATAGTTATTAATCACATTGTATCGGATAAAAGAGCAATATATAATCGCAAAGCATTGTTTTACGATAAAGGATATAGTATTAACCTTATACGATTGCCTACCGAGCAGTTAAGGAAGTACTTCGCAATACGTACTAGTATATATAGAAAACATCGAGAGCCTAATTGCGAGGTGGACTTAGTATTTAGAAAGGGTAAGGAGTAATATCGAAGGTCTAAAATACTTGTAGTTACAGTTAGCATTAATTCGCGATAGTTCTTAGTAATATAAGGGAGGGTATCGAATAAGAGACATAGATAGGGAGTAGCTAGTAGTAATAGATCACGATTCTGCTAGCGCGTATATACAATGCGAACCCCTATTACTAAGCAAACGGTTTCGCAACGGCTTCACTTACGTAGATACTAAATTAACGAAAGCTTACCTCGCTAATTTAGAAGCTTAAAACAATACCGGGTCGCTACAACCGCGACAACTATACCTTCGCTTTAACAACCGTATACTACGGCCGCCGCTACTATAGCGGAGCCCGCTACGACGCCGCTACTACTAGCTCTAATACCTTAGCGCCGTTACTTTATAGAGGACGAAATCGACACACTCGTCGTATAGTTATTTGTTCCTAATAACGACGCGCTACCCGCAAATCACTCCGACTATATAGTAGGAAATAGTATAGCAAAGCGTTACGTCTACGATTAGTAGGGTCTCCGGGACGGGAGCCTAAAAGGGGACGAACAGAAAATTCTTAATCGCTATATAAGAAATTAGGGCCCTTAGAAGGATAATAACAATAAGAAGGAGCAGCATCGCGCCGCCGTAGAATTTTGCCTCCGCTACCTAAGCAGCGCTATTAGTCTAGGTATATCGGACTCTAAGATCCGTAAAGGGTAGTCTATCTTTATTAAGCAATAATAGACTAATAAAGACACGCCTAAGCGCGAGCCTAGTTAAACACCTACGCTATTATCTAGCCGCCGCCTAAGACCTATACTATTGTTAGCGAGCTTATTAAAGACAATATTAAATAATAAGGCGGCGAGTGAAGTCCTTCTAATAGAAGCAAACCCTAGCGGCGGGGATATAAATAGCGTCTAGGATAAGGGTAGTCGAGACTTTGCTACTAGTCGAAAATTGCAAATATAGTAGCCGGGATCTACATTCCCTACATCTACTAGAAGACTCTAGACGCCCTAAGCTAGGAATACCTATACTATTACGCTAGCCGTAGTCGATCGGTTAGACATAGTGCTTGTCGCATAGCTATTTAGCTAACTATTTTCGATACTATAGGTAGGATATCTTAGGCAAGCGCCCTCTGCGACTCTAAAGAAATTTGTTTATAAAGGTAATCATCGATTGTTATACCTAGATTTGTCGTATAACCTCCTAGAGGATTGGTTAAGGTCTAAGTTTCACATTACCGACTAGTTAGATATTGTAATCGTAGTAGTAAACCTAGGCGAGGACGATACGAATAAGATTACCGATAACGGTAAGTTCGAAGCTGCCGTTACTAAATACAGTATAGCCGGCAGATACGGCGCCGCGGGTATTGAAATACTGCTATTTATCGGCTACTAATTAGAGCTATAAGAATACGAGCTAGATTTTATCGAGTAGGCAAACAAGAAATTCGATAATAAGGCTCGCGCGACATTTAGCCGAGACATTAATAGGCATATCGAGAAGAAGCGGAAAACGAATGCGAGTAGTCCGATCGCTATAGCTACTATAGCTTTAGTAGAGTCGGAAGACTTATAGCTAAGAGAGAAGCTACTATTTAGCTTAGAGATATAGGAGCGTCGTTATAAGTAGCGCCGACAGCGATTAGGTCTCTAATCTAGCGAACTCTTACGTAGCGCCGCATTTAGCATCCCTCTATTATCGAGGGTATCGATACCGTCGCCTAACGATAAGCGCCCTATTCTATTTAGTAGAGTTCTACCGAAGGTTATTAAGCTTAGAGATCTTAAGTTACCGCCTACCCCTACGCCGGTATCTTTATAGTAGGCTTAAGGTTCTAGACTTAATATAAACAGTTATACGTCGACTATAGACGCTACTACGCCGAATGCTCTAGCCGTACCCTTTACGCCTTAAGAGAATCCTTAAGAGAATGCTTAAGAGAATCCTTAAGAGAATGCTTAAGAGAATCCTTAAGAGAATGCTTAAGAGAATACTTAAGAGAATGCTTAAGAGAATCCTTAAGAGAATGCTTAAGAGAATCCTTAAGAGAATCCTTAAGAGAATCCTTAAGAGAATCCTTAAGAGAATGCTTAAGAGAATACTTAAGGTTCTAGACTTAAGGAAAATAGTTAAGAGAATGCTTAAGAGAATGCTTAAGGTTCTAGACTTAAGGAAAATAGTTAAGAGAATACTCAAAAGAATGCTCAAAGTTCCGGACTTAAGGAAAATAGTTAAAAGTCGACTATAGACACTGCCGCGCCGGGAGCTTTGCCTAGGATCGTCGCTCCTCGAGAAAATCATCTATATCCTTTAGGTTCTAAGCGTTCTATAGATAATATGTCGATAGAACTATATAGAATAAGTAAAGGTCTTAATAATAGTCTAACGAGAAACGGAAGAGGGTTAGATGCTAGTAAACGTATACGAGATCCTTATACTCGTACTAGGCCGCTCGACTCTAATACTAACTCGGAGCCTATAAGGAATAGTAGGACTGCTAGACGCGCTCGGCCTATAGTTAATATAGATACGTATACTCCGGAGCCGGACGACCTAGAGGAGTAGATAGAGGCGACCCCTTATATTCTAAGTTAGACCTATAAAGAGCTCCTCGACCGTATTAAGCAAACCTAGGTAGGGGATCTTAACTAGAGTTATACTACCGAGCTAGAGTAGATAACGTACGAGTACGTTAAACGTATCTACCTCTGTCTACGTCTATCGCCTAAACTTTTCGTAGATCCCGAAACACCTATCGCCCTACCGGGCTTTAAGACAAAGCTATACGCCTACTAAGTGTTTAGAGCTGCTTAGCTTATATTCTGCCGACCGTAGTATACTCGAGAAGCCGGAGGAATCTTAGGCGATATTATAGGTCTCGGCAAAACTATAGAGCAACTTTTAATCTTCGTTTTTTATAAGCAGATTACCGATATACTTAAAGACTACGCTAAAAACAGAGATAATCTAGAGAAACACCTTCTATAGGGTACGGAAAATTCGAAATGCCTATCTGCGAATAAGTTTTCTATCCCCTATAGATATAAGCAGCGCGACCTATAGCGTAGTTTCAGGCTTCGTAAGGGCATTATAATTCTATACCTAACTGCCGGTTTAAAACCCGATACTATAAAGAAATTCCTAGCTTATACGGACTTTAAGGAGCTAGGTATTAAACTATATAACTTCAACCCGCCTAATATAGATAATACGAAAGAGGAAATAGATAGTATTAAGCTCTTTAAAAGGGGAGACGTAATACGCTTTGCGCCTAATCGCGTTGCGACTCCTAAAGTAGACAAGTACCGGAAGGGAGTTAACTATCCGGGCTCTGCGTAAAATCCAATTATTACTAAGGCGCCCCTCGGTCTATATAAGAAGCTCGTATTCGTACTAAAGGGTCGTTTCTACGTATTCTACGAGAACTAGAATTTCTCTATCTCGACCGTATAGTTTAGGAGGACCTAAGAGGGCAGGCCTTACGTAAATAGCTCGACTAATTTCAAAACCGCGGCCTACAACACTCTACTAGTTAGAGCTATCGTAGTAGACGAGGCTAACGAGGAGTATAGAATATATACGAATAGTATAAGTACGCTTCGCAAGCTAAGCGTAAACTATAATACGAAATGTACGGTATATTTCGTAATAGGCACCCTAATCGCTAGAACGTAGAAGCCGATAATTAAATAATTTAGAGTCTTCGACGCCTTAGCTCGCTATAATAATAGGGGGCGATCCGACCCTAACTACTAGAAGGACTTTAAAGTATAGAACGAGTTTAGAAGTAAGCCTCTAGGCGAGGGCTTTAAGAGGATAATTAATCGCTACGAGAAAGCTTTAGGCGGAGAGTATTAGAAAAAGGATTCTATTAAGGAGCCTAAAATCCTAATAGCCAACTTACTTATACTAGTATTAAGGCACTTTCTTATACTGCGGATATATAAATCGGTCTAGCCGTTTAACGCAATAAAGCCCGAATAGAAGATGCGACTATTAGATAATACAGATAAGGAGCTAAAGAATATTAAGCTGCCTTAGGATATAATTAACGAATTAAATAATTAGGTAGAAAAGCTAAAGCGGAGTATTAACTAGAAGATCCGTTTAGGAAAGATTAACGCTAAGGCGGTTATATAGAGGCAGTTTTTCCTCGGCTCTTATAGGATACGAATTCGAACTACCCTATCGCCTCTACTATCTAAAGATAAGCGCGGCCTTACCTTACCGACTCGAATAACCGACTAGGTACGGAAGAACTATAGTAAGGCCCTTAATAAGTTCATTAAGGTAAGGAACAATAATCTAGAGCGTAAAGGCTACGCGCCGGTATCTACTAAGGAGTAGGAAATAGAATTTACTATAAAGGAGATTAAGTCTTTCGGCTAGCTTTTTAAGCCCGATATAGACCTATATACTTACTTCCTTAACGAGCTTATAGAAAGCCTACGTATTAAGGACATTATCGCGGAGCTTAAGAAGTAGACGGCTAATACTATTAAAGATAATAAGGGCCGTAAGGCCGTAGTAATAAGCTATTCTAACGTAGTAGCTTATACTATTAATCTAGTAAGCTCTGCCTTCGTAAACAAGAGCTAAAGCAATATACTAACACTTCTATCTAGGCGTATAAGAAGGCTAGTCTAAAGTCGTAGCTATTTAACTTAAGGGTACCGAAGGACGCTAGCTAGCGATTATAACTAATTACAGAGTTTAATCGGTCCTAGACGTCGGGCGTAGACATTCTCGTCTACTCTATAAATATAGCTAAGCGTAGCTATAATATAGTTGAAGCGAACTTGTTACTTATAGCCGACCTTAACTAGAACCTAGTAGCGAGTAAATAGGCGAAGACGAAGGAGAATCGGGTAGGTTAGAAGCGTAAAGTAAGAATAGTTCGATACTACTCGTATAGCGTATAGATCGAGTATTAGATATTAGATAAAAAAGAGCTAGGCAATGCGGCTCTAAGATCCTTCGGTGCGAAGGTTAATAAGATACGAGCAAAGAAGGCTATAGAGGAAGATTCTGTTATACTCGACGATTCGGATAAGGGCGGTGCGGGCTTCGTCGGAGATAAGAATAACGATAAGCTTTAGTTGGCGGTCGAAGCGAAGGCCTTCGTTGGTGATCTCTGCGGCATGGACTTCCACAGGCCGCAGAGATTTGACCGGGTAGATGAATAGCTTTGCGCGCAGCGTCAACGTCCATGCCCATGCTGGCGTTCTGTGAAATCTTGTAGGACCCATCGGGTGGCCACGTGGTCGAGGTCAGGACCAAAAATGCCGATGCAGTTGACGTTGTAACCCAATCGATACATCAGCGAGTGAAGTGAGACGGTGCTTCCATCTCGACCAACGGCAGCTTTAATACGATCGATCTCGCTATAGCCGATATCCTGCACAGTATCAAGTAATGTGTTGAGTTTCGACTTTGCTAGCTTTCCATGCACCGCCTGATCGGCGTCACGCACTGTATGCTTGTAGCGTGGATCAAATGTCGGTATTTCCCAACCTGCATAATGAAACCAATCGAAGCCAGCTCGATGATCTGTCTCGTGTATAGCGGCTCGGCTGAAGACATGTTTTATGGCAGCATATCGACACAACCAGAAGTTCGGTGACTGTGAAAACGGGTCCTCAAGCCATTGATATTTCCCTTGACCTGCTTCAATACTGAAGGCTCGATGCGACTTGCAATATTTGAGGTAGATGCGCAATTTGCGGATGAAGCTTAGGAGTTTGGGAATGGAAAGGAGAAGCCCTGCTACGAGAAGAGCTGGGAGAAAAGCCGAATTAGTAAGCATTTTGAGCACGGATGCACAAATTGAAGAGCAACACAGACTTCCTCGCCTCTCTATTATGAAGTTGAGCACGCGTTGTCGATCTACCAACCTTATAGCCGTCGCATCTTGCGGATGCAGCAGCGACGGCGACGGCCGCCGATACCTGGAGCTCTCAAGATGATAAAAAGAATTTCCTCCCTGGGAAAGGCCAGCGAGAACGCCGTGTCGTCTCCGGCTCCCATTGGACACTACAGTTCGATAGACGTCAGCAGCGAGCTTTGCCGACCTCTCAAGCCAAAGCGTGTGATGCTATCAGCGAGATGGACGTGGCGAAAGAGCTGGATGGAAGGAGAAGGCTGTTCGCAGATCCGCTTCATTCATTTGAATCCGTGAAGAAGTGTCCAAGAGCAAGACAGATGGCAGGCGGCAGGCGCAGAAGCACACAGGTGCAGAGGATACAGTCTTACAAAGCTGCTCTAACAAGATCAGTGAAGTCGCCATATGCCGACTCGAGGCGATAAATTCACTTATGATGATTGTCGGATTTTAAGGAGCCGGGCAGTGGGCTGTTCGAAGCAATTGTCGTTTCAACTCATGCTTAGACCATCGTTTGCATGAAGGCTCGCAAAGCTGGCTTCCAGACTCCATGGAAGTACGGAGATGAGTTTCCTGTGGAAAGGCCAGGATGGCGATGGTCTTGTGCATCCGGCACTGCTACCAAGCAGCAATGCGGCTGAGAATGCAATTTACTTGAGCTATACTCAGTTTTGGAACTCGGCCACGTATCCGGCATTCACTATGCCGTTGATCTATCTCCCATTTCATTAGGTTGTATGACAGCTGGGAGGAGAATCTGATTTTTATGTTGTTGCGTTCCAAGCGAAGAATTAGAACAAGATACCCATAGCATCTACCTGGCGGTAATTCAGTTGATAGTCAAGCATCCTCAATATGTCTCAATGAGCCAGCCTAGACGTGTCAGCGCTTCAGCTGCTGCGACTGACCCTGATTGATCAAAGGCCACAAATGATCTGACAGAAGCGAGAGAGCAGAGAAGAAAACAGGTCCACGCATCGGAAAGTGCTTTGCGCAGAGAGGTCGTGTCGTCAAATTCGGATCATTATAACAAGACTGAAATCCAATTCCCTTGAACTCGTCCACGATGATGCCGTCCTAATCATCTCGTCCCGCTTCTCAGCTCCCAGACTTCCCATCTTCGTATCTTCGTGACTCGCTTCTTGAAAACTCGTGATTGGTATTAGACATAATATTGTCTCCTGCTTGTTGATCTATGCGTGCTCCGCCGACTTCCATCATGATAGTCCCGGCTGCGAGCTCGGCTCCCGGATCTGCGATGTCCATGCCTGCTCGAGTGATATGTCCGCTTGACAACCACCGCATCATCTTCTCTGTGGTTTCGATGGACCAAAAGTGCGAGGACCTATCATCTCCGTCAGTCGTGAACAGAACAAGTTCGTTGACGAAACATTCTACTTACGAATGTGACGAAGAATGCGATGATGTTGATGATGGCCAATGCCCAGCTGGCCTTCAGCATCGCGCATTGCTTGTTGAAACTTATAGATAGGTATGAGTTTCCCACGTCGAAATTGGCACAATTCTGGCGCGCGATGAAGCGCAAGACGACGACTCCTCCAATCAGCGCCCCGAAGAAGGCCAGATCGACAAATGCAACGAATAGCGCATCATGTCTCGCGCGCAGGTAGTTGATGGTGGTAAAGACCGTCCAAGCCAATGCCAGTACCGACACTATGAACAGCACCAGGATGTAGTCGGGCGTCAGGAGATTATTGCTGTCGTAGATGTGGACGAACCAGCCCAGCATGCCCACAATCGGCGTGAGTGTGATGATTTCGAATATGCGCCATGAGAGAAACAGAAAGCCGGAGATGGCCATGGTCGGAGTCGGAGTTGGAGCTGATCAGAGGCGCCAAGAACAGACAAGGGAATGATGAGGTGATGGTCGAATTGGGGTTGGAGTGTCGCAACGCTGGAATCAATAATGCGATGGCATACGTTGCGCGACGGGTGACAGGCTGGCTAGAAGTGGTTCGAAGAGCGGTTTTGTATGGTGCAGGTCGGCAGCGGCTTTGCACGTCGGAGTCGCAGCTGGCGGGCCACAGTGACGGAAGTTTGACCTGAATCTTGGAAGTGAGCTCGCGCCCCACAGTTTCGCGTCAGGCGTGGCAGCTGGACGATGCTCGGTTGATTGACCTGCGACGCAACCAGAACAGGAATTATGTACAATCGGAACGGATGCACAGAGCAGAAGATGTGGAACGGGACATTGCAGAGGTTTAAACGGTCGTCACCCGAGATGCCATGATGCGATGATGCGATGCGATCTTGTGAAAGAGTGGCTGGCAAGGCTGGGAGTGCGCACGTGGCAGAAAAGCCTAATCCTCGGCTGATCCCGGCTAGGCCAACCATCTTGCCAACTCGCGTCGCCTCGCCTTGCATTTTCTCGATCTGAGGGACGGCTCGCGGCCTTTGTGGTCTGCATTCCCGACCCCAGACTTCTTCCCGGATATCATACAAAGAACATTGTTCCCGATCAACCAATCCGCTACATAACACGTCCAGAACCTATGCTTCCCACGTCGTTGGGTCGTTGCGTACTGTTTGCGGAAATGGTTGACTAGAGCATAGTCTGGCTCTTGCGTCCAGACCTACGTAAGTCCCAGTACATATTCGTCTTGCGCTTGCCCTTCGCTCATCGCGCTTCGATGGTAAGAATTGCCAATCACTTTGTACGGTCACCCTTCGGTGTACATATCGGATCGCAAAATGGCCACGCTGGGACGGGTCCAAGTTGGCAAGCCGGCGCCGGCATTCAATAAGATAGCCGTGGTCGATGGAAAGCTTAAGGGCGAGTGCTTTGACGAAAGACTGCGGAGCAACCTACTGACATTGTGCACAGAAATTTCCCTTTCTGCATACACCGACTCAAATCACTGGCTCATCCTTGTATTCTTCCCAAAGGCCTGGTCATTCATCTGTCCCACCGAAATCAAAGCATTTTCCGCGCGTCTCGAAGAGTTCATTTACTCCCGCTCCTGCGCCGTAGTCTTTGCCAGCACCGACAATGAGCACTGCTTGAAGGCTTGGAATTCCACCGATGAAATGGAGGGAGGTCTTGGTGGCGTACACGTCCCACTAATCTCTGACTGCAACCGTCAGATGAGCCGAGACTATGGAGTTTTGCTCGAAGAAGAAGGTGTTGCGCAGCGTGCCCTGTTCATCATTGATCCAAAGGGTATAGTGCGAAACATTACAGTCAACGATGCAGATGTTGGCCGTAGCGTGGACGAAGCTCAGCGCGTGCTGGATGCCTTGGTGTTCAAGGACGAATTCGGCGAAGGCTGTCCTATCGATTGGAAGAAGGGCGACGCGGGTATCGACATCAAAGGTCCCAATAAAATTGAGGGCCCCATTGAAATCCCTGCAGTGCAGCCCAAGAAGGTGAGTGCCGGATGTGCATGCAGCAATTTGGAATGAGTAGCCGTGGTATTGACTTCGATCTAGTCTTGGTCGGACTGGGCTCGTCCAAAGCTCAGTCGTGCCTGGTCTGGTGCCAGTACCATCTCCACTGTCTCGAACGCTGCCTCGTCAGTAAGACCAGCATACTTGCGAGGCCATAGCCATTCAGGCTTCGGAAGTGGTAACCACAGTCCTCTCATAAGTCCTGGGAAGCGTAACTCGCACGCCACTGGTGGCTTCGAGCAGCAGATGGAAGAGGCGATAGAGCAGCAGCGAATGGAAAACATGCAGTCGATGTATCAGAACCAGAGCATTGGTGTGGCCAACTAAGCTCAAAGTCAGATTAGGAAAAGCACATAGGATGTTTCGTCCAGAAGCATGCATAATACTACCTTTTCGATACTGTTTCTATATCAATTACTAAGGTCATGATGAGAGACGAATGCTGTCGATTTCGAACGTGCAAGAGCGTCCATCGGGGCTTGGCATTCGTCTCCCACTCCGAGGTTTCTCCTTTTAGCCTTAGCGCGGGCTGCCAAGTTACCTTTCAAGTCTCATGGACCTCCTATCCTTGCAACAACAACGACAAGACCCGACACACACTTCGATCACAAGGACATCCAGAGCCAGGCTTCAGCATACATGCGGCGATCTGTTCAATGCTAAAATCGCGGTCGGCTTTCTGGCGGCCCTCGGTGATCTTCCCAGTAGCGGTCATTTTCCGCATTGCCTTGCTATTCTACGGACGATGGCAGGATGCCAACAGCCCGCTCAAGTATACCGACATCGACTACCTCGTCTTCACCGATGCTGCACGCTATGTAGCCTACGGCAGATCACCATATGAGCGAGCGACGTACCGGTATACGCCGCTCTTGGCCTGGATTCTGGTTCCAACTGCTCGAGGAGGCCTATGGTTTGAGTTCGGCAAGGCATTATTTGCTCTGAGCGATATCGCCACGGGATGGCTGATATATCGAATTCTGCGAGCCCAGACACTGGGTTCGGAAGCCGCTCTAAAATTCGCCAGCATCTGGTTGCTGAACCCTATGGTCGCGAGTATAAGTACTCGTGGGAGCTCCGAAGGCCTCCTGGCCGTCCTGGTCGTAGCATTACTTTGGGCAACATTGAAGCGGCAGATCGTGGTGGCCGGGTGTCTCCTAGGATTTGGTGTTCACCTGAAGATTTATCCATTCATCTATGCCGCTTCAATAGCACAATGGCTTGATCATGGTTCGGGGGAACAGTTCGGCGTTGCGCGATCAGGTTTCCAGAGACTGATGGCTTTAGTCAATCGAGATCGCATCGTGCTTGCCATTTCGAGTTTCATCACTTTCATGGCATTCAACATTGCCATGTACAGCATGTAAGTCGGCCCGGACTCATCCTCTCATTCAGTTCTGATTGTGGTAGATATGGTAAGCCGTTTGTGGAGCACAGCTACACCTACCATTTGGCACGAGTCGATCACAGGCACAACTTTTCTGTGTACAACACATTGCTACACCTCAGCTCGCTCTCGCGCACGACTGCTGCATTACCTGTGGAGTCTGTTGCTTTCGCACCACAGCTATTTTTGTCACTCTTTGCACTGCCATTGGTACTTGCAAAAACGGACTTAGCCAGCACTATGCTGGCTCAGACGTTTGCTTTCGTCACTTTTAACAAAGTGTGCACAAGTCAAGTGGGTTATCACGTCGTAACTTCATTTTCGACTCGAGCTAATCTTATACGCAGTACTTTTTATGGTACATGGTATTCCTGCCGTTCTACCTTCCAGCTTCGTCGCTACTCAGGAAACCGCAAGCCGGCATGGCAGCGCTGATACTGTGGGTGGCAGGCCAAGCCATTTGGCTGCAACAAGGCTATGAGCTAGAATTCCTGGGTCACTCAACTTTTGCGCCAGGACTGTGGCTAGCGAGTATGGTCTTCTTCTTGGTCAATTGTTGGATCCTCGGTATCATTGTCGAAGATGTGCGGAGCCAGGCGAAAGGAGGCAATGTTTCTCCACAAAAAGTGGAGAAGTCGTGATTAGAACTTTGGGCTCATCCACGAGTCTTCAACCTCCACCGATAGCCTTAACGCAGCCCATTGCTGCTGCTGCAGCTAGGCCTCCGAGCACCAACATCTGAACTGCATTCGAAAAGCAGATGCGCCAGCTATTCTCGCCCAACAGAGCCGTCTTCGCCCAGCCAAAGACAAACAGCGCGATACCCATGACTAGTATACTGCACAGAAGTGCGTCTTGGACGCGGGTGAAGAACAAGTACGGCAGCAATGGCACCATACCTCCGAGGAAATATCCAAGCGCAATTGTGAAGCCTGAGACGTAAGCTCGAGATGCCACGAAATCAGCTTCTGTAAGCTGATGGTGGAAACGCATGAGAAAGTCGACAAACTGATCCGGGTCTTCACTGAGGTTCTTGGTCATGCATTTGATGGTCTCAGGAGCAAAAGCGTACTTGTCGAACGTCGTTCGAACCTGCGAGAGCGATGATTAGTGTATGCACAAGCTAGTGGTGAAGTACGCGGACCTACCATTTCGCAAGCCTTCTGCTGGTCCTCTGCAACACACTGCTTGGTCTCCTCAAGTGCGGAAAAATAAGCATCAGCCTCGCTCTTGGAGCCAAGGTATCCACCAAGGCCCATTGAAATAGCACCTGCAATCAACTCTGCAAAACCAGCGTAGACAACGAGGTCTGTGGTGCCGAGTGCTGACAGTCCAGCCGTCAAAGCGAAGGGCACTGTGAGGCCATCCGAAAGACCAATTGTAGCATCTGAGATGATTCGAGGATTGACTCGACACTTCAAGAGCGAGGCGCTCTCTCCAGAGTCCTTCTTGTCATCGAAGCTCCGGCATGATGTCCTGGAGTCGACGGATGTTGACTGTGGACCGTGCTCAGTATCAAGCAGGCGTTGGTATTCGCCGTCTCGCTTGATAGGAAAGATCAGGTTCTTGAATGAGACGAGCGCCATGTTCCAAAGGCAAGTATCTTGAAGAAGGGAAAGGGCTCTGAAGAACGCTTGGGAAACGTGGTGTGAAGTTGGGGGAAAAACGATACAATGCCTTTAGGAAGCGGTGTTGCTGCTCTTGCCTTTTCTTCCAAAGGGTGTGGTGTCAGCGAATAAGGCAGCTCCGTGATTGGCTCACGGGCTCACACGGCCCGTCGCTCCCGCAGCCTTCTCCTCGGTTTCTCTGCGCATGACGGTCTCGCTGTCGAGTCAGTGTCGACGGAACTTCTGGAAACATGTTACATCAGCGGTCTGGCCTATTTCACTCCCCGGTGTTAGCCCGCCCCGGCGCACGAATTCTTCACTTCAGTTCCTGCATGTGGATTACGAAGAGCGAATCCGAGGATACATGAGGTATGGTCAGCTACCACAAGAGTCGCTCCTCCATCAATAGCCCTCCCACTTCAGATGTCAACAATGATCTCCCAAACAGACTCGCCTACCGATACTCAATTGTCTGCAGTGTTCACAGCATAGCCCTTGGGAGGATGCTGGCCATCCGGAATCTCCACTCCGTTGGTGTAGTATGTCGATGCCTTGCTAGAGGCATATTCCTTCTGAATACTTGGAAGTACTGTGCGTCCCGTCTTTGGAGACACAGCGTTCACGTTCGGGATCGGATACGGAGCCGATTCGAATCCGGTGTTGAAAGGACCTGCGAAGGAAGAGTTCAAAAACACGGTCTCGTTGACACCTGTCACCGCGTCCCATGGACGATACAAATCTCCAGTGTGATCGGCAACGAGCTTGAACACATTCGCGCCAACATCCCAACGACCCAACGTATGTAGATTCCAGTTCGCCTCTACGGTCGCGATGTCGCTGTAGTGATTATAGAACTGATTATCTGTCGTGCCGTGGAGGCTTTGAGGAACAGCACCACCCAAGAGAATGCTGAACACACGGTTGCCGACATTGTCTAGACAGTCAGAGTCAGCAATGCTCACAGAACAAGCTTTTTTAAAGACGTGAGACCAGAGCAAAAGGCACGAACGAATTGCACTTTGTCACTTCCTAGCGAGAGCACCCTTTACGCGTCCCGGGGATTTCACTTACAGGTGTGATTCTCATCGAATGTCAGCAGAATCAGGGTCCGATCCATGAAGTAAGAATCGTTAAGAAGAGGCTCGAGGAAGTTTCGACACCAGGTTCCGGCTACAATAACCGTTGTGTCATGGCCATCGCTAGTCATGTTTGGCGTAATAAAGCTCCACTGGGGCAGACGATGCGCTTTCAAGTCTTCGAAGAACACAGTGGTATTCTTCTGGTATGAAAGCCTCCTCGGACTGGTGTTCGCATTGTAGATGACGGGAGGATTATGCTTGCGGACATAGTCATTCGCTCCGGTCTTCTGGTTCTTCCAAGCAAACCCTTCAAAGCCTGTGAATGGCATATCTTCTTGGTAAGTTCCCCAAGAGATCCCCTTGTCTTCGAGCAGATCGACCACAGTACTGACGTTCGCGGCGACTTGGTCTGGGTATTTTTGTGTCAGCGCAAGAGGTCAATGATAATTTTTGGCTTTCGTCACTGGTCACGCACTGAAATCATCGTTGTCCATGCCGAAGTTGTCTCCTCCCACGGAAGCAACATAATTAGGTTGCGATGGATGGGTGACGCCAAAGTAATTCGACAGAGTGATGCCCTTCTTCGCTAGCAATGCTAAGTTCGGATCTCCAGCTGCTTTGTCGTAATCGGTGTTCTCTAGCCAGATCTCGATGAATCTGTCAAACACTTTTCCAGGAACATATTTTGGCTGACTAGCATAGGTTGGAGCGGTTGCCTGAGCGGCGTATACATGTGCAGCGTCAGTTGCTGTGTAGAGATCAGGCTGGGGTGGCTCTTGGTCGCCTTTGTTGCTGTATTGTGCCTGCGCTACAGCACCGCTAATTGCTAGCGAAATCAGAGCGAGAATGGTGGCCATTATTCAAGGTCGAAAGTAACCGACTGCTGGACAGATGGAGGAATGGGCAGGGTGGTTTATGTCAGTACTATTTGGCGGAGAGCGGCGAGTACAGTCTCCTGCCTTTTTGAAAAGTTCTGGCCGCTAAAAATCAGACTTTCAGCCAAAGATTCAGACCTGAGGGCTCGGAGCAGCCTTGTGATCAGTATATTGCTCCATGAGTTGTAATCCCTTATTACTACACCAACTCCGAGAAGCAGCAGGTTGCCCTGCCGTCGCGTTACGGCGGATTCTGCTTCGTCGAGAAAAGAAGGTCGTCACTCCCATGTTCTCTTCGGTGCCGTTTGTTCCAGCGCTGCGTAAATAGAGAAAAGCTCATTGGCTAGACATTGATGCGAGAGGCTCGTCAAGCTTCTTCTGGAAGGCAGCGATCCATGTCTAATGCAAATCAAGGCCACTCAAGCAATCTTCGTGGGGACATAAGCTCCACTGCGAAATTGGATGGAATTTGTGGTAGCGCGGCGGTGATCGCATCGCCAGCGGCGACCTCTTGACACGAGTGTGCGGACCAAGCACAGTCCCTGGGCGACCTACTGTAGCGGTCGTGGATGATCATGCAGGGCACAGCGTCGTCAGGTACGCAGCCAGTCTGGAGTCGCCGCTCGAGTCCCAAGCCAAGTAAAGATGCGCGCAAGGTGAGCCAGCTTAGAACCGGACGGCCCTGATGCATAGATGTGCTCTGGAGAAGGCTGTCCTTAAAATGAGGCAGAACCCAAGCCCCGCACTGCCACACACGGCAATGGCCGGACGATGCGCCCTACTACTAGCCTGCATACTAATTTGTTAGTAAAGCGTAGAATTCAACATTCTGTATACATTTCCATCGATATACTATATTATCGTCGCATTCTAAAGCTAAATAAAGCTAAAGTTAACGTATAGAAGTGCTATACTATTAAATTTAAGGTATTATTAGTTGTCGCGCATGTCTACTAGGCGCAATTTACCTTTATCCGCCGGGCGCAATTTGCCTCTCCTACCGCTATACCGCTACTATCGCTATACCGATAATTATTAGTATCTTACCCGCTTATTTAGTCCGCTAGAAGGTAACTAAGGTATACGGAAGATAGTATCTTACTAAGCGTCTCGTATAACCTCGAATTCTTCTCGTAATAGTCTACCTCCTACCTATATCGCCTTTAGTGCTCCTACCTATATTAGAGCTACTAATTGCGGTAGTTTAATACCCTGTTTAGTATAATAACTACTAGCAACGTAGCCTTCCGATAAAGGGCCTTATCCGAGTCGTATTTGCTAAGGGAGGGTAATATTACGACCGCGTTCTTTTACATCCTCGATTAGCTAAGAAATAGCGTAATTTAGGTAAGGATTTAAGGCCTTCGCGATACGCTTAAACTATAGGTTTATAATAGTATCCTTAACCTATAGCTCTTCCTCGTTTAAATCCTTATTATCTTCGAGGCTATAGTACCGCTCTCGTAGGTTAAATATACGCTCTTTTATTGTCGCGGTACGCTTATATATACTAACTAGCTCTTGCTCTTCCGCGGTAGAAGACTTATTAGTAATAAGGACCTTTTCTATACTATAATACAGCTTAAAGCCGTTCTTGCGCTAAAGTAATATCTAGGCGTTAAAATCGTTGTTAGTAAGGTCTTCGAGAAGTAGATAGCGCGCCTATAGGTATCGATAGAGCATATACTATTTCTAGTAGAATTAGTAGTCGCACTCGTTATCCGCGATCGCTTTAGCGTTCTTACTACGTTGCCGAAGGTTACTATTAAACGCGTCGTTTACGCTAGCGTTAATCTTAGGTACGATTAGGTCGCAAGTAGCGTACGGAAGTAAAGCTATCTATAGATAAGCCGTCGCGTACAGATAAAGCGAGTTCTTGTATTTAGTCGCTATAACGGCGGCGCGCCTATCGAGGGCGTTAACAACTAAGTATAAGTGTATAATACTGCCCTTTAAAGAATAGTAATTTATCTACTATTTAACGCCGGCGCTACGCTTAAACAGATAGTAGAAGTTCTCGAGGTTGCTTATCGTTCTAATTTAAAGAAGAACGGGCGAGTAACTATAAGGATAATAGGCCTATAATCGCCTATCGTTATATATCGTAACTTTAATATATTTAAGCCGTTTATCTATCTCCTTCTTCGGCAAGTCTATAGCTACGAGAAGGTCTATAGTACGCTTAAGACTATCGATATAACTACCCTTAGTATGTCGATATTTAAGTGCTTTAAGTAGGTTGTTAAGTACTCTCGTAAATTTCCGGCCCTTCTAGTACTTATTTAGTAACTTCTCGTAGTAGAATTAGTAAAGGAAATAGTTAACCTCTTACTCGCCGGCCTCTAACCCTCGGAAAGCTAGTTTTACTACTAGTTGTTCCGCACCGCTATCGTTAGTTACAAAGTACCTAACAACCTACGGTTTTCGCTAATTTCGATACTATTCTTTAATTAACTTAAAGGCCTCCGCTATTATTATTCTATCTTCTCTTAGCGAATAAAAATAGGCGTAAACTCGGTATATATTCGAAGAATCTCGGACTATAATCGAGAAGAGCTTCTACTCGAGGGAATTCGTCTTATACGTAGAATCGACGATTAAAACCTACCTAAACTAGTATAGTAGGTCTAAACTAGATTCTTTAGCAAATACGAGGGCGCGAGAAGGATTGCCGTTAGCAGCTTTCTTAATATCGATATATTAGTAATAATAATAGTCTATAAATATAGAAATTAGTAAATTTAAAAATAAGGTATCGCGCTAAGAATTACTAAAGCCTAATTAGAAGCCGTAAATCGCGGAGATCGGAGGTACGCCGGGCTTTCCGGTACTTGCTAATTTAGCTTAGTGCCTGCTAAGCTTGTAAAGATAACGTATAATTAGTAACGCTACCTACCGGATTAGGCAAGTTATAGGGCTATACTATTAATTAAGTTTACTAAGTAAGGTATTAGAGGTAGGCGCGCGGAACTTTAAGAAATTCGACTTACTTCTTTCTAACTAGTCTCTCGCTTCTTCTACCTATAAACTCCTACTTAAATCGTTGCTACGATATCGTAGATTTAGATACGCTTTTAACTAACTACGCGCTACGTTATATACGGTCTAGATATTGAATTTAGCACCGCTAGTAGCTAGAAGGCGCTTATTACCGCCGTCGATACTGTCTCTAGCGATAAGTTGTCGAACTGCTACCGTTACGTACCCTCGCTATACCTCTACGTCTACTAATTTTAGAAGGAATATAGGTATCTTCCTTAGATCTATATTACTAAGCTTATAGTTATAAGGCAGTAGATTAGTCTTGTCTCGAAGTACCTTATATTAAAGAGGCCGTACCTAGTATAGCCTACGCTTATAGTCCTTTACTATTTAAGCGCTAGGCGCGCCTTCTTTAACCGCCTTATACTAAGCCTAGATATTTAGCACCGCTAGACACTTTAGCGTAGTAGTAATATTGCGCTTCTGCCTCTTCTTAGGGTTATTACTCGTCTTATTTATTATAAGATTCTTCCGCCTTCTATAACGATAGATAAACCTAAACTCGCGCCTTATCTTCTTCGGCGTATACGGCTAGTAGCCGTTAGCAACCTATACGTTATTAACAAATAGCTAGTATATTGCTTTCTCGTCTAGAGTTATTATAAACTAATCTTCTAAATAGAATAGCCTCTCGCGCTATTGCTTTAGGTCCGCTAGTAACTTTAATACTATATACTCGCTACTAAAGTAGTTGCTAGACTATTTATATACAAATTTATTAAAGCTATTATTACTACGAGACGGCTTATCGTTACTATCGCTAGCGCTAGCGCTCTCGCTATCCTTATTAACTTTAACTTCTACCTCTTCTTCTACTACTTCCGGCTCGCTAAGCGTATCCTTATTCCCTTCTAATCTATTAAATCTATTAAATCTAGCATTATCTAGCAACTAATCGTTATTAAATTGCTAGTTATATTTATTATCTAGCAACTAAGTATTAATCGACGTCTTATCGACTAGTATAGGTAGTATATTACTAGCAATCTCCGCCTATAGAGCGGCTATTTAGGCGGCGGTAAGGAGGCCCTCGGCGGCGTCTATTATCGCGATATAAAGGTCGAGAAAGAGCACGAATTTAGTAGGTTTCGAGGGATATTGCGACGACTAAATCGGCCGAGCGGACGAGCGGACGAGCGAGAGGGCAGCGGCGACGGCGACGGCGACGGCGACGGCGAGGTCTATAAGAGAAGGAATCTATAACACCTACTAGCGGGACAACAATGGCTAACTGCATCTAATTAGGTATAGAAATTGGTGGGTGGCTATGCACCTTAGCAATCCTATCCCCACCCGGTGTGGCTTGGGTTCTGCCTCATTTTAAGGACAGCCCTGGAGAAGAGACAGATATGCAGATTCTCCCTTGACGCTTTCGAGAGACGAGAGACCCTTCGTACCAGCGTACCGGCGATGCACAGATGGTGTAAGCTCAAGATACGCCACTAAACAAGACCATGGCCGATGGGGCAAGACCAAGTAAAGCGGATGAGAAGGAGCAAGAGCAGGAGCACGAGCAGGAACATCTTTTAGCTGATTGGGATGGAAGCTACATCGGGGACAAGTCAGAGAGTGGTCTGCGGATTCACAACAGCCGAAGATGGCACCAGACGCGGATCGCCAAAGGCATTATGCTTGCAGTTACAGCTTTTACGATTCTAGCTTTTGTTGGGTATATTCTGATGGTCAAGAGAATCATAAAAGATTGGGGTATCGAATACAGTAAGGTCAGCAGGCTTTACGAAAAGGAGGGCACTGCGTTAACATCGAGCAGTAACCCGTAATGAGTACATACTAGATCCCGCGTGGGATATACATGAGGCTCCTCGAGTACGATCATATCATTTCGAGATTAGAGACACCATATACCACCCCGATGGCATATACAGGCCGATGCTTTTGGTTAACCAGCAATTCCCTGGGCCGCTTATAGAGGCCAACGAAGGCGACATCATCGAGGTCAAAGTCGACAACCACGCCGCGAACGCGACCTCGATACATTGGTGAGAATGGAAAGCACCGTGATGTCTAAGACATTTGCTGACCTTCGAGTTATTCCTTTTAGGCATGGCATCTACCAAAGAGGCAGTCCGTTCATGGACGGCACAGTTGGAATCACCCAATGCCCGATCGCTCCGAACTTCTCTCTGACGTACAGATTCAATGTGACTGGACAAAGTGGCTCATATTGTAAGTGAATCTATGGAATGTATGAAGATGTTGGCGAGATTGTCCCTCAACATAAGCTCCAGTGTCTCGGATGCAGTAGACGGGGTACTACAGTAGTCTCCTGCGAAGATGTCCGAGTCCTGAGAACGTATGTCTAGAGATTCTCGCCAATGGATGACATGACCTTCCTTTGACTAGAGAAGAAATCGACGCTGACTCCCTATATTTTTCAGGGTGGCATGCGCATCAAGGTGTTCAGTCCTCAGACGGAGTCCATGGTCCCTTGATCATACATTCCCGCGACAAAAGCTTGCAGCAGATCAAGTACCACACCGACCGCGTCCTTTTGCTTTCGGATCACTATTGGAACAGTTCCTCGGAACTCCTTTGGGACTATCTATCACCTGGCAAAGAGAACGACGAGCCTATACCTGTTGGGGCATTGATCAATGGTCGTTCGAAATACAGAGACTGTGAAGAGATCCGTAAACGATACCCCGGTCGGAAATGCTGGACCCCGGCCCAAGGAATCTACAAGGCTTCGAATGCTCTTGCACTCGGACTCGCTAAGTTTCATCCTCAGTATGCGTACGAGCTGGCAGTTATGCCGGACTATCCAGGCATCGACTTGGAGCCGGAGAAGTCTCACAGACTTCGTTTGATCAACGTGGGAGCGTTTGCGGACTTCCACTTTCAAATCGATGAGCACGACTTGGCTATTACTGAAGTAGATGGCACAGATGTGCAGCCGTACACTACCCAGAGAGTATCTATCAACCCAGCGCAGCGATACAGTGTCATCGTGAACGCAAATTCCACAAGGTCGAAACTGTTCTGGCTCCGAGCTCGAATGGACACTCAATGCTTTGTCAACTCGAAAGGTGTTCAGGCCGATGCACTTGCTGTAGTCCGCTATCAATCGGCCGTTGAAAGAAGCGATGCGAAGAACAAGTGGCAAACATACTCGGACTTGGCCAAGGATATCAACTCAGGGGACTGGGATTTGCCACTGCCACATGATTGCAGAGACATGAACACTACTAATCTCTTGCCGGTCGTTATCGATTCCCCGCCGAAGCATGAAGATTCTTTCTTCTATGTTCGCTCCAGCATCAAGATAGGCGACTGGCAGCTAGCAAGAGCCATGTTCAATGAGTCGTCGTTCCGGCCAGACTTCACTTCTCCCACGCTCGATCGAGCTTGGGCTGGTTTGAGGTCAGACAACGACTCGTGGATCCGACCTGATCAGGAACTCCATTCAGGTTTCATCAACGATGAAGCATTTAATGCCTCCCGCGAGCTAGTCGTACAGACTAGGGACTCTGCAACAATAGACATTCTCATAAGTAAGTCAGGATCTCAAACTAGCACTGTCTTCAGCTGGCACTCGCTGACTATCGCAAACAGGCAATTTCGACGATGGCACACATCCTCTACATCTCCATGGCTACAAATTTTGGATACTGGCTCAAGGCCACGGTTATCCGCCAAGAAAGGACGAGCTGTCAGGAATCACTCGTGAAAATGTCCAGCCTTTGTACGATCAGCTCGAGCTTCGCAACCCACTACGCCGAGATACTGCTAGTGTAGAAGGCTACGGCTGGATCTTGATCCGCGTGCAAGCAGATAACCCTGGTGTGTGGGCGCTTCACTGTCATGTCTCCTGGCATGCTGAGGCAGGCTTGGTGATGCAGCTTCTGACGAACACCGAAGAGTTGAAGCAGTTTGAGTCTTGGTGGAAAGTGTCGAGGCTATGTGGAGCGAATGGTATTGAGAAAGGAGCTGGACCTCCGGACGATTATTTTGTTCCTCACGGGCCACCTCAGCTAGCTTAAGCTTGATAATAACCATGTCAATTCTCACTCTACCTTTCCGTAATGGCGATATTGGCTATGCATTCGAGTTTTCAGCTCTCATGCTATATACAAGCGAGAGTGCTTCTGTAAACGTTGAAAGGCCAAGCCATGACAGCATGGTCAAGCTCCAAGTTCTTGGCCAATGGAGCTGAAGGCGGAGTGTTTCAACGTTGCTCGCACCACAACATCTCGCTCAATAATCACAGTCACTTTAAATTCATCGTCATGACAAGCATCCACTGTGCCTATACCGAGCCGATTAATCCTGCGGGTGCGACCCCGGTCTTGACTCGCGATCAAATCTGGAAGGGTCTTCAACGGAAGATCCGAAAGGCACAAGACTTCGTACCCATCATCGTGGACACTGATGTGCTGGAAGAGAAGGATAATGAGGTGGTGCGAGGGGCACATTTCAAGGAGCGAGATGGCATTCCCGCAGGCACGGTGAAGGAAGTCTGCAAGAGCTATTACCCGACAAAGGTGCGATACCGATCCGAAGCCCAAGGCTTGCCCAGCTATCACCTTGAACGCCAACGTGCGGGTCATCATCGGTTGCTCACAGTCAGCAGGTAGATTTCTGGCAGCCTTCTGGTGCTCTGATCACGAATACGGTGTCGGATGGTGCCTCCCTGACGGAGAGTGATTTGCACATGACCTACACGTTTGAGTGGAGGCATGCAGATGTTGTTGAAGGTTCCGAGGAGCACAAGAAGCTGGTGAAGATGCATCGTGAAGGCGCGAAGATGGCAGTACATTCGAGCATTGAGGCGCTACGCAGGATGGCTGCTGCTGGAGAGCTCGACTGAAGTAAAGAGGAAGCCGCAAGATAGATCATGAGAGATGAGGGTTGGGGACACGTGGAAATCGACAGGGTATTCGAATTGCATGACTTCGTCAGACAGTGTATAGTGACTGCTTCATATCCGCTACCGTGCTCTTACAAGCCTCAAGTATTCAGTTCCATCATATAGCACCTGCCTGCTTGAGCAGTTCTGGCAGCTGGCTCTTCTTTCCCTGCAAGTCAGAGTTTCCGCCGATGTGCTTGTGGTCGATAAAGATGTTCGGGACGGATCGCTGGGAGGTGATCTCCTCTAGGGCGTCTTGGATCGCAGCGCCATCATCTGTTCGAAGTGTCAGCTTCGCGCGTTCTACTGTGGATCGGCACGACTGGAACCTACCGACTTGATCGAGTTCGATGATGAATGGCTTCACGCCCATCTCGCTGAGGAGCGACTTGGTCGCCTTGCAGTATGGACAGTAGGACTTGGAGAAGACGGCTTGGAGAAAGCATCAGCAAGCGAGCAAGCCATGTCATCACGTCGCGCTGCTCACCAACTGCGTTGTTGTCAATGATTTCCTGGGCCTTGGTCTTGGCAGCCATGATTGTGTTTGGTGAACTGGGTCGTGCTGAGGCGAAGATTTGACGGAAGAAATTCATGAAGAGTATTCTGTCACAAGCGGCAGCCGTGTGCGATGGGAGTGTCCAACACGCAATGCCGATGAGGCGTGTTGTGCATTTGTCATCCTCGCCGTCCTCAACGACGACTCCTCGGGCTGCCTTTCGGCAAACCTCAGGCTGACATCATTGTGGCCTGGGATTTCAGGCCGTCCACTTGGCCAACCACATTCTTCGCATCGCGCTGCGGCAACGCCTTCGCCGTCTCCTTCTCCTTCTAGCGTCTGGGCACATGTCTCGTTCCGCTCGCCAGCCGCGATTTGTGCTCTGCGCGTCACGTCAGCTCGCAGGCCTCCCAAGCTTTCGTGTGCGTCTCGTCGTCTTGGCGCACTCGACCTCTCCAATCACCTCTGACCGGTGGCGATAACAATCGTCTTGGCCACGTGTGGTGTAGGTCGCACTGTGCGCCTGCAGGCTCCGCTCGCCTTGGCACGACACACGCCATTCCACCCTCTGGCGGTGGTGATGATGCCACCCCGTCTCCTACCCTGCCGTCACCGCCCGCTCTGGGAACAACGACGGCCTCGACCAGGAACATTCGGTCGAACAAAGAGATGGCCAACGGGGCTCTCCACAGTTACGGGATATGAAGCTGTCCAGGCTTTATGGACAATGCCATGCTCGTGACACATCTGCGTCACATCCATGTCAATGGTTGGCTAGCGGTCCTACTGATGTTATGCCAAGGCTTCCACCTCGCCATGTCTTGGAACCCAAGAACATCCTTTCTTGTCCACCGCGTGTCTGCGGGTACGTGTGAGGTTGCCCCGTTACTTAAGTAAGTCCAATGCTCCGCGGTCTTGGTACAGCTCATATTGTGTCATCCTCCACGGTGCTTGAATGTTGCGATCGTTGTACATACAGCATTCGCTTTTCTCCTTCGCTTCCCAAACAAACAACCTGCCTCCACATTCCTCACACAAGCCGGCCACCTATCCCTTCTCAACCTCCGCATGAGCAAAATCAACAATGGGAAAGAGTCAGAACACCCTGGACGGGCACGTATCCGGACAGGCCAACAAGCCATTGACCGCTCCTGCCCATGCTCTCAAGTGGAAGGATGTGGCCGAGCAATTAAACGCCGATATCGACGACGGCTTGACCGAAAGTGAAGCCAAGACGAGATTAGAAGAATATGGCAACAACGAGCTTGGAGATGGCCAAAAGGTCAACCCAGGCAAGATTCTAGTGCGGCAAATAGCAAATGCTATGACCCTAGTGCTTGTTCTGGCCATGGTCGTGTCTTTTGCAATTCAGTCTTACATTGAGGGAGGTGTCATTTCAGGTGTCATCTTCATCAATATTGCAGTTGGCTTCTACCAGGAATTTCAAGCGGAAAAGACTATGGACTCTCTACGATCGCTCAGCTCGCCCACTGCGCAGGCAGTACGGGACGGCGAGTCAAAATCTCTTGCCACTGCTCACATAGTTCCAGGAGACTTGGTCGAGCTCAAGACTGGCGACACCATTCCTGCTGACGTTCGACTTATCGATGCCGTCAACTTCGAAACCGACGAGGCGCTGTTGACTGGAGAGTCACTGCCAGTGCGTAAGGCGGCCAACGATGTTTTCGACGATGCCACGGGACCTGGTGACCGCTTGAATGTCGCCTACAGCTCCTCTACTGTCACGAAAGGCCGCGCGACCGGTATCGTGTTCGCCACTGGCATGTATACTGAAATCGGATCCATCGCCGCTGCTCTCAGGAAGAAGAACAGCAAAATCAGGCCTGTCAAGCGCAACGAACAAGGCAAGGCTAAGCCACACCGATACCTTCAGGCTGCGATCCTCACCTGCACTGATGCCATTGGTCACTTCCTTGGTGTCAGTGTTGGAACTCCTCTGCAGAAGAAACTTTCGCGATTAGCAGTGCTGCTTTTCTTCATTGCTGTTATCTGTGCAATCGTCGTTCTTGGAGCCAACGACTTCAGCAACCAGAGAGAGATCATCATCTACGCAGTTGCAACTGGTCTATCTATGATTCCGGCCTCCTTAGTCGTGGTCTTGACTATCACCATGGCCGCCGGTACCAACCGCATGGTCGAACGTAATGTCATTGTTCGCAACCTGAGATCGCTCGAAGCACTTGGAGCTGTCACTGACATCTGCTCCGACAAGACCGGAACTCTGACCCAAGGCAAGATGGTTGCCAAGAAGGCATGGATTCCAGCTAAAGGTACATACACGATCGAAGAGACCGACGAACCATTCAACCCAACGAAAGGCGCCATTTCATTCATCGAAAAGGAGCCATCAAAGGTCGAGCTCAAAGACAAGGACAAGCAATGCAGCTACGCCGAGCTTGTGAACAACAACGACGCCCTGAAGGATTACCTTCGTGCCGCATCTCTTGCAAACCTGGCCACTGTCCACCAGACCGATGCTGGTCACTGGAATGCTCGAGGAGACCCCACCGAGATCGCTATTCAGGTGTTCGCTTCCCGCTTCCAATGGAACCGACGTGCTTCTGTTTCCGGTGACAACCCAGCCATGAAGCTTCTCGTCGAGTTCCCATTCGACTCTGACATCAAAAAGATGAGTGTTATTTACCAGGATCTCCAGAGCAAGAAGATGATTGCATACACCAAGGGAGCTGTCGAGCGTGTCATTGCCTCGTGCACATCGTATTTCGCCGAGAACGACAAAGACGCTGTCGAAATGACGGAGGAATACCGTGAGCAGATTCTCGAGAACATGGAAGCCTTGGCCAAGCATGGACTTCGTGTGCTCGCGCTCGCCAGCAGAGATTATGACGAAGAGTATCATGATGGCAAGGAAATTGATCGTGCGAGTGTTGAGAAGGACCTCATCTTCCGCGGACTCATCGGCCTGTACGACCCGCCACGTCCCGAATCTGCGCCTTCCGTCCGCCGCTGCCACGAAGCTGGTATCGAGGTTCACATGCTTACGGGTGATCATCCTGGCACTGCCAGAGCCATTGCAGGCCAAGTTGGTATTCTGCCGTCCAAGATGTACGAGCTCAGCAAGGACGTCACCGACGCAATGGTCATGACCGCTGCCCAATTCGATGCTCTCAGCGACGACGAAATCGACGAACTTCCCGTCCTCCCTCTGGTCATCGCTCGCTGTGCCCCACAAACCAAAGTCCGCATGATCGAAGCTCTCCACCGACGCAAGAAGTTCTGCGCCATGACCGGTGATGGAGTCAATGATTCGCCATCTCTCAAGCGCGCTGACGTCGGTATCGCTATGGGTCAAGCGGGCTCAGACGTAGCAAAAGACGCATCGGACATCATCTTGACGGACGACAATTTCGCCTCGATCCTGGCAGCCATCGAAGAAGGCCGGCGAACTTTCGACAACATCCAGAAATTCGTGCTCCACCTGCTCGCCCAAAACGTCTCGCAAGCCCTCGTCCTCCTCATCGGTCTCGTCTTCAAAGACGGCGAAAATTACTCCGTCTTCCCCATCTCGCCCATCGAAATTCTGTGGATCATCATGATCACCTCCGGTATCCCCGACATGGGTCTAGGGTTCCAAGAAAAAGCTCCAGACGTCCTCTCCCGTCCACCAGTCAGCCTGAAACGCGGAATTTTCAGCTTGGAGCTCATGATCGATATGATCGTGCTAGGGATCTGGATCGCAGCGCTCTGTCTGACAGCTTTCGTCCTCGTGCTATATCCGTGGGGTGGAGGAGACATCGGATACCGCTGCAACGACTCGATCGGTGACGGATGCGACACCATTTTCCGAGCTCGAGCCACATGCTTCGCTTGCTTGACCTGGTTTTCCTTATTCTTGGCATGGGAAGTGATCGATATGCGACGCTCGTTCTTCCGCATGCAACCCAACTCCGACCGATACTTCACGCAATGGATGTACGATGTCTGGAGGAATCAGTTCCTTTTCTGGGCCGTCATCGCAGGCTTCGTGCTCATCTTCCCCATCATATATATCCCAGTCATCAACAGGAATGTCTTCAGACACACCAACATTTCGTGGGAGTGGGGCATTGTGTTTGTGGCTGCTGCGCTGTTCTTTGCTGGTGTCGAGGGTTGGAAGTGGGCCAAGAGAATCTACTTCCGACGGCGCGCGAAGAAGGATAGTGCTGCGGTCGAGGATTTGGAGACTAGGGTATTTGAGAGATACCTGACGCAGTCGAGCATGGACGTTAATGAGAAGAAAGTATAGAAGATGGCTGGATGGCTTTATACGTTAGCAATGGCGATTTGGAATGATTCATTGGGAGGTAGCGCTGCTGCTTGCAACGGCTGTTATATACCAGGGTAACGGCGTTCAGAGTCATCATGATGGCATGCTAGTTTCAGGCGTCAAGGCCTGCGAAAATAGAGATTTTGGCAAAATGTAGTAGAAGAGCTTCAAATTGATTGTCCCGTCCAAGGGTAATTTCAACATCTTCTGTGCTTTCCTGCGTGTACTTACAGAATACACCAGTAATAATTAGGCTGTGATCTTCTGAAGGTATGCTTCCCAATTTAACCAGGCTTTAGATCTCATGTCTTTTCCAGTGGTGCATGATCACGTTCATTGATAGAAGCGTTCGACGAGCCACGAATCAGCCTTTGCCGTTCATTGGTTCGCAGGGCTGCTCTTTCCGCCCGGGCGACGTCCGGAGCATCGATGAGTCGCGTGTGTACCAGCAGTATATTGTCACTTGCGATGAGCAGGAGGCTGCGAATTGGAACCGGACACCCGGACATCAGATCTAGAGCGAAGCATCGAATTTCAACTGCGCTACCGGATTTCGCGTTCGTCACGAGGATGGAGGCTTCCGGAGTATTCTTCAAGCTTCTCGCTGATGTCGAGCACATGGTGCGGCTCGTCTCACGATCGTGGACCTGCTCGCGATGATGCTTCACGTTTGACGGAAAGGTTCGCTGTGATGGCATTACCGCTTCATCCTGTACAATGGCAACAGAAGTGAAGCGTTCCAAGCCCAGGTCCTGGCAAAGGTAGCGCTTGCGAAGGGCACGAGCACAGATGCCCAAGCATTTCAGCAGATAGCAGCGATTGAGCTGAGGTGTGCGTTCATTTTGGCAGAAGATCCATGACTCCAACATCCCTTTGAACAACGATGGCACTTTGAGGATCCAGTCGGCGGTAGTAGTTAGGTTCCCGTCCGACCTCGCGGAAGCCACGCTTGCGATACCACGTAAGAGCCTCTGCATTCGCCTCCCAAACATGGGCGCCGACGCAGGAAATCCCATAAGTCTCCATTGCGCGCTTGGTCAAAGTTTGAAGCATATGACATGCAATGCCATGTGTGCGATAAGGGCTGAGAACTGCAAGGGTGCTCAGGTAGAGCATCGGCTTGTTGTCCCTCGTGGCGGATAGCTCTCCTTGTGGATGCGCGAGGAGACGGGATCGAATGGCACCCACGAGTCGGCCTTTCTGCTTGCCTACCATGGCTGGATCATCGTGCCACACTGCAAGTAGAGTGATGTTATTGGTCAAAGGATCTTCGACAATCTCCTTGTAGAATGCATCCGGGTATGGAATTGGGAGTAGAAGCGAGGTAAGACGTTTGAGACTTGAAAGATCATCTTGCGTACATGCTCGAAGTTCGACATTGACGGGAAGCGATTTCGATGCAGGCTGTGCGAGCGACTCGTCGGCCGCCTCGAGAAGCGTGGTATGTTCGCGTGATGAAGGTGGTGTTGGCAATTGCTCAGCCTGTGGTGTTTGAGTAAAGACCGGAGCTGGCCTTGCTGGCGGCTGCTTCAGCGCCTGAGGCTTGTTGAGCCATGTCGTCAGGCTCGACTGCGGCATTGCTGTCTCCTCTGCCCATGACACGCTCGGGCTCAGGTGAGTGAGTGAGTGAGTGAGTGAGTGAGCGATGTTGATGTTGCCACGTCGAGCGCGTTTGGTGCCAGTGGGAAGCTCGGCGATTGCTCGGCATTCGTTCTACGGAGATCGGACGAGCCACAGCCACGAGCCAGCAACAAGTTCGGCAGCAGCAGCAACTCAGCAATTGCTCAGTGATGGGTAGCGGAGGCTCCAAACCGGAGCAGCAACACGTTTTCAATGCGTACGTACACTCAATGCGTAAGAGAAACGATCGGGTTGCTGACGGGAAGAGCAGCGATGTGCCAGTACGACTTTCTCAATCAGTTTTGAACTCCCTGCAAGAAAGTCCAGAGGTAAGCTCGGGGACAAGTATGAGCAGCACGACGTCGGTATGCTGATACTCGGCTACAATAACAGACCGACTCAACGCGCGCACAAATCCTCGAGCTCCGAGTGCAAGAACGGGTCAACGCCGAACTCCAGCGCATCCGCGACGCCCAGGCGAAGAAGCTCGAATCTCTCACTGCTTCCCTGACCACGCATCCTCCTAAAGAAGGCGAAGGTCTGCCATCAGAAGTTGCGCGCGATCCGCACAGTCTTGCTGCCCACCTGAGCTCGCCTTTCTACCACGACTGGACCAAGGAGGAACCGCAGCCTGCGAAGTGCGTAGAGAGCGATCGATCGCACGACAGCGTGCAGAAGGAAATCATGGATCTGAAGCAGAAGTTGGAGCAACGGAAGAAGCTGGAGAAGGTTCCGGACAGCGTGGAAAAAGCGAAAGAATCACTCGTACAATGTCTACGCATCAACGATCGAAGGCCGCTTGACTGCTGGCAAGAAGTTGAGCAGTTCAAGAAAGAAGTCGGCAAGCTGGAACAAGCTTTCATCCAGAAAGCTGGTCGGTGATCGCCTAAAGGACAGCATGTGTGAATCTGTATATACCCTCCTGTATTCTGAAAAAGTACGCACTTCTAGAGGCTTTCAGGCTTTCGACAATTCGTAGCGAGGACCGCGACACTTGCCCAGCTATGTCAGGTGAGAGAAGTTTTCGCTCAGCCAGCCACCGACACCGACATTTTCAGCATTATTCAAAGAGTTGACGAATCGGCCTGACAAGAAAGCTCTAGGAAGCTGTCCTAATTCAGTCAGTACAATGACCATGTAGCTGCTCCAACCATCGAAGCCTGGTGTAACAAGCTTTCTACTCCTCACCTCAGTCGCTCAGTATGTGATGGGCAATACTGCACGTCTGGGACTTCGAGCGGGGCACGCAGGTGCAATGTGCACTCGTTGTTTGGGTTCCTTCATTCATCCCCAACCAACACACTTCTTCGAGGAGAACGTCAACAACGGGAATTCCAACGGAAGTAGTTGGCAGCCTGCCACGTCCAGATGTCTCGCAGCAAGCTTATGCCAATTACGATGCTGGAGCCGTTGAAGATTCTCTGCAACGCATGGCAAAGACTGGAGAGATTCTGATGACGGATGGCGAGCAGCGTGCAAGCTCATTTGCAACGTATCCCATCACCGACACCTTGAATGGCACAGGTCTGGCTGATGGTGAGTGAGCAAGTAACGAGAAGATCTCGGTATTTGAAGAACTTTGGCCAAGAATATTGACGACAACATGGAATAGGTCTGGCGGCAGACGGACAGTACTTCGCCATCTTCGAGGACGGTCACCAACGCCAACTCCCACGCTTGACGAGAGGTCCGTTCAAGTATGAGACTTACGCCTACGACAATTTCCGCAAGTCCAAGGTAGTGTCGAAGGCGGATTTACCAAAGTACAATTCGTGGATGATTTAGTCGACGAATGTGAAAAGGACATTCGAGGCTGTTTCGAAGCTGGTGCGAAAAGAGTCAGCATTGATTTTACAGAACTTGATGAAGAACAGTAGATCCTGAAAGCGAGACCTGGACTCCAACGGACGAGCGATGAAGAAGATGAGAAGGAGATCATCTGCTTGTTGTTGCTGTTGCTGAAGCTTCCGGGATCGTTCCGCTCGCGCAAAGTATGTTTTGCCAACGTCGTCTGTTGCTCTTGCTCCAGTCAATAATCAGCGAAACGACGGGCGTGACACAGGCCGAGTGTAACCTCGTTCAGCAATCAATACATCCCCATCTTGCACTCAGCCCGGGACGCCTCTCTCCCTTGAAAGAGAAACGCCGTCAGCACGAAAGCCCAGAAAGGCTGAATCTCACTGGGCCTTGGGGTGGAAGCTGCAAGGATCGCGGAATATGAACATTCGCATTCCATTTCTGACATGACGTTACACAAAGCTATCAACAAGAAACAAGCAAGCTGTGTGTATTTTCATGATTACGATTTCTGTCATGTTTGTTTCTTCCACCCTCCATTTACTTCAGATCCTGCGTCGGCGACCAGGTCGGAGCAAGAGTGGCATTCACGTCGAGAGGACTGGTGGACTGATCATAGTATTCCGCAGCCGGCATGCCAGACAGATCTGTGGCGGTCATGTCTGCAAGCGCATCATCGAAGTGGTTCTGCTGTGGCTGGCCAATTGGGGTCGACGCAGCGGCAGCAGCATCAAGAGCAGCTTGTAAAGCGGGATCGATGACCTCTTGGGTTTGAGTAAGATACTGTGCATGCTCATACTGCTGGGATCCTGGCTGTGGAGTGGCTGACTGGACTGGATAGTACGTTGCTTGCTGATGCTGAGCCTGGTATTGAGGGTAGATTGGCTGACCATAGCTGTTGTAGTGCTGCATCGGCGTGCTTGTACGAGAGCTGGAGAAAAGGTCCTCGGAGACCTGTCCTCCGGGCAGACCATAACCTCCGAGCGACTGCTGGCCATTGAGAGAACCTGGAGTCGGCACACGCGGCGCGATATGGGCTTCCTGCATGTATGGGCTTTGCTGGTACTGAGCGCTGGCATGAACATACTGGCCTGTCCGTGGATCGTAAGTCTGGCCGTATTGGTCGAAGGCCACGTTTGACGGCAGAGGACGTCCTGGATTGGCCCACTGGTACTGAGACTGCTCGTAGCCGCTGAGGTGGTGGTCGTAGTATGGATTGGAACTAAAGCCGACGTTGCTTGGGAGGTACACTGGCTCTCGATCGTTTCTCCTTTGTCGCACATTGCGACCACCACGGTATTCGCCGTCAGGGTCGCGATCATCCAGGTCACTAGGCTCATCATCCTCGCTCATCTCATCTCGGCGGCGCTTGTTGTTCGCCTTGCTTGGAGAGAACTTATACTGTGGGTGAGCTTCCTGATGATGCTGGCGTTCAGTTTTGGCCCACTCGTCAAACTGGTTGCGAACCTCTTCGGGCTCCATTGGCCAACTCTCACCAGCTACGGCTGACACGACCTGATGGTTGTTCTGCGAGCACCATTGTTTGGTTCGATTGGCATACGCTGACCGATACAGCATGAATGAGTTCATCGGTCGAGCGATGTAACCATTCTTCTTCTCCACCTCTTTATGTCTTTCTTCTCGCGGCCGGTTGACCCAGGCTTCGATGTCGCGAACAGGCACAGTCATATCCTTAGTCAAGACGGAGAGTGGAGCGGTGAGCTTTGGTGTCTTCGACTTGTCCAGCTTATTCTTCTTCTCCTTCTTGGACCGAGGCGCTGGCGAACGGGTCCTTGACTTGCCGGTGCTGAAAGGAGAATCGGTTCGGCCTCTGGTTGAACGACCACTCCTGGTGCGAATGCCCTCGCTCGCTGTATTGGAGCGGGGTGTTGGCGGATTGTGAATGTAAGACTGCTCTTCCGAATAGAGCGCGTTGTATCCATCTTGCTGATGTCCGGTCAGCACATGTTTAAATTGATCAAAGCGAAGAGCGCAGACTCACGTAGATTCCAAGACCTTTGGAGTCCTCTTGGTATGCTGGGAAGTGTTCGGTCGAGACCTGAGCATTGTGCTTCGCGACTTCTCCAAGGCCGTAGTCATCGTGTTCTGGCGACGGGCCTTGGTGAACAAGGGTGGTGGAAGTCATTGTTGCGGCTTGTTGTGGCGGTCGGATCGTGAGACCTGTGAAGGAAGAATTTCCGAGAGGCTAAAAGACCAATGCCTTCCAAGATAATCGGCGACAGTCGTCTGCATGTCTTGTAAGCATGGACCTCCATTGCGATGGTTGCTCCCAGTGGTTTGTTTTGCACGCCTGCATGCATGAACACCTCGCAGGAAGCCTAGGGAAGCAATACCTTGTGCGACTATCCGCTGCTAATGCACTTTGTCTGCGTAGTTCGGCTGTCGGATCGCTGTTCTTTGCTGTGGGCACGCGCACACGCTTGCCTTGTTGGCCTTTGCTATGCTCGCAAGGCTGATGGCGAGCTTTGGGGAGTGTCGTTGTTTGACGGTAGGCTTTGTCTCGGAAGTGTCCAAAGAAGCTGACGAGCAAGCAGAGACAGAAAGGAAGTCAGGAAGAAGTCACACAAGATCCTTTGTGTACGCAGACGCTCAAGATACTTGTAGCAATACTGCCTCCCTGACTGAACTCGCAGACGAGCGTTCCCTGCGCTGAAGACGGACGACATACACCGCATCCGTAGCTGTCTTGAGCCCAGGCCCGTAGAGTCTCAGTCGGCCGCTTTCGGAAATCGAGCACTTGCACGATCTTTGCTGTGAGCATAGCTACGTCTCTAAGCCGGCGAGATATAGGCAGTGCTGCTTCTCACAGAGCTCAAGGTGATAGAACAGTCAAGCGCCTCCAAGGATCCATAATTTCCCAAAAGATCTGCTCTGCTCGCACAGCTTGGACTGACCGCGAACCGCGCCACTTGGTCCCGTGTGAGACTGAGCTAGCCCCAGAAGCTGGCACGCTCGCTCTGTGCAGTTGCAATCATAGCGTCCATCAGCGAGCAGGCCACAGCGTGCCTGGCGATCAGAGGTCCCACTAGTTGACAGCCGGTCGTTGACGTGCAGTAGTCATCTAGGCGGCGAAGCCTGATGCACAGGGATTGCGAGCGTGCCTCTTGGATTGCTATGAGACGACTCTGCATTCGCAGAGTGTTTGTTACACACAGACGTCGATGCTGCATTCCTCAGCATCCACACGCTAGCCCTACCCCCTCTGAAACCGCTTGCTGGTACTCCAATCGCGGCCTTGCAGAACTTATCTCGCGTTCACACACAGAACCGCATGCGGACATTCATACCAAGTACCTGCGTACCATCTGCGAACGCAGCGTGACCCTGCCCCACCGCACGGATGCCTGCATGTTCGACCCAACGCCTGGGCGCTTGGGCGTTTGAAGCTTGCACATGCTCTCCCCGATCGCTAGATGCCCACTCACCCGCCGGTCGAACTGTCTCATCACCGGTAGTGTGATCGTGCAGACAAGATGTGAAGGATGGCGGCGTGCTCTAGCGTCCAAAGCTGTACCTGCAGCTCACCTTGACGATTATTGATCACGGCAAGACTTGCACCTTGTCCTGCGTCTTCACACCTATCCTGGCGCCGGCCTACCAAAAAGTGTGATGCGGCTCTGCTGCGTGGGTGGTGGGCGTCGGGCCTCCGCGCTGAACTGGAGGAGGACCATTAGCGCGCGAACCAACCATCTGCGTGCTGCGAGCAAGGAAGTTCGGCTGTCGGGAATGCACGCTAGCACTCATGCATCGAACCCTGTAGTACCGCCGTGTATCAGATTTGCGCTCGTTCCAAATAGTATCACGTCGCTTCATCGACGACGGAAATGGCTGCGGAAGCCGGTTGCAGTTACTGCCAGTTGGATTTGTGCAAAATGTAGGAATTGATTGGATACCGAGCATCGAATTTCATCCAACTTTTGCAACACCCTGTCGGACATTAATCGGAAGTCTCGAGCGCAGTCAGTGGCAGCCACAGCGATGAGTCGTCTGCTTTGGTCTCCACGGGCAGCTGCACTGACACACGCCTCTTCTAACGTCAGGTTGTGCAACAGAGGCTGACCCCACAGCTCAACGTCTGGTAGCCTTGAACTCTCATCTCCATATATCATAGCCTTCAGCTGACTGCTTCAAAAGTTGGAATACCAGGAAAGCGGCCATGGTGACCATCAGATACTGGCTGGATTCAGGAGCCACGAGGAGCTTTACGCCGCTGTCAAACACAAGGTTGATGCATGATTGCGTGCTTCTCGTGCGTAGCGGTTTCTCCGAAAGTATGCGGACAGAGAGGCGATATTGAGTTTTCGGCTTCGCAGTAGATAGGCACAAGCGCGCCAGACTGCTGTGAGAACGTGCTGTCGTCCGAAATTGGTTAGAGGGCTGCGTCCTGATGGGTCTTGTGCTCGCAACACATGCTTTAGGCACCTTGCACGCAGATTATTAGCAGGAACGGCACACCATTTCATGCAACGAGAGAAGTCGTTCACGAGTCAGCCATCTCCTGGTCGCCATCCTCCGTGTCATCTCCGTCTTCAATACCTTCCCATTCAGATTCATCTTCATCTCCGCCCTCGGCTTGTTCATTTGCTGGGCCCAATACCATGTCAAGACCTTGAACCAGCTCCTTGGCGTGTTCGAACAGCCTCTCGTCCTCGTACTCGAGCTGATCATACAGCTTGAGAGCGGTCTTGAGCCACTTACGACTGCCCTTCATTGCGCGTTCAAACTGTGACTGATTCGCCGACGACGTATCACCAGCGCCAGTATCCATAGCTGACTCCTGGTTCGAATCGGCGATGGCTTTGTTACCCTCAGCAATCAGATGCTGGCACCAGCCTCCTAGGTACCACGCCTCAACACTCTGGTCATCCTCCTGAACTAGCCGGTGGAGGACTTCCATTGCCTCCTTCTCCATCCTAGCCTCCATGAGCAGCCTCGTCAGCGACACCTTGGTCGCGAAGTCGGGTACTGCGGGGTCCTCGGGTTCAAGGTCTATCCAGATATCCAGTGAGCGCTTAAGCGCTGACTGGGCATCCTCGTGCCGCTGCTGTGACAATCGCACAGACGCCAATGTCTGCAGCACCTCGGGACTTGCCTCGTCTTCGACGGCCATTGCTTCTGTGATCAAGTTCTCGCATCGAGCCTCAGCATCGTCTTCCCAGGACAGATCAGTCATGTAGACCTCCACAATGCCGCAAAGTGCATTGGCGAGCTTGCGCTTCTTCTCAACGCGCATCACAAGCAATTCTTCTTCGCTCAATCCAGAGACCTGGCCTGCCTCTAGTGCAGCGATTTCATACTGCAACGCTTTGGCTCCTTTCTCAAACCAGTCCACACTCTGCTTGCCACCTTCGTCGTTGAGTTGAGCAAGCCATAGGAACTTTTCGGCGCCGCCACCAAGTGCCTCCGGCACCTTGCCTTCGGGGTCAAGTTGTACAGCTTGCTCGAAGTAATCGCGGGCCGATTCCACCGCACCCAACTCGATGCTGATCTCACCCAGCAGATTCACGGCGGGAAGCTTTTCTGAGATTCCGCGATTCTGCACCTGGGACCAGAGCTGCTTTGCGACCTTGAGTGCTGCTTCTGGCTGAGACTGTTCAACCAGGTCCAATGCAGACGCGTATAATTGTTCCGGGCTCTGCTTGGAGGCGGACATTTTGCTCTTTCCTTCCGATACTCCGTTGGTGCGCGTCCTGTTCTTCGTCCTTGCCATGGAGTCGGGTCTCGTCAGCTGAGATGTTTCCGAGGTAGTCGTCGAGTACGAAATGGATGTTGTCGGCGCCATGAAATTTTGAGCCATGCGCTAGCCAAAAAGCTTATCGATAACACTCGGCTCTGCTTGCCTCTCTTCGCAGCCCTCTCCCAGCAACCAAGTTCCAGAGCTGTCGTGTTTGTTCGACAGCAGAGAGCGAGTCACTGCCGCTCAGTTGTGTTCTTGCAGCACTGCAGCCCATTTTGCACCTGCCCAGCTCGGCGCACTCCGCAGGACAGAGTGCATCGTCGGCCGTGACAACATCGGCGAACTTCGGCTGCAAGGACACGCGTGAGTGAAGTGTGAACGATTGCCCAGCATGGGTCGCGAAGAGCAGCAAGAGGAGAGGGAGGTGCTAGACTCAATATTTCCGGAGGAAATACAGGACATATCAGAGACGGAATATCGAATCACAATCAAGCTCGAGGCATCACAAGACTCCAGTGAAGAGAGTGATGATCCTATAATTATTCTTAACGTCCGCTACCCGGAAGCGTATCCAGATGTGGCTCCCATATTAGACATCACGCAACCTCCCAATGCGCCTAAGCAGGCGCATCTTGATATCCAGGAAGACAAAGCAAGACTGCTAGAGGCCCTCGAGCCGACCATCGAGGAAAGCATGGGAATGGCTATGGTTTTCACACTGGTCAGCACACTCAAAGATGCTGCGGAGCTTCTTATAACGGAGCGACAGAAGGCGATAGAGGCACTAAAAGAGGCTGAGGCGCGCAAGGCAGAGGAAGAGGAGAACAGAAAATTCGAAGGACAGAAGGTCACAAGAGAAACCTTCTTGGCATGGCGGGACAGCTTCAAGAAAGAAATGGAAGAGCAAGCTGCGAGGCGACAGGCAGAACTTGAAGCAGAAGAGAAGAAGAAGCGTGGAGGCAAGGCAGAGGAGAGGAAGTTGACGGGCAAGCAATTATGGGAGCAAGGATTGGCTGGCAAGGGTGCAGATGAGGAAGATGATGGCGAGGACGCAGTGGAAGCTATGAAAGATTTGAAAGTCGAGGGTTGAGGGAAGCGTGCTCTCGATGCCCCTATCTGTCGAAATGAAATGAGCCAGAAATCGAGGCCGGGTATAGTTGCTAGAAGCTCGCCTATAGTAGGCCTTTAGTCGCCTACGGTAGATAAACCGTCGCTATCTAGAGGATATAGTAGACTCCTTAGTATATCGAGCCTTGCTATTAGATGTCCGCTATATAACGAAGAGATAGTAGGTAGCAGGCGGTTACAAGCAAAAGTCAGCTGCGTCGCATCCGATGCCACTTGTATAGAAGCTAGAAAGCAATTCGACGAGGAGCTCGTAGGCCTCTCGTATATATAAGCACTTTCTCCGTGTCTCGGCTCTATAATATTTCTATACCGTAGACCTAGAAGTGATGAGTGAATAATTAATTAATTATCTCATGGATTGGTGCGCGCACGTGAAGTGGCGAGAACAGCCTAAACCTTGTTGAGACACGCGACTGCCTAACGCGTGCCACTTTACAACATTCGCATCCACAGCAGAAGTATCAACACGCATATCGCATTAGCCAAAACGAAAATGGCCGAGGGCGACGCGCCAAGCGATCTGCTCTTCGAAGATGTCGTCTTCTCCATGATTCCCAGCGAAGAGCTCGAACAATGGCAGGTCAAGGAGCTGAGCACAGCCATCACCACCAGCGGCGGCCGACACGTCCCACTGCGCGAGCACGACCAGTCGATCGACGACATCGACCACGTCACCCACATCATCTCCACCCACGTCGACTTCCCACAGTACAGTCAATGTCTCGACCGCGGCATCTACGTCGTCAAGCCCAGCTGGGTGCTGACGTCGGTGCACAAGAAGAAGCAGACATCGCCGCGCCAGCACAGCCCGGACCCGAGCCAGTACTTTCAAGATGTCGTCGTGACCTGCGGAGACCTCCCTGAGGGCGACAAGGAGGCCATTGCTGCGGGTGTCATTGCTCTTGGTGGCGTGCACAGCTCCGGCCTCACGAAAATCGTCACACATCTCGTCACCAATACTCTCAATCACCAGAAATGCCAGGTCGTGGAGCAGAAAGGACTCGACGTGAAGCTTGTCTTGCCGCACTGGTTTGACGCCTGTGTCAAGCTGGGCAAGAAGATTCGAGAGAAGCCATATCTCTTCCCAGATCCGGAGGTCATGCGCAGGGTTAATCTCTCTGCTCCACGACCGTCGCCAACGCCACAGCTGCACGGAGCGAGCTCTATCATCACTGCAGAGCAATTCGGGAGCACACCTCCCCCAAGTCCTGCCAAGTCACGATTGTGGCTCAATGCCTTCATGGGCAAGCGGGTCTACCTTGCTGATGATCTTGAGCTCTCTGACCATCTTCGCACTACACTCGTCGGTCTGGTCGAACAAGGCGGCGGCACCGTCACGAACGAGGTTGACCTCTGTGGTATCTACATAGGCTACTTCCGCGATGGGCCAGCATACCTCCAAGCTTCCCGAGCAGGCAAAGAGGTCGCGAATCTGGCATGGCTGTATCATGTAATCAATCGCAACAAGTACACGAGCCCATTACAGAAACTGCTCCACTACCCCGTCCCGAGAGGCGGAGTTCCCGGCTTCCAGAACTTGAAGATCAGTCTGTCAAACTACTCCGGGGAAGCACGTACCTACGTTGAGAACTTGATCAGATTCAGCGGCGCGGAGTACACGAAGACAATGAAACAGGACAACACCCACCTTATTACAGCTCACAAGAATGGCGAGAAATGCGAGGCTGCTCAGGAGTGGAACATCTCAATTGTCAACCACCTTTGGCTCGAGGAAAGCTTTGCAAAATGCGTCATCCAGTCCATTTCTAATCCCAAGTACACCCACTTCCCAGCGCGGACGAATCTAGGTGAAGTCACTGGCCAGACGAGTGTTGACATGAAGAGCGTGGAACGCCATTTCTTTGCCAAGTCAAAGTCGCCGCAGAAGCCCAAGCTTAAGGAGCAACCGGCCTCGAGAGAAGCTGTGCCAGTCTCAAGCACTCTGAAATGTGCTGCGCCGGTCTCCGATGCCATGGATGTGGATGTTCCGCCGCCGGTTGAGGAAGAGGATGAGCCTCAAGAGGACGAGGAGCACGCGGACGCTGAACAGCAACCAGCATCAAAGACAACCCAGAAGTCGAGGGGCCGGCCACGCAAGTCCGATGCAGCATCGGTCGCCACGCCTCGACTCCCCAGAGAGAACAACTCGCCTATGATCACGAGCACTGGCAGAGCGTCAAAGCAGAAAGCTCTCAGCAGTCTCCACACGCAAGCCGAAGATATCGCATTGTATCAAAAGGAAAGCAAACGGAAGGGTGGCGTTGTATATGGCGGCAGACGCGCCAGTCACGCAGATGACTCTGTGTCATCTCCTGCTCCTGCCAATCGCACTTCGAAGAAGCGAGCCAGCGACGAGTACGAGGCTTCTGCTTTAGATCCTGATCTTAGCGACGGGGAGACACAACAAGTCGGCAGCAAACAGAAGAAGGCCAAGACTGCAGCCTCGCCGAGGCTCCCTGAAGTGAAGTACAAGATGATGGTCACTGGCGACGATCGTTGGGTCGAAAATACTCGCAAGGAGAATGCTGACAAAAGCATACTCCGGCAGCTTGGTGTGGAACTCACGACAGATCCAAAAGATGTGGACATTCTGGTTGCTCCAAAGCTGTTACGCACCAAGAAATTCGTTTGCGCACTCGCCGGGGCACCTCTCGTGGTCGATACATCCTTCTTGGACACTGCATTAACAAAGAAGAAACTCATCGAGGATCCACATATGCTGAAGGATCGCGAAGGTGAAGAGCGACTCGGATTCAAATTGACTGAATCACTCGAGCGCGCAGAGGTCAATGATCGCAAGCTCTTCCGCGGCTGGTCGATATACGTTACTTCTGATGTCAAAGGCGGATTCGACACCTACAAAGACATTATCAAGCTTAACGGTGGCAATGCTTTTGAATACAGAGGTCGAACAGGCATGAAGTTTCCCAAACGCCAACCACTCGAAGACGATTCCGACGCTGGAGCAGAATCACAAAATCAGGGCGAGGACTCCGGATTGAATCGCGTCTACCTCGTGTCAGGCCCCAGCGATGCAGAAGTCAAGCTCTGGAAGACTTTCAGAAATGAAGCAAAGAAGCAGGCTCTGGAAGCTCGTGTTGTTACGCCGGATTGGCTGCTGAACTCTGCTCTCAGTCAGCAAATTGTGTCGGGAGACAAGTTTCTGCACGACCATGAGTCCCTGACGAGCCAACGTGCTGGTTGAGTAGCCCATAGGCTTTCTTTGTACATGATAATATGGGAAGCGAATCGTTGACAGTACATCTTGCAGGTTTCGCGTGGGATTTTCGACCTCTGCTGAGGAAGAGATGTGCGGTCGGGAGGAATGACTTTGGGAGCATTGTCAGGAAGCGTGTGCGCTTTTCGATGGATGATGGGGCTTAGGTTGATATTAGCGATGGCGCTGTTTGATGCAAATATGACGAATTGATGGCTCTGCTGAACAAAACGCGCTCTTCCATCGTCCCTTCTTTGCAGTCACGAGGAGACTACCAACGCTAAGGACTCAGCTCGCGTGCCCAAAGTTCACTGATGCGAGATGCCGTGCTTTTTACCATAATTGTACACCTTGGCTTCTAGATCCGGCCCAATGAACAACCAAGCTATCGAAGTGATCCAGCTGAAGACAGTATCCACGAACCAATTATTCCTTGGACTGCCCGCCAAAGCGCTCACTCTCATGGCATGACCCAAATACTGTGTCGTGATCAGATAGCCACCGCTTTCAAGACCATTAACAGCTGCTTTTGCAACTTCATCCTCGCTCTGCGCCGGATCGCCGGCTTCGAGGATTTTGGTGACTTCGTGCTTGGATTTCTGCTCATTCTCATGGCCAGGTGAGAGGATGGTTCCAGGGCATACGCAGTGGATTTTGATATCTGCTGCGGGTCCGTTGATGGGGTCTTTGCGTCGTGCGCCGTTGTATAAGTTGACTTCAGAGCGCAATGTGTCTGCTAAAGAGCGCATGGCGGCTTTGGGTGGGGAATATGGTGCGTAGCCTGCGACTCCTACGAAGCAGGCTGTGCTGGATGTCATGATGAAGTGTCTTGGATTTGCAGATGAAAGTGGTGGTTTGGACTTGTTTGGACTTGGTTTGATCCATGTTTTTAGCGTTGATTGGGCGAGGTAAGCTGCTGCCATGTAATTGACTTCCATTTGCTGCTTCAAGGTGTCCACGGGTGTCTCGACGAATAGCATAGGTTGCGACATTCCGGCATTGGCCCATACCACCTCAGGTGGGTTGCCATTGTTCCAGACAGTCACTTCTTGGATTACTCGTTCATTTTCCTCTGCTTTTGTCAGATCGGCACTGATGGAGAGGAATTGTTGTTTCTGCGCATCCTTTGCTGCCGCCTGTAGACTTGAATTAGATCTTATGCACACGTCAGAGCAGCTATGATACTCACCTTAATGTACTGCAAAGCTTCATCAAGTTTCTGTTTGTTGCGCGCAACAATCACGACGTTGGCACCCTTTTCAGCCAAGAGCTTTGCCAGCCCCCTGCCCATGCCTTGGGAGCCGCCCGTAACGATGACAGTCTGTCAAATTTCTCAGTAAACTGGCTCGAAGACTTCTCTTAGATTGTGCCCTTACTCGGTCTGCCACATCGAAGTGGTTCTTTCTTGAGAAGACACCCATAATGTCGAGGGCAAGGATGAAAAGCAATCCGCACAGGCAGACTGATGCCCAGAAAAGTCCCAAAGCCATCAATTTTGGTACTTCATATGCATTGAGCTCAGATCAGTATGCATGAATGTGCAGTTGTCCAGATGCAAGACCATCAAGTCTCCAGGAGGATCGCCGCTTTCGGTTTCGGGTTCGTTCCCCGCCAGCCCTGCCCTTCTGGCTAAGCATGTGATGCACTTTATCGACTACTTGTCACCGACGAAAGCGATCAAGCCCAACCAAATAGTCAAGATGGTCTACTACTTCACCAGCAATTTGGTCAGCCCAGCGGCCTACATCTACATGGGCAAAGACAAAGTCGAGAGTAAGAACCAAATCACACCCCCACATCTCTTCCCAAAAGTGCTAACTCTTGTAGAGACGAGGATCTCATAGCGCACGGCTGGCCCGAAGACATCTGGTTCCACGTCGACAACCTCTCCTCCGCGCACGTGTACCTCCGCATGACACCAGGTCAAACCTGGGACAACCTACCCACCTCCCTCCTCACCGACTGCGCCCAACTCACGAAAGCCAACAGCATCGACGGCAACAAAAAAGACAACATCACCATAATCTACACGCCATGGTCCAACCTCAAAAAAACAGGCGACATGGCGACGGGTCAAGTAGGTTTTCACAACCCGAAACTCGTCAAGAAAGTCTATGTGGAGAAGCGCGAGAATGCGATTGTGAATCGTTTGAATAAGACGAAAGTGGAGAAGTATCCGGATTTGAAGGCGGAGAAGGAGGAGAGGGATCGCGAGGAGAGGAAGAAGGAGAGGATTGCTGCGCAGGAGAAGAAGAGGGAGGATGCGAAGGTTGCGGAGGAGAGGGCGCAGTTGAAGTGGCAGAAGGAGCATATGTATGATGATGTGCATACGGAAGATCAGATGAGGAGTAATGAGGATGGGTTTGATGATGATGATTTCATGTAGGGGCTGCGGGTTGCGAATGTGTCGAGGGCTTATGCGCGTTTCGATCGCGAGATGGGGGATGAGAAGGATGGCAATAGGAGGAGTTTGGCGTATTTAGGTGCCAGACATGGTTCGTGGGCTATCGCGCTGGCTCGATTGGATGCTGCGATCGACTCTCTTAGTCTTATGGGGCAAGCAGCAAGAGGTGAGATCGATATGGAAAGCCGTCGACAGTACTGAATTTAAGTACGTACTCAACGGTCACAAATGCTACCTGGCATACTTTTGCGCACCACTCACCAAGTCCTGTCTCGCACCAATTGGCCATCAACGGCGTGTGTACTGCTCTGCGCCATCTAGATGTAGTCTCGGTCCACGAAGCTCTGGATCATACCTGCTGGCGTAGCTTCGTACTCCTTCAAGACCACGTTGTCGCCTTCCAGGAATGTGTTGGCTTGCACGAAGACCTTTCTCGGCTTTGCCTGTCGAATTACTTCTGGCCGCAGCTTTGTAGCGTACCATTCGTCCACATTGGTGTAGGTATCGTATAGCTTCTTGCCCGCAGTGAAGTCAGCAGTCGCTTTGAACACTTGCAGCTTCTGCAAGAACTTGTTGACAACCGGACGGCCGTGAGATTCGATCTTGGTTCGATCCAGGAAGATGGTGAGATCTGATAGATCGTCTTTCGTAGAGCGTAGCTCACAGAACTCCTTTCCAGCCTCTAGGAAGACCTGCAGGATGGCGAAACGTGCTTGCATATGAGCCTGTCCCCATTTCCGTGCATTCGGATCCCAGAACTGCAGTGCAGCGACCTGTGTTTTATCTGTCAGCGAACATGTCTCAGGAATGAGGAGCCAGGCACTTAATCAACTCACTCCAGCGCGAGCCATCTGGAGATAGCAGACAAAAAGGACATCTCCAGCCACACCATTGATATCTTCCTTGCCGTCACCGAATCCGAAGATTTGCAAGATGCTGTAGTCAGGGCACAAGCTCATTGCAACGCTTTCAGCACGGCATTCTTCGTAAGAAGGGCCCATGCCTCCAAACACAGTTCCCCAAGTCTCACCAGGCTTGTACCAGGAATCTACCGGCTTGCCGGTGACAGGATTCTGAGGAGGATTCTTCACATCGAAGTTGTACTTGCCTGGTGACGTCTCCTGGAGAAGCTTGCCGCACCCATGGCCAAGCAACTCATGAAGTCCGACTTGAACCTCGAAGGCTTCGTCTTTGTATTTGTCCCATACATCCTGGTCCTCCTCTCGTATAAATGGTGTGGGCTCTTTGGGTGCGCTGGCGCTGAGAACATTTCCGAGCGAAACATTCTTGAATCCTTCTGTCTGTCTCACTGAGTCGTAGTTTGGAATCGGAAGGGAAGGTCAGCCAAGTAAGATTATGCAATAGTATGCAACTCCACTTACATTGATCCCGGCAGGAATTCCTGAGCCGGCGAAAGTCAGTACTTCAAGCGATGTGAAATCAGGTGAGAGGAATTTGTCCTTCTCAAATTCCGCAGCCCATGGCAGCTTGGGAATCTGAGCAGGAGCCGATTCGACAAGCTTTCCGAATGCCTTCGTTCTCTCCTTGTTGACCATGGCGGCAAAGCCCTCCCACTCGCCACGGATACCATGCGGATCTCTGTAAGTCTCGATGAAACCGATGTTGCACTCCACCATGGGACCTTTGTCTTTGATCCAGTGTCGCTGTGAGTCCAGATGAGCGAACATCGAGCCGTCGTGGAAGCTGGCTACGTATTCGCCTTGCATCAGGTCTTCCTGCTTGTTCAGCGCATACTTTTTGGCTTCGGCAAGATTGCGAGCGATCTTGCCCATCTCTGCTGCGTGATCGCCGAAAGCCAATCTGACTTTCGTTCCTTTGAGTGGTCCACTCGATAGTGTCCATTCTGATTCTTTCAAGTCACGACGTGCAGGATCGGCTACGGCGGAAGCAATCTTCAGGTCGAAGCTACCATCCGATTTCTTCTGCAATCTGGTGTTTTCAGGCATCAGTCCCATATCCTTGAAGAAGTCGCTAACAATGGCGATCTCTTCAGTTGTGATACTAGGCGAATCTGGATAGTACGTTGAGATATGGCCTTGATCTGGATAACCAAGGTGCATCGCGGCGATCGAAGAGGATTCGTAGAGGTCTCCTTTGAATCGCTTGTACAGTCCATGAGCCTCATCAGAGGTCTTGGCCAGGGCTTCCAGCTTGTCATTCTTGATACGCGGAATGAACTTGGAATCGCCAAAAGACTTGAAGTTGCCCGTGTTGCCCAGGAACTGCGCAACATAATTCAGGAAGTCCTTCAACTCGTTGTCGGATAAGTTGGCTTCTGTCTGGAGCTGCTTCCAGTTGCCTGAGACCTGATGAGTGGCGTTCAGTTGAATATGTACATCAATACTTACCACTGCATTTCTTGTGGAGAGCGAGCACGAAATCGTAGATGGCTTCTGACTCCGGCGACACTTGGCGCAGGTTCACTCTGGTGCCAGCAAACGCGGCTCGGGAAATGTAATGCGCATAGGTCTTTTCCTGCTTGGACCTAGATGGAGTGAGCAGGCGGTCAAGCTTGATGAGTGGACGTTTCCGAGTTGTCTGGGCCTGCAACCTACAAGGCTTCGAAGTGTGGTTTGATGGCCAAAGGCACTATGGTTGGAGGGTCATCTGCCAAATATTGCTTGAGCGTGTCATCGACTATGGCGTTTTCGAGCATCTTTGACAGTGCGCAAAATTGATCTCGATGTCGTTAGTATGGTATGGCAGATCAGTCTCGCTCTTGGGAGCTGCCGACGAGTGGAGTGTGTGGTGGGGAAAGTGGTCCCTTGCATTAGCGCGACTCAGATTGTTGCGCAGGCGACAGGGCATCATCATGTAGGTACTTTGGCAAAGCATTGTGAGGTTACAAGTCAGTTCCAATCATGCCTTGGGCAACAGCTCGATGGCACTTGAATCACCGCGGATTCTACTTGGAAGAGGAGTCTCGTGTGTAGACTGTTGTGCTTTCATTTCATGCCTATCTTCGTATAGATAAATTAGTGCATGTACAATCATGCTCAATCATGTTGCTGGGGGTATAGTATCGTGATAAACCGATTCCGCTGTCCATGCGCCTCGAAATATGATCAAACTAGAAAGCTTCCAAATTTCGACTCTTCATGACCGCTCGACAGCAGCATTGCGCCTGAGCTCGAATGCCTCAAAGCTGAGGCTGGGTCATCCCTCTTGTACTTTTCCCATCTCTACAAAAGGCCAACGAAAAGAGCACCGAGACCGAAAACGGCACCAGAGGCAATCTTGAGGTTGGAGTTCGCGGCGGCGGAGGAGGTCGCGGCGGAAGCAGATTTGGTGGAGGTGCCCGAGGCAGTGTTCTTCGAGCTTGAACCAGAAGCAGTGCCGGTTACGATAGCTGCGCTAGAGCCGGTGGTGATGGACAGGCCAGTTGGAGCTCCACCGATGATGACGGTTGTGCTCGAGCCAATGGAGACCACGAAAGAGCTGCGCGAAGTGGAGTTTCCGATGTTGATTCCCAAAGTGGTGATGCCTGGAGAAAGGCCGGCTGGCACGATAGCGACGGCTGGCTGAGAGGTCTCGGCGGCAGGTTGTGGGCCATGGCTGAGGGTTGGCATGCCAGTGACAACGCCGTCAGAGTTGGTGAGGGAGAGGAAGTTGGTCATGGTCTGTAAGGCGATTAGCACTTGGCTAGGAAGAGGCGACGGCGTTCGCGACGACTGACGTTGCTGTAAGTGTATGTCGATACGGTGGGCGAGGCAGTCGACGAGGACTCGGATTGCGCGAAGGCAGCGACCACGAATGGCGCGACGGCAAGACCGGCGTAACGCATGTTGAGCGAAGTGTGGTAAATGGAAAATGGAAATGTGGTTGTATGTAGCGACAGCAAGAATTGATAACGACTGAGGTGTGCGGTAAGGGGCAGTGGCCGTTGCGCGCGAGAGTGAGCGAGGGTGAGGCGAGGACGCTTTATATTGGTATTGGCAAATGAATGGAAGCAGGGTGGAAGGCGCTTGGGCCAGCGCGTCAATCTAAATGTCTAGAGACGGCCGCGCCAAATTTCCAAGACTCCGACATGGGTTTCATAGCAACAAGCAGTAGTGTGTTTTCGCCTTCTTCCACACTGTTCACCATACGTGACATTGCCTTGTGCATGCAACTACACCGTGTGCAAAGCTGGTATAGCTGCTTATTACAGCCTCGAAGCTCTAGTAGCGCGTCTTTGAACGCTGGAAATAGCAGCGCTGTCCACGCGCAATTTCTGACTTTGCCCAGGTCATCTTGGCTTCATCTTGGCTGGTCGCCGTCGTGCATGCTTCTGCATCTGCGACTGCATCTCATCACGACAACGCCCGCTGGCCCTCAGACAGACACATCATCATGCCGGACATGACAGACATAGTGGCCTCAGCAATTGGCGTGCTTGTCAATACGAGCTTTCGTGCTCCTAAGAGTCGATCATTTCATTGCCCTCTTCGCATTATTATTATTGCTGAACCAGGCATGTTCCCACATGGTCGGAAGTGGCAACACACGCATGTTTGAGCATGCGACTTGTACAAGGCACCACAACCTACACTAATAATGCTGCTTCACAAGTCCTTTGCGATCCACGTGATCAGGTGAGGAGTTTGGTAAGCTCCGGAAAGGGAAGTCTGGCAGGCTGTGGCCGAAGTGGAAGTTGCAGGAACAGTGCCAGATGGAACGCTTGTGTACGCCGGAGTGGTACCAGGAGTGCCAGTTGGTGCTGGAATACTGCTGTTTCCCGACCAAGTCGTTGCGAGTGTAGTAGGCGTGCTGATTACGTGATCGTCAAAGCCGGCACTGTCGGGTGGAGCCCAAGCTTCCAAGAATGAAGGTCTCTTTAAAGAGAGAACCACGATCTTTGATCCACAGTAAGCATTATGGCAGAGTGACAAGGTGCCTCTCATGCACTTTCTGTCTATGGGAGGGCAGCGTATGTGGTCGCGAGGCTGAACTGGGTCGGCGGGTCTAGCAGCGGCGGTGGCACCGCCGAGGACGTGAAAGAACAGCCTTACGCGGCCTGTGCGGACGTGGTCTTTCTACAGAAGGCCAACTTGTGGTCACCCCATGAGATCACTCTTGAGGCTAGAAGTCCGAGCCGCACTTCAGTGTTTCATGTCGCACGAGAAGCGGCCGATGCTTTCAACAGGCGTTGAACGCGAGGTCGTACACATGAAAGGCGTGGTATAATCATGGTTGAGGCCGCGTCGACATGAGAATACGGAAGCGTTCATCTTGGTGAGACCCAAAGCGTCAGACTTACGTTGAGCTTAGGATAGCTCTTTTGTGCTTCTTTCTTTCGACTGCACTCAACAAGAAGAAGCTATGGCCATTCTAGTGGTCTGAGCAACTGGATGATTTGTCGACATGACGGTATTGAACAGTGCTGTCGCACCAATACCGAGTCAGTCGATTAGCTGTGTGAACAACCCGGTTTTGCAGATAACGAGACCGTTAACCCTGGGTCTCTGCTGCTCATTCATCACTGCCGGTCAAGCCAGGAGACGCGATCGCAGAGTCGTCGTCAGACTCCTCCACATTGAGGTCATTGCTAGGTATTCTGCTGGGAACGTGGCCGAAGTTCCGACGAGCGAGGACTGCTTTCTGCAGTATCTTGAAATACCACGCAAGTGCGCTGGCCATTCGCAATGGTCCTTGGAGTCTGATGTGCAGATACGAGAGAAGAATACGAAATAATGAAAGCAGATCAGGGAACCGAGGAGTGAAGTGCAGACGAAGGCACGGGATTGAACTTTCGGATCGATGTCGGGCAAACTCTCCTTCCAGCCGGATGTCGCAACGGTCGAAGTCGAACAGGTTTGAGTCCTGCTTCAACCAAATGGCCAATAATGCAGGAACACGCTGCTTCGTATGGAGAATCATGCGAACGACAAAGACCGACGCACGGCACCACTGCATGCGCGTTGAAGAACCTGTCGATCGCTAGCCACCCGACGTTTGCAAGAGAATGTACAGTGTATGTATCCACGCGGTGGCATGCGTCGATGCGTACCGTGTGGGCCAGCCAGCCTTAACACGGCTTGCATGCTGTATTGACTGCCGCACTCATGCTAGAAAAGCGACAAGAGGACTCACCTGTACGCGTACAGGTGATACTGTGAATTACAGCTTTGCCGATATATCCCCTTCCTATGCTATCCCAGAACGCCACAACGCTATCACAAGCATGAAAGAATGACTATCCTTCACTTCCCGGCCCATATACTGCAAATTCACGATTCCCTTCATCGGAACTCCACTGCAGGTACTCTGCCACCGTCGTCCACCCATCGCAACTCCAGCTGTTGATATTTCTCGCTCTTGCTGTGGAAGTATATGCCGCTTACACCTCCAGATCTTTGGTCAAAGCAAATGTAGTAGAAACCTTCGAAGCTAGCGCCACTGATCTGTTTTACCCTGTGGTCTGGGACAAGGAAATACTCCTTCCATCGCATGAACAAGTGCTCTTTCTCCCATGGATTCTTAAGCGTGAACAGCGAGTTCTTACTCGCACTCTTGGCTAGCGGTCGCCATGCAGGGAATCGGGCCCAATGTTGAAGGTCGACCTTTTCTGAGGAGCCCCACGTTGGGTGAGATGTACGGAAGAGATATCGAGGTCCTATTATCTCGCCTTCGAAGAACGTGGTGAGGGTAGGGTGGTCGTCCGTGAGGCCTGCGGTCTGTCAGCTCCGCATCAACAAGCGAATGCAGTGTCTTACCTTGTATTCTCAGGTATCCACAGAGTCTGCTCTCCTCCATGTCCACATCTTTCAGCTCGACCTGAACATCATAAACCTGCCTATCACTTTGCTGAGTACCGCGAAATTTACTGCCAGGTCGCAGATAAGATGTAGTCGAATTGAGCCCAAGATATCTCTCACGGTCCAGCTCGGCATAATGCAAATATAGTGGTGATGGCGACGCATTGCTTTCCGACGATATTGCTGTTGATGACATGCTCTGTGCTAGCCTGACATCGCTCTCAGAAGGCGCATCGGGCGAGCCAACCGTGGGCGATGGTGGTTCTGGTAGAATGCCTGCATCATCTACTTCGTTGACCTTTGTGTTCGGCCTGGGAGGCTGCAATCGATCATTCACACTGCGTCTTGCGTCTGACTGCGGCGCATCGTTTGGAGAAGGTATTTGTTCAGGTCGCGCTAGGTTCTCGCGCTGTTCTTCGCTACGATCCGCTCCAGCGGAAGAGAGGTCCGTTCTTTCTACGAGCTGCTCCTGCCTTTGCGTGCGTCGTTCTCTAGCCTCCTCGGGTGGGCATCGCCGTAATTCTTCGTCGAATGATACAACTGTCGAATCGATAATAGTGTCTTCGCTGGGTGTCGGCATTCTTAGGGCACTCGCGTGACGGTTGCGCGCAAGGATATGGAAGCGTGGCTAGAGTTTGGGCTCACGGAAGTGATTTTAAAGGTCATTACAATGTACAAGGAAGGAAGCCCATTCGCACATGCAACCGCATCAAAGACTGCGCCCGAGAAGAGTGTGCGAAAGATGATGTTGTTGTCAATGGTGTAAGTGGTTCGAGATGGGAGACGGCCTGTCGACGGTCTGGATGACGTGCAGTGACTGGCCCCGTCAAAACGCAGCAACACAGCCGAGCTCTTTGACTCTGGAGAAGAACATGGACACGTGCTGCCGAGACACCACAAGAACGCTTGAGAAGAATGTTCTGAGCCGTCTACTCTGCAATCACCCGAACTGAAAAGTGCTCCGCTGTGCAGTTCTAATTTTGAGAGCCTCAGTTGAAGTGCTTGTTGCATGTCTCTGTAACATTCCTGCGCCGAGATCGCAGGGCGGATACCCACCATTCGACAACAGCGGATCTTCCATTGGTATCATCGACTTCATCTCTCATTGTACCAATGTCTCTATGGGAGTGACTTCATTACGACCTTTCACCATGCGCCTGCGAGCCATTCGGTCGGCTATTCTCGGCGGGTCCAGCGGCGTGGACTCCTTCAGGCCACATTCGGTAGCAAGGTCTTGATGCGAACGAACTGGACAATGTTGTATAATTTCCAGATCTGGCAGCGGCCACCTAGATAGGCTTGATCTACAAACGATGCAGTCAGTAATGTGCTGTGTAATCAAAGCAAAACGACGAGCCGTAGACATACTTTGAAGTGAAGTGAGATCAACGAGAAGACCAGAGCTTTCAAGTCTTGCACGAGGTAGTAGAACACCCGCAAGCCCTCTGGATCCTCGGATTCGTTGACGTCGACCAGGGAGCCAATTTTTGCGGTCTGACACAGCGCGCTCAAGTCAGCGAGATCATTCAATTCTCACTCAAGCAAAGTCTCACCTCGAAGGAAATGTGCTCGCCTCCCATGCGAATCTCCAGCTCCTGTCTGCCATCCTTGTTCTTTTGCGGCCACTTTGTATCATCCTCCCTGTTGCCATGTTAGCCCCCTCTATGCAGTGTTGACAATATTCGCTGCGGTACTGACTTCAAAATCTCACTATCTTTGATGATGCGCTTAATCTCGTCCACCATGAGTGAGCTTACGCACACTGTCGCATGTTAGTGTCCCATTCTCGTTAAAATAATTGGTCGAGTCGCATACTCTCTTTTCGAATGAGGGAATCATTCCGATAGTTGGAGTTGTTTGCATATCGTGCGAGAGCGGAACGGCCGTCGCCTACCACTCTGAAGTCGAATTCTGCAGAACTCTCGTGTCAGACGACAGCGCAATACAGCATGTGAGACGAAGATATACCCAAGAACTCATGGCCGAATCTACCGGAGTGTCCAGAGCTGTATCACGGTCAGATGAGGTCTCGTAGATTTCCTGCGCTACTTGGCCTGCAACAATCTGCTTGCGAGAAGGCCAAGAACAGGTCAGGGCTGTCAGCACTTACTAGTAGCGAACGTAGAATGGTTCGGGCGTCTTCTCGCTCATTTTGATGGTCACAGAGAAGGATGGTCCAGAGATCAAGAGAGATCGACGTTCGTAGGTGCAGGCGCAGGCTCGGCAGGGCTGCGAAATGCCAAGCCAAGCATCAAATGGCGGAACAGGGTCCGGCTTGTGAGAGACCACGTTTGAAGTCGGTCCAGGAGCAGGAGAGCAGAGCAGAGCACCACCTCCACCTCCAAATCTGATCCCGCGATCTCTCTCACACACGACGGTCCTCCTCAGCCGTGACTTTCAATTCTGCATCGGCAATTCTTCAGTCTGGGCTCAGAAAACCTACGAAAGCTCCTGACTGGAAGGCACGGACAATTTGGCCAGGGTTGGCGCACTAGAACATTGCCAGCGAGGAGGACTCGCCTCGAATAGACACATATTGGGTTTGCGTGCAATACTCGTCCAAGATGGCGACCTTTCTGGAGCATTCGTACAGCTTAGTCCACCTGGACAATGCTGCGGACCAGCCGTCGCAGCAAGACCTCAAGAACCAGCTGGAGAAGGGAAGCGATGAGATGAAACAGGAAACGATGAAGCGCATATTGACGATCATGCTCAATGGCGACCCGATGCCTGGCTTGCTAATGCACATCATTCGATTCGTTATGCCGAGCAAGAGCAAGCCGCTAAAGAAGCTGTTATATCTGTATTACGAGATATGCCCCAAGCTCGATGCCAGCGGAAAGCTCAAGCAGGAGATGATTCTGGTCTGGTAAGGACATTCGTTGGCGCTGCATAATACCGAGTCCGTGAAGGTGTTGGTGTGCTGATCTTCCGCAGTAACGGTATTCGTATGGACCTGCAACATCCGAACGAGTACATCCGCGGCAACACCCTCCGATTCCTCTGCAAGCTGCGAGAGCCCGAGCTCATTGAACCGCTCCTCGCCCCTGCACGCTCCTGCCTCGAGCACCGTCATTCATACGTGCGCAAGAATGCCGTATTCGCCATCGCTTCCATCTACCAACACTCTGAAGCTCTCATGCCAGATGCTCCAGAGCTCATTCAAAACTTCTTGGAATCTGAAAGTGACAACACCTGCAAGCGCAATGCTTTCGCAGCACTCCTCAGCATCAGCCATGAAAAGGCTCTCGAGTACTTGAGTGGTGTGTTCGAAGGCATTCCCAACTCAAGCGAGCTGCTTCAGCTGGTCGAGCTCGAGTTCATCAGGAAAGATGCTGTACAAAACCAGCATAACAAGGCTCGATACTTGCGCCTCATCTTCGATCTTCTAGAAGCCAAGGACTCGACCGTTGTCTACGAGGCCGCTTCATCTCTCACAGCACTGACAAGCAACCCAGTTGCAGTCAAGGCTGCTGCCGGCAAATTCATTGAATTGGCCATCAAGGAGCCGGACAACAACGTCAAGCTCATTGTGCTCGAAAAAGTGAACTCGCTACGAAAGGCCAACGAGGGCATTCTCGACGACCTTACGATGGAAATCCTACGTGTACTTTCGAGCCCGGATCTTGACGTGCGGAGAAAGGCTCTTGAGCTGGCAATGGACATGGTCTCGAGCAAGAACGTGGAGGAAGTCGTCATGCTGCTCAAAAAAGAGCTTTCCAAGACTGTTGACGAGCAATATGAGAAGAACAACGAATACAGGTCGCTGCTCATCCACTCCATACATCAGTGCGCTATCAAGTTCTCCGAGATTGCGCAGAGCGTGGTTGGATTGCTCATGGACTTCATCTCGGACTTCAACAACGCCTCAGCGGTGGATGTCATCTCATTCGTCAAAGAGGTGGTTGAGAAGTTTCCCAAGATGCGCAGCTCGATCGTTGAGAGGCTGGTGTCCACCCTCAGCGAAGTGCGTGCCGGCAAAGTCTACAGAGGAAGCTTGTGGATCGTCGGAGAGTACTCTTTGGAACAGAATGATATCAAAGAGGCATGGAAGCGAATTCGAGCCAGCTTGGGTGAGATTCCCATTGTTGCATCTGAGGCACGACTGCTTGAAGAGCAGCCTGATGGCGAAGCGGAGCCCAACGACCAAGTCAATGGTCACGCGAAGCCTGCAGCACCCACCGGTTCGCGAAAAGTGCTCGCAGATGGCACATACGCTACGGAAAGCGCACTTACCAGCACAGCTTCGGCTAAAGCGAAGCTTGATGCTGTCAAGGCTGCACAGAAGCCGCCTTTGCGTCAGCTGATTCTGGACGGTGACTACTTCCTCGCCACCGTGCTCTCATCTACATTGACCAAGCTCGTGATGCGCTTTTCGGAAATTTCAGTCGACCAAGCGCGTGTGAATGCTCTCCGCGCCGAAGCCATGCTGATCATGATCTCGATCATCCGTGCTGGCCAGTCACAATTTGTCAAGGCGCCCATTGACGAAGACTCTGTCGATCGTATCATGTCCTGCGTGCGCTCTTTGGCTGAGTTTCAACAAAAGAAGGACCTGGAAGTCGCATTTCTTAACGATACCCGAAAGGCTTTCCGCGACATGGTCCAAGTCGAAGAGAAGAAGCGCGCGGCCAAGGAAGCGCTTTTGCAAGCTAAGAATGCCATTCAAATCGATGACGTGGTGACAATCCGTCAGCTCAAGCCAAAGAACCAGGATGGGGGTGACGAAGCCGAGATCGATCTCGAGAAGGCAACAGGTGGTGACGCCACCACTGAAGACCTTTCCAGTAAGCTGAATCGCGTTGTTCAGCTGACTGGCTTCTCCGATCCGGTCTACGCGGAGGCCTACGTACAGGTGCATCAATTTGACATCATCTTGGACGTGCTTTTGGTCAATCAGACAAGAGAAACGCTTCAGAACTTATCGGTCGAGTTCGCTACGCTAGGAGACCTGAAGGTTGTGGAGAGACCTACGACGCAGAACCTTCCAGGGCTCGACTTTTTGAACGTGCAAGCAACGATCAAAGTATCGTCAACCGACACAGGAGTAATTTTTGGAAATGTTGTTTATGACGGACCTTCCTCCACGGAGAGCAACGTGGTCATCCTGAATGATGTTCACGTCGATATCATGGACTACATCCAGCCAGCACAATGTACAGAGACACAGTTCCGGACCATGTGGACCGAGTTTGAGTGGGAGAACAAGGTTAACATCAACACCAAGATGCCGGCCGGCAAAGGTCTTCGGGAGTTCCTGCAAGCCTTGATGAAAGTAACAAACATGAGCTGTTTGACGCCAGAGGCCAGTCTAGAGGGAGAATGCCAGTTCTTGAGCGCCAATCTCTACGCGCGATCTGTGTTCGGTAAGACGAAAAGTATCTTCTCACGTGCATTGCAATGCTAACTTCTTCTGCAGGCGAGGACGCTCTCGCAAATTTGAGTGTCGAGAAAGAGGGCGAGAATGGGCCTGTCACAGGTTTCATGCGGATACGAAGCAGATCACAAGGCCTAGCCTTGTCGCTGGGATCCCTCAAAGGTTTGAACAAAATCGGAGAATTGGCCTGAGATTTGCCAATGAATAGGACATGATGGATTTGACTTATTGGGCGAGCTTGTGTGGCTACTAGACAGCATGGCGTCCGGCGCCGAGAGTGGAAAAGAAAGCATGATGAGCAAGGTCTACAGAACGGCCGCTGCTCGGAGCATGAGCTGCAAGAAGTTGGGAATCGTGGGACGAAGGCACGGGGCGTCGAAGAGGAGAGCACCTAGATATGCAGGAGAATCGATCGAGAAGTCCAAATTTCGAAGGCAACCTGGCCGCATATCATCATGTCGTTGTTGGTCAGGCTCCTCTCCTGCCAATCCAAGGCTGTGTGTACTGCTCATACCGGGTGAAGCTGGTGGACTGGGGAACCGGGAACCGCCAGCTAGCGTGGCTTCCGTTCTGGCGAATCAAAGAGAAGCGACAAGCGGACTGAGCCGTACGCGTACAGGTATACCCTATCCTCCGATCACACAAGCGCAGCGACTCTGAAGCATTATTTCCAGGTGACATTTTATCCCATCCCATCCCGGCCACTCAAGATGCCACCATGCCTGCAGCCACGGCCCCAGTACCAGCAGCTCCTTCCTTCTTCTCTCCATCTCCCTCTCCTCCTTCTTTCTTCCCGCCTTCTTCCTCGTCTCCAACTCCGCCCTGGCCATCGTGCTCACAGGTCGCGCCGTACAGCTTGATCGCTGCCTTCAGCTCACCGTTCTGGAGTCGCACATAATACCCTGCGTGACCTGATACACAAGTCCCATCGAGCCTGCCCTTGGGCTTTCTGCAGCGGGTCCAGCTCTCCAGAATCCGCTCTCTTGGGTTGAGTCCCTCGATGGAGTGGACTCGAATGGTTCCCGAGGCGAACTTGTCATCTTCAGGGTCTGGGTATGGGTATAGGCGACGATTTACGTTGTACTGCTTCGCCGTGGTGCCTTTGGGGTGGCTCGACTTGTGAGAGTCGCCTTTCTTCTTGAGAGAGTGGGACATGGTGTAGGTGTGGCGAGGGTTGGTCGTGCTGGAGGTGGTGATTGCAGTATGCGGTGCTATAATGCTGCGAGAGGCGATGCTTGGTGGTGTTCGCCATGGTTTGGAGTGTAGAAGTCGCAGGTTGAATTGCGAGTCACCTTGTAGTAGACCTACATCACATGCTAAAGTCTCGTAAGTGAATACAAGTCCACATTCACAGGACTCGAGCATTCACGAGCAATCAGTGTCAGGTGATGAAAATGCTTTTACATGTGCTTCATGAAGTATACAATCTGGAACCTTGATGCTCATCGCAGAGGAACAAGTCGTCGTTGAGAATTTACGGTCTGATATATCTCTCTTGTTTGCCAAATCCAGAATCGCCGGCGTGCTTCGTGCCGATTCTACTCGACAATAGGAAAAGCCAGTTGGACGACCGGATTGGCATGTGATTGATGCTTCAGCGACACGTCCAAGCTTCTAGCCACCTCAAGAACGCTCTTGGTTTTCTCTCCCAACGTGACCTAATCTATATGTGCACTCAACTCCATTGCCAAGCTGATTTCACCGAAAGACTTTGAAGTGGTGACGGTGTGAGCCGATGCAGGATTGACTTGGCATGGAGTCCTTTTCGTTCAGAAGAACATGAATGCTGAGCTGAAACCAGATCTCTTACCGTTACCATAGCTGCTATGACCTTGCAGAGTGGACTTAAAAAGCCACCTCTCCTTGGGTCTTCAATTTTGATTTCCAGCTCCTACCTGGAAATCCCATCTGTATGGGTTTCTCTATGGAGATGTATTACTGATCGGATTGATGAGTTGTAGTTCAGAGAGACATGAATTGTCGTCACCAGATCACATCACTTACACTTGGTTTCCTCAGCAGGGATGACCAGGACCTATGCTTCTATTTCGCAGCAATACCATAGTAAGCCTGATCTTGAAGAGTGAGCAAAGGCATGTGAGCTGTGGCGTACGATCACCTGCCGGGCATCAAGCACGGTTGACTCTGCAATCTAGGAAGGGGCTATACATTCGGCCGCTTGCTATTTGTCCTTAGCATCAATGATATTCCGTCGGGGTGAGTGGGAGGCTGTGGATTGCCCACAACGCTCAAACACAATTCAACTCCACGCTGAAGAGCCATTAAGTAACAACGGATTTGATTTCGTTGCTATGGTCGTTTCGACTTCGATGAGTCAGTCATTCACGTTCTTATGCACATCCAACCACCGGGGAGGATTTTCTCCTTCTCGCTTTCTAACAGATGCCCTTCTCAAGCGCCGCTACCGAGACCATTGGTGGGCTTCTCTTGACACTGACGACATTCTTGCAGCCACCATATACCTCCAGACCATTCTCCTCACTCATCTTGCGCTCCACGACCCTCGTTGGTGGGAAATGCGCAGGAACTGGTTGCAATCGCTCATCCCACGCGTAACGCTGGCCTTGCTTGGAATTTGGCGTGATGGGAGCTGGCCACGTCGAAGTTCCGCTGTTGGAGTGAGGCTGGCCTGGCATGGTAGAAGTTGAGATCGCAGTTGCCATAGCTGCACGCGTTTTCTGAATCTAGCGAACACTTAGTAATCTCCCACACCAACAGGGCATTTATTGAACTTACGTGGCGAGACTTGCAGACTAAGCAGTTCTCAACGTTGCATTGCAACGCATAGACAGGTCTTGGTGCCTGGACATTGCCATAGGTGGTGACAGATCCGAGACCGGCGACGAGTGACTTGTGGTGTACGCACTTGATGGAGTAGCCGATGGGTGGGCCATGATAATCGGACGGAATGTCATCGTCTTCTGCTTCTTTCGACAATTTGGCGACACTCTTGAAGGCAGGCTCGGGGAGCAGTGGCACTGCTGGTTTGATGGAGTAGGCTTTGCCAGCTTTTGTCTTGCATGCTTGCGTGGTCCCAGTGCCGCGCGATGCTGTCTGCTGCTTTGAAGGTCTCAAAAATGCCAGTGGTGTGACTGCCGGTGCCGTAGCGTAGGAGATGTAGCTAGATCTGACGGTTTCATGGTGGCGAGGGGGTGCAGACGGAGTCAGGACGGGCCAATCGATTGGCGTGGCGCAATCGGCCATGATGTCCATGTCGCTGGCAATCTGGTCGGGTTTGTTGCTCATAAGATGTTACGCTTGTTCGCCAAAAGCTCAGGTCTGAGAGTCGTGTTCGCGCGGACTGAAGATGTTGTGCTGGCAAATGTCTTGGACGCGAATCGACTCAGAAAGAGCCGGACGTGTCTCGAGTAAATACAAATCAATCTTGATGAATGCATTGTCGGCTGAATAACATTGTTCGAGAATAGCACTGTTGTTGCGACAATAGCAAGTTGTTTCAGAATTTCAACTTCACTCAATGGCACTTTTGCCCCACCTGGCCCGCAACAATTCGTCAATCTTGGCTGCATCATTCACTCATTCGTCGTAATAATGTACATTCTGTGGCGTGTCTTGTTTTCATGCATCGTACTCGTACAATCCCTCGCCTTGCCCAGAGAACCGCCTGTGGTTTCGAGCGGCAATATTTTGGACATCTGCTTCTTCCTCTAGCTGGTTTGGGCCAAAACCACCCCAGCCTCTGAATTCTTGCGCCATCTTGACAGCGGACTTGAGGTAGAACTGGTTGGCATCACCCCATGTCTTGCTTGCCTCATGCATACATCGCAACGCCTTGACAAAATGGGCATCTGTGCGCCATTTGCTCTTGAGAGCTTTCTCGGTGACGAACTGCCAATCGCGGCCCTCCAGCTCCACCAGCTTGATATTGTCGATGTTGATCTTGGGTCTCAACTGTGCAATGTACACCAGCAATGTGAAGAGCCACCATTGTCGGACGAGAGAGATATGGTGTTTGTTAGGCAGAGTTGGCAGGAGAGTTCGTACAGCGTGCGAGCTGGTCAAGAGGTGAACTCCAAAGAAGTCATACCCCTTGTCGTTGGAAGGTTCTTCGGCCGCCACTACAAGCGCGACCGCGAGCTTCTGCGACTCGGCGAATTGCTCAGTTGGCTTCTTCAGATCCCAGGAATTCCAGTACTCTAAAGCTGCGGCCGCCAGCTCCTCATTGCCAAGTATTTTATCTATATTGTCGCTGCCGAGATGATCGGATAAATTGTTGAATCTGGTGTCATTGCGAACCCGCTCCAAAATGCCGAAGAGCGAGTCTGTGGGGTTTGGGGCCGGCTTGGTGTATTTCGGGTTGTCAAGGAAGACGTGCCAGTCGTTGTAGAAACAAGCGGCAAGCCCCAGAGCTTCAACTGCCACTGTACGGGATGAGAGCTCTTCTGCATAGCCCAAGTGGATGAGTGGATGTGCGAGGCCAGCGATCAGGTTATTGATGAGAGGCTCTTTCCCGGAAAGCAGGAAGTGATTCAAGAGGGCATGCCAGTCGTAGCCATGTTGGACGAGCTGATCTTCAAAGAAATCAATGAAGGCCCGTTGGTATCTATCACAGGCTGTAAGCCGTTGTTCGCAACTAACTCCCAGCACGAGCACACATACTCTCTCTTTCCCAAGAAGTCTCGCCAGTCGTGCAAAGCGATCTCTCCCGGACTGTCTTGCCATGGCTCTAGATGCTTGCTTTCCGCCTCATAGATGTGTGTCAGCTCATCGTGATCGGCGCCAAAGATGTAGGCTGAGCCGAGGATATGGGGGGTGTGGTTGTGGAAGCGGAGGTTGTTGTAGATGATGCTGTAATTAATGTGATTCGCCTTGAGCAGGTGCTTCAGCGTGCGAGCTCTTTTCTCGGCTCGCTCCTCGACGTCGTGGATGTCGGCCTTGGGGAGTTTGATCCCGCCGCTGAGCTGACCCCACGACGGCAGCGGCGGCAGCGAGGGTAGTGTGAACTGTGAGAACATAGCCGGTATAGGTGGGATGCCTAGGTCGAGCGGCAGTATAGAGTGTACTCTTGGGATTACTGCTGCTGCTGCCAAAAGGCACAAGACATGCTCGGCTGAGATACGGATACGAGACCCAAGCTCCGGTAGACGTTGACCTCGTGGCAGTAGCTCATGGTATAGTTATGCCCCACTTTCACGTGCTCCACGGACTTCTTACCCCAAGTGGTAGCTAGGGATGTGGGTTTACAGCCTCCTCAAGATCCGGACCATGTACACTGTATGATACACTAGTGTATACCAGTGTATATACATCGGCTATGCCCGATTCCCGAATACTAGAATATCCGAGTAATATTAAGTAGCTTGGCGGGTTATAGCTGCTGAGAGCTCGCCCAAAAGAGTCGTATATACACCCTGATTAAGCGAGATGGCGGACGGGGGTAATCCCCGGAAAAGGCAGCTAGCTTGAAAACGTTAGACCTGAACTTTTTGAAGGTGCGGATAATTCCTTTAGATAGTACGCTAGCCTTGATCAGTGAGATCCCGTTTTCAGGGATTACCCCCTTCCGCCATCTCGCTTAATCAGGGTGTATGGTGTATTGTGGAGCGTATACACTATCTATAGGTTAGTAGACTCTGTTGCTGGTGGTAGCCGATGGCACTTGGTTGGTTGCCGGCGTGCCGCGGCTCTTGGGGCGCTACCGATGTGGGACCGATATTTTCCGCTCGACGGCCTAGTAGATATCTATTGTAATCTATAGATACAATAGGGCTAGCGTAACAGCGTACGCCGCGGCTCTAAGTATAGTGCTCTAGTCTGCCCTTTCCTTCCCATTACTGCTAGCAATAAAATGCACACGAATACGAGCACGACATGCAACACCTTCATCTTCCACGCTGCCCGCTTCTATGCCCCGTCTAACGACGACCGCACGTAATAATAAGCTGCTTCCACTTTTGCAGCACTATTCTACACGTCATGGTCCGCAAACGGGCGTTGGGAACGCTGGCGCTATGCTCAGCATCTGCATTTGCCCAGCTTGCCTCCACCGATGCAATCGCAAGTGTAATCAATAACACTGGAGTTGTCCCAGCCAACCTGGTCGACCTCGCAGCACAATATCTGGCTGGGGAAGCGAATAACACTCAACAAGCAATCATCGCAGCCTTGTCGCAACCTGGAGTAGATCCACAGAAATTGACTGATCCAGAGCACTACTATTCATATGGCCATTCGCCACCTGTATATCCGTCGCCGGAAGGTAAAGGGGACGGTCTCTGGGCCAATGCCTACGCTCAAGCCAAAGCCATGGTAGCAGCCATGAGCAACGAGGAGAAAAACAACGTCACCATTCCAGCAAAGGACAATCGAAAATGCTCTGGCTTTACGGGTTCGGTCGAGAGAATGGGATTTCCAGGCATCTGCCTGAATGATGGTCCCACCGGCGTGCGGACAGCGGAGAACGTCAGTGGATTCCCAGCCCAGATTTCCATTGGTGCAACCTGGGATCGTGGTCTTGCCTACCAAAGAGCATACCAAATGGGCAAGGAGTTCAAAGCTAAAGGCGTCAATGTCGCTTTGGGCCCAGTAGTAGGGCCTCTCGGTCGAGTGGCCAAAGGCGGGAGGAATTGGGAAGGCTTCACAAACGATCCTTATCTCGCTGGCCAGCTCGTTGACCCGGCAGTGCGAGGACTCCAGCAGTCTGTCGTTGCTTGCGTAAAGCATTTTATTGGTAACGAGCAAGAGACCAATCGCAATCCTTTTCTGCAAGGCTTCTTGGCTCCAATCGGTATCAATCTCAACAACTCAGTATCCTCAAACATCGACGATAAGACAATCCACGAATTGTACCTGTTCCCCTTCTACGACGCAGTATATGCTGGCGTAGGCTCTGTGATGGGAAGCTATAACAGAGTCAACAATTCATACGCATGTCAAAATAGCAAGATCTTGAATGGTCTACTCAAGACGGAGCTCGGATTCCAAGGGTTCACACTTTGCGACTGGTATGGACAGCACACGGGCATTGCAAGCGCTGAAGCAGGCCTTGATATGGTAATGCCGAGCGATCTCTACTGGGGAAATAACCAGCTTGCCACGGCAGTCAAGAATGGATCGATGAATAGCACTAGACTCGATGATATGGCTACTCGCATCCTGGCAGGTAAGTTTGGAATTCAATTTATTTGCTACATAGTGCGCTAATCAATGCTTCAGCGTGGCACCGCTTCGCTCCTCTGAGCAGCCCGGGCATGGATTCTCATAATGACACCGATGCCCGTGATGCTGGGTCAGCCCAGATAGCCTTCCAAGCTGCCGTCGATTCTCATGTCCTTGTGAAGAACATCGATGGCGCATTGCCCCTAAAGAAACCAAAGTCCATGTCTGTCTTCGGATACGACGCGATCGGCGGCATCAACACTTCGGTGCCCGATGCCAGTCTGTATGCAGTGTCGCTGGAGAATACATTGAAGTACACGAATGGCGAAGATTTCACCTATCTTCAAGCATTGCTTTTGGCCGCGGCGGTCGCGCCTGCTGACATTAGCATCCCGGAGGTGGCTTTCAATGGAACGTTAAAGACTGGAGGCGGATCAGGAGGTCAAACGCCCACCATCACCTTTGCACCGTACGACTCTTTGCTACGGCAAGCTGCAGTTGATGGAACCACGCTACACACAGACTTTACCTCTCAAAATCCGACAGTGGTTGATGCCAGTGGCCCGTGTCTTGTCCTGATCAATTCGCAGTCTTCGGAGTCGGCGGACAGGACAACGCTGGCCGATGAATGGAGCGACACCTTGGTCACCAACGTTGCCGACCAATGCAGCGGCACGATCGTCATAATCCACAACGCTGGAATTCGCCTGGTCGATCGATGGATAGATCACGCCAATGTGACCGCCGTTATATTTGCCCACTTGCCTGGCCAAGCTTCTGGCGAGGCGCTTACAGAGATTCTCTATGGCCGACAGTCTCCGTCTGGCCGCCTGCCATACACTGTTGCGCATAACGAGTCCGACTATGGGGCTCTCCTGAATCCCACACTACCGACCCCCCAGGATCCTCAATACTCTCAAAGCAATTTCTCTGAGGGCATCTACATTGACTACCGGCATTTCCTGAAGAACAACATCGCCCCGAGGTACGCTTTCGGCTATGGCTTGACGTATACGACCTTTAGCTATTCGAACTTGAGCACGTCTCTCGCACCTGGCATGTCTCACAGTCTCTCTCCTCCGGACGCATCAGCCACGACGCCGCCACCAGAGGGTGGATTGGCCTCGCTCTATGACATCCTTGCTAACGTCACGATCACTGTCGAAAATACCGGCTCAGTCGCAGCAGCCGAAGTTGCGCAGTTATATATCAACATCCCCAACAGCGGAGTGGAGAAGCAACTGAGAGGCTTCGATAAGAAGTGGATCAAGCCAGGACAGTCAGCAAGCTACCGTTTCCCGCTGCGAAGAAGGGATCTAAGCATTTGGGATGTTGAGGAGCAGCAGTGGATGCTCCAAAATGGGAAATATGGGATTATGGTAGCAAAGAGTGTCGCGGACATACTGCTTACCGACAGTTTTACCCTGGCATGAGTGCTCATCTAGGCGGAAATGTAGACATTAGATCTCGTTGTCAGTAATATTGTTGTAGGTCGCGAGCGGAGCGTCAAATGCAGTTGGCTAATTCGAGCTGCGGCAAGACTTACAACTCGTAGAATCCTTTTCGAGTGAGTATGCTTGTGGCCAAGTCGAAGGGCATACAGAGTGTAGGCGATTGGTGATCGAATCCCACCATCAGTAAGTCGTTTCGTTCAGTAGTCGTAATGCATGCAGTAAAAGCGCGCTCAAGTGCGAAAAGATCTTTTCCCTCCGGCCCTTGAGCTCGGTCACGATGTGCCTTCAATGAGCGAAATGTTCCACGCGGCTCCAAGGTAACGCTGGGACTTTTGGTGGTATTCTCGGAGCGTTTTCAGCTCGGGCTCGCGATGTATGTATATTACAGCCAACTCCTCGCCAATGCCAACCATCGCTATGCAAATTCGATGCGTTTACTCTTCGTCATCATCGTCCACGACACGACGTCTCTTGGTTCTTTGCTGCTGCGGAATGTCATCATCAATCTCGCCGTCGGCATCTGCATCATCGCCCAGACCGCTGTTCTCCGCCGATAGTGCTGGCGCGGGTCTTCGCTTTTCTCTCGCTTGTTCAACAATGCCATCATCTGGATCCTCGTCATCCTCGACCACTTCCTCTTCGTCACTGGGCGCCACGAAGTCATCTTCTTGGTCGTAGCTGTCTTCTCTTGTGAAGCGCTTACGACCGAAATCTTCGTCGTCACTATACTCGCTATTCCTCCTTCTTCGCGGCTTAGCGCGAGGTTTGCCGGCTGATGGTCGGCCACGATCGATGCCGCCTTCCTCGTCATCTTCGAGCATGCCAACATTGAGGCCACCATATCGACCAGAAGACAGACCAGCACGACCGAGGGCTCTGTCTGTTCGTAATCGCTCGCGCTCTTGAGCGTTCTCGCGTCGCTTTCTGTCACGCAAGGCTTGCTTCTCTGCCTTCTCCGCTTCGAGACGCTGTAGTTCTGGATCCACCTCTGTAGCCTCGAGCTGACCGGTAGCGCCTGCGACTTTGGTTGCGTTCGCTGCTGAGGCGAGCGCAGCTTGCAGTCGCTCAATGGCATCATCTTTGACATTCTCAGTCTGCTTGATAGACAAGCCAGCGGTAATTTTGTGTGTCACTCGAAGCGCCTCTGCCTCTTGCACCGGCGCAACAAGGTATGTGAAAGCGTCCTTTTTAGGGTCGTACTTCTCGTCCAGCGGTTGTCCTTGTCTGCCGCCTTTGGTACCTCCCGTGACGCTCGTTGGAGTCGGTTTGATGGGATTTCTCTGGGGCGGTGCCAGAGGATTACCATCAATCTCGTACTGTGTAGCAGGATCAGATGCTAGCTGCAGCGTAATCGATCCATCAGACCAGCGGTTTATGCGTGCATTTGACTGGAGGATCGACGGGTCTGAGGGGGAATGCCGCCATCGGATGGTGGTCATTGCGGTGTTGAAAGCTGAGAAGGTGGCAGATGCTGGCTTTCTCGAGTGATGATCGGTCTTTGGCGGCTGGAATGTGGTATTCTGCCAGGCTTCAGGCTCAATGGACATGAATTCCGGCACCTTGAGCAGGTACATCTCGCCATCGCTAGGCTCTGGTACAGGCTGCCGTGCGACTTCCATGTCCATTGAAAGCATTTCGCGCTCCTCATACTGCTCCTGCGCCTCTTCCTGGGTCTGTCGATCTTGTCTGCCTTCGTCGTCGCCGGAATCGAGCTCCTCATCATCCAGACCGCGTCTATACCTTCACGTTAGCTGAGCCATCCTGTACGCTGGATCCGCTGCGGCCTACATAGGCTTCTCCCCTGGCCCATCTCCAGCATCACCGTGCCCGTCGTTGTCGCCGAACAAGTCATCACCGCCCTCATCATCGTCGCTTCCGACTGGCTGCACCGCTGGCACTTTTCGCCGCGACGTCTGCACATCGTCGTCATCGTCGTCGTCGTTCATGTCGCCGGTCGCGCCAGTTGTGCCGTCTTTTCCTAGTACTTCGTCTTCATCTCCAAAGCGCTCTGCCGCCGGCGACTGCTCTGCGGACATGATGTGAACGATGCGCGGCCACACCAGGCCTGTTTTTCGTGTCCAATGCGCGTTCAGATGCGGTCGTGTCAGGTTTGGCCAGCGTTGTTATCCGATGTAGTAGTAATAGGAGCCGAAGACTCAAATCGGTGTGCTTACTTGATGTGCGGTGAATCGAAATGCGACTCGCAATAGTGAGGTCGGCTTCACTTCTCGCGCTTCACAGGCCTCGCCGCGCCGCGCGTTTTCGCAAAGGGAAGTCGCGACTCAGCGGGGCGGGGCGGGGCGGGGCGGGGCGAGCCGGGATGAAGCTGCAGATGAAACTCGCCGGGGTTTGACGCTGAGCCCTTGATCAACTTCAGCGCAGAGCCAGAGCCTCCTTTCATCACACGACAGTGCGAGACGTTGTGCAATCTTTCGTTCCTTATTTTGCATTCCCCCCGGCCACCAGCGACGCCCTCCCGACATTACATCAGCCAGGCTGCGAACATGTCGTCCTGGATGAACAATCTGTGAGTAAGATAAGCTTTCCTTTCTGGCAAGTCGGCGAGCGTTGGACGAAGTTTGGAGACGTGCATGGTGCGGAGCAAGCAAGCACGACGTCTCCGGTCTGACCTGACCGCTGCTCCTTTCCGACATTATTCGCTCCCTCCGCCGCGGCCTCTTTTTGGACGACATCGCTTGGACTGCGGAGAGGTTGGAAGCAGTGCTTGGATGCAATCAACGGCAGGTGCTACGCAAAGGAAGGTAATGTTGCCCTCGTTGCTTCCCTGGCCCCCCAACCCGGATCGGATCTGCTCGACATGCCGCATGCTCTGTCTGCATGGCTGCCGAGGACTACGGATGGACGTTCAAGATACTTGTCAAAGCCCCTCATGACTTGGACACTTCCTCCAACCTTCGAAAGGCAGACTCACTTGCCCTCGCCAATGCTCGAATCCTCATCCGTCCTACCAGCACGACGTTGCAACACAGCTATTGCCATTGCCAGCTTGTCTCTTCCAGCACTGTGGCTACTGCTCTTTACGATGCTCCAAGCATGCATTGCTCCTCGTCATCTCAGATTTTGAGATGCATGGCTCGACCAGTGCCTTCTTGGCGTCGTCCGCTGGGCTACTCGAATGCAGCCTAAGGACCTGCCCGCCAATTGTCTGCGGCGCTCACTTCACGCTCCTGCCAAATAGAAGTGTCGCGGGTGAATGAGCGTCTCAAAGCTCTTCGAAATGTGAGAATGGTCAGGCAGCAGTCCGAGCGCGGCGAGTGAGGTTTGAGCTCTATTGTGCTTTCCCTTCTATATATTGCTTCTCGACGGTGTCGACGTCCATGCAACGCCATCACCAACCAGCCATGCCAGGATTCCAGGACCACCTGGAGCGGATCCAGAGGCCGTACGTGCCTCGCAATCGCCACAGGACTTCGCAATCACCGCCGCGGCCTCCAATGCTTGCTTATTCGCAGACCACGATTCGGATGATGACTGACAATGAATTGAATAGTCGCAACTTGGGCAGAAGCCAGCAGCCACAGCGCCCAAACCAACCACCAAGCCGCACGAACACTTCATCACCATCCGCAAATAGCCCATCTTCGCTCTACCCACCAAACATCTCGCCCGTGCCAGCGTCACCCTCAGCATCATCCGCTACCATGAACGCCAATGAGCAGGCTCACCAGAGCAATTCCGGTGCCAGAAAGCCGCCTTTCTTCTTCCGCGAAGAGTATTCCGGGTTCATCGTCAAGGGCAACTTCATGACCTTGGCCGCCAAGCCACAGCTCATCGAGGAAGGCGAGTGGATGGCACATCAGAGTAAGGCACCACCGACCATTCAAATCATGGACCAGACTGACATTGGGTGCAGTCGTCGAGCAGAATCGCCTCTTGGCAGGTATGATCAAGATTGTGCAGACCGAGGACCGTAGCAAGGGCATCTGTCTGTGCAATGAAAAGTCTTGCCCAAGCATGTCCGCTGGCGCGTAAGTGCTGTGAACGACTCAAATCAATGTCAAGCCACTAATTGTATACTAGCACTACCTACACCTGGATTGACACTAGCCGCAACCCAATCAACCTCCCAGCCTCTACCTACATGAAGCATATTCAGACGTGGGTCGCTGGCAAGATCCAGGACGAGACTACCTTCCCCACGCAAACGTTCCAGCAAGCGCCGCCACTACCAAACCCAGCACAGGCTGCCACTGATCCGAACCACTGGCTTGGCAAGACATCCGGCTTCAGCAACCGGTTTGAAACGGAGATCAAGAACATGTACAAGCAGATGTTCCGATGTTACGCCCACCTGTACTGGTCACACTGGATGGACTACTGGCATCTATCGGCGTACCGTGACCTCAACACGTGCTTCATGCACTTCATCAATGTGGGGCGCATCTTTGGTCTGCTTCCAGAGCGCGACACAGAGCCAATGCAGCCGCTGATCGACCTGTGGGTCCGCAACGGCAGCCTTCCAAACCACGACAGGCCACAGCAGCATCAGAAGAGTGACAGCGGAGAGGCTGCGAAGACGCCAACATCTGCATCGGGAAACAATATTCCGGCCACCGCCACTTGAGAAAGGAGGCTGCGTCATGTGAAAGGCGTTGAGGGGCGAGAATTCGGGAGATAATGACTTCAGCGGCGTGAAATAGCTGAGATGACACGAGAAGGACACAGGGATAGCGAGGTATAAGGAGGGAGGGTGAGCGAATTTGGGCTTGTGAAACGAAGCCTTCATGGCACGAAGCACGAAGCGCCCACATCATCATCGGTAGGATTTGGCTGGGAAATTCAGTACCAGCAGTGGCACAGGTGGCTACTTTCCTATGCATTGGTTTGGTATGAAAAGATAGCAACCGAGAAATTCAAAGCAGAGCACGAAGCTGACGCTCGTTTCTCGTTCCCGCCTCTTCACATTGCAACAACTTTGACTCTCGTTATGACTCTATCGCCATCGCAATTACGTCCGGCAGCTCCCATACATCTACTGTCTGCCTGCTATCTAGATCTACGATTCTCAATGTGCCCAAATCTAAAACCCCAGACTTCAAAGCTTTGAATGTCATGTGCGTTTCGAAGCATGCCCCAGGCGGCAGAGGGCCAATCCTGACATCCGGGTTGAGGTCCAAGACATCTGGAAGCTTGCTCTTCTCCAGTGGCGGCGCTCTGAAGATGTTAGCGATCATGTCAGTCTCTGCTGAAGTGTGCGTGATTGAGCTCATGACCGCTCTCGACTTCTTCGGCTGGATCATCACAAGTCCGAAGCGCCGAGGACGGTTGGAGCGATTATTGCAATGGACGTTGAGCTTGAACTCTGTTGACGTAGGAACGACTGGCGGGCCGGTGAAATTAAAGATGACGCCCTCGCTTGTGCCTTCGTTACTCGTTCTGCTTCCGGCGTCGAGAGAGGATTTAGGTAGTGATTGCACTGAGACTGATTTGTGGTGTGACGATGCGTTCAAAGGTTTGCTCCAGCGATACGAGGGCTTCTGCCATGTATGGGAGAGGTCAACGTGGGCTTGCCAGTCTATTTCAAAGGAGATTTCGGAGCCTTGGTCGAGGGAGGCGGATGCTCTGATTGAGATCGATACTGGAGAATGATCCTCGGCTGTTGAAGACTTGGTGTCGAGGGATAGCAGTTTGAAGAGAAATATAGTCTCATCTCCGCCGCGAGTCTCGAGCGGGAGCGAAATGTTTGTCAAGTCCTCCACTTTCGCATGAGGAATTTCCAGCTCAGTCTTGGTGATGCGGACTGTACCAGCTATGAGCTGCGAGGCTTCGAGATGCAGGCTGGCAACAATTGCATCTGGCAATGTGGAATATCTGATTCGCGTGAAGATGGCAGGGACCGCCGGAAATGCTCGTTTCGTTGCTCCTCTGATGGGTCTAACGATGTCTGCTAGACTTGGTGCTTTGGGCGCCACTTTCGTGATGCGAGCTTCTGAAAGGAACACATCGGAGCCGCGCAGCGCAGGGTCGAATCGCAGAGGTTCGAGCACGTTCGATGGTAAAGGCTCACAGCTGGGCAGATATGGATCTGTAGGCCCCGGCGGGGGTTTCTGGCGAGAGCTACCAATTGCCAGATTCGCTGTGAAATAGATGGCAGGTCTCTGTAGTCGGGTTCTTGGAGGTGGCAGGTGCAATTTCGATTTCCAGATCACGTATGTTTGGTCTTCCAGAGCCACGATGTCTGTGAACTCGCTGGCCGAGATGGTGCCAGAGTTTAGATCATGCTTGCCAGACGCCGATGCCGTATTTCCGCTGCCTTGGGGAACGGCATCAGTTGCGTGTGCTGCGATTACCAGCTCCAGATCTGCCAAAGTTTCGCGTACTTCATCCTCTTTCCTGGGTGTTTTGAGAGTCACAATAACGCTGGCTTGCTCGTCTTAGGCACCTAGGCTTCAGTAAGTTGAAGTGTGTGTGCTTGGAAAGGGGGAGAGGTACCAAAGAACAGGTTACGCCTTGCCGGTGCTCTTGCTAGTTCATCTGCGGCGCCAGCTCGTATCAATGCGGCGGCATCGAATTGTGGCGCTTTTGGCAGAAGGACGTCCAGATATGCAGATCTGGACAAGACTTCGAATCGTGCTTTGATATCCATCGCCGCTCTGACAAGTGCTTCCGGGGCCCGGTGCAAATGTTCATGTCGTGTGATGAATGAGGCAGTCAGGCCGAGGACGAGGACCCGCCAGTCTGGCACACTTGATGCGTGAAGGTGGGGTGGGGTGACTACTGGCGTTTGGTCTTGATCTTGTGCTTCGCCTTCGATCTGAACTCTACCACTCACTTTCGACCTTGAACAACAGACTCCACAAATTACCTCTGCGACTTGAGAACGAACACCATCGCGACCATGGGTGCGAAGGTTCCACGCAACTTCCGGTTGCTAGAAGAGCTAGAAAAAGGCGAGAAAGGCCTTGGTGCAGGTCAGGCTGGGAAAGATGCGGTGGAAAATCGGGCGATATACTGACGGAAATGTTAGAGGCGTGCTCTTATGGACTCGACGAAGGCGACGACTTGCTCATGACCAACTGGAATGGCACTATCCTGGGTCCACCTCACGTACGTTGAGAGCTGAAGCTGGGCATGGCGGGAGAACGTGAGGCAACATATGCTAAGAGAGGATGCAGAGCGTACATGAGAACCGCATCTACTCGCTTAAGATTCACTGTGGCCCAAATTATCCAGACAGCCCGCCAGAGGTTACGTTCATTAGCAAAGTCAACCTACCTTGCGTGGATGCGAAGAACGGAAAGGTAAGTGGATATAAACGCCGCTTCTGAATTTCATCTAATGCGTCTCACAGGTCGACCTTACCAAATTACCAACACTTGCAACGTGGAAGCGCGACTTCACTATGGAGACCATCCTGATCGAGATTCGGAGGTTCATGGCAGCAGCTTCCAACAAGAAGCTTCCACAGCCACCAGAAGGCACGAACTTCTGATCACTTTTGAGACTCCAGGGCAGCAGTATCATCACTTCATGAGCAAGCAGTCGCTGTCAGGCGCTGGGATGCCGGACTCTTGTCGAGCTTGTTCCGAATACAGCTTGAAGGCGCAGGCTCAACCATCTTATACATATTCAGCATAGCCCGGGTGCAGAATAGCTGGCGTTTTAGGGAACGTGCCAATGACTTATGAATGCATTAGACAGGAACGGCAGAGGCTCATAGAAGCTATTTGCATTATGCATGTCTTTCTATCTCTATTCTCACATGTTGCAGCAAAGGGGGTATCGGCATTTAAACTAGACAACGCATCTGCCAAAAACAACTCACGTCGAGCTGTACACTCGAGCCATCTGCTTGGCTTGCTTAGGCTCTATGAAAAGAGCTTCAGCTTCAACAACCTTGGTGCCTGTGCCATCCTCTTCGCCCAAAATCTCGATCCAGCCCTTCACCCACGCTTTGCGACCTTCGACCTTTGTAGTCTCTGCTTTGAGCACAACGTAGCTGCTGGCAGGGCAGGGAACTCGGTAGTCGATCTTCAGACTCGCAGTTACTCCGACCTTGTTTGGCAGAGCAGGAAAGCAGGCCCGCGCGAGACCTTCGTCCAGCATGGTTGCCAGGAGTCCTCCATGTACAATACCAGGATGGCCACATAATGCTGGGCCAAGGAATGATAGCTGCACCATGGTCGGTAGCTCAGCTTCCTTATCCTGGAATGTGAGAGGGGGAACCTCAATCTTGTTCTCGCCCAACAGTGTACCACCGGTGAGGTTGAGAGGCCTCATGGCAGGCGGAATCTTAAGATGTGGTCTTGACTCGACGATGCCTTCTTGTCTGCGCAGCTTTTGTGCTAGGGGGTGATTGACGATATGGTCGTTGATCTCGGCAGCGTTAGGCGTGGAAGGTTCGAAGAGGGAAAGCGTTTCTTCGTCGGTGGGAAGATTCAAGAAGCCATTGACGGCCTCGGCGACAGGTGCGGCAGCCATACCGAAACCTAAAGCAAAAAGGATGAACGCGAGAGAGGTATTCTTGAGTACTCGTGCAAGCCTCGAGGGTCTTTCGGGGGTCGAAGTCTCAGAGCTACCAGAAGTGCTCGACGGTTGTGCTGAGGCTGGGTCTGTGGTAGAAGAGGAAGCAACTGAAGTTTGGAAACGGAATCCGCTTATGTATGGCCGTGGTATAGAAGGTGCCGTGTATATATGAGACTTTGGGGCAATCGTAAGCCTCTGCGCCGAGCGTGCTGGTATCGTCGTCAAAGTCCTCGTCACGCCAATGCGAAACAGAAGCAGTTCCCGAGCAAGCGCCGACGTCAGTGCGGGAGGCGTGGCCAGCAGAGAATTCCAGGAGACAGTGGCCGGAGGCATACTGCTGAGAACCAGGAACGGGCGTAGGCACTGCTAGAGGTTATGCTGGCGCGCGCTGATTCGGTGTCTTTGTGCTCGCCTGCTAGAACTGTCGAACGATGCCGAGGCCGAGGTCAACAAACTTTCCTCGCCAAGGCAGTGCCAAGACTCCGGACTCCGTTCTCAACTTCTCGCGTACTTCTCAGAGCCAGAAAAGCGAGAACGAGCGCAGTTCTAAACGTGCATGTCATCTGTGCGGGTCAGCAGCATCTGACAGATCCACTTGAAGGAGACTGCAACGTGTACTGTCGCAAGCGTACGGCTTGAGGACACAGCAGCGGCGGCCGGGTCGCTGATGTCGCGAATCGCCCGTCTCCGCGATGGACGACAAGAGTGCGTTTCGTAAACCACTTCCAGCCATCCGTACAGCGACAGACAATTTGAAGAATCTATCGCCAGCCCGATCGCGAACAGATCCACAAGCTCCAGAGAAACAGCACCATGACAAGTCACATCTACACAAGCGACTCCATTCCAGCAGTCTCAGGAGTCGAGCCTTCACGAGCTCCCGAGAACATGGCTATCGTCAAGCCGCGAAGGAGACTGTCCAATCTGCAATCGAACTGAAGCCGCCCATCAGTTTTGATGCTCTGCTCAGAAGAGACAAAAAGAGTCCGCACTCAAGTCGCAGAGGTAGTACTTCTCATCAGAATCCCCAGCATCCTCGCGAAGTGAGTGATGATACCGTTCAACAGACGCAGCAAGCAGCACGGCCCAAGATTAGGCCAGAAGATATCGAGAAGGCACAGAAGGATAATGCGAAGAGGGAGCAGGAGTTGAGAGACAGCTTGAAAAATGTTGAGGAAGTCGCTATGAGCTCTACGAGACAGCTGGACGATACATACTATGCCATCCTGGAGAAGGCGTCTCTTCTTCGCAATACAGTTGCCAGTCTTCAGCAATTGACCGAAGAAAGTCGAAGGATGCATGCAGCGTTCAAGGAAGATACCGAAGGGCTTGAAAGAGAAACGAGGAAAAACCTCGATGGGTTCGGCAATTTCGATCAACAGGAGAAGACCATCAACGAACTAGTTTCTCGACTTGCCAACTCCAAAGATCGGACGACAGATCTGAACGAACGGCTCGAGGCTGCGCGGACCAGGGTCGCCGAATATGAACAACGCGAGAAAGAGAGGCAGAAGGCGAGACGAATCCGATACAGCGCTATATGGGCTATCCTTACTGGCATTCTGATCTTCATCATCGCTGTCATAATCGCCAAGAAGCGAAGTGCTGTTGGCAGCCGGCTCTACAGCGTAGCTAAAGCCTTGGATGACTTTGGACATGATGTTGTCGAGATTGCAAGTCCGGTCGCGGCCATGATCAATCCGACACCTACTGAGGATTCTTATTTGAAGGACTTGTTTGATGAATTATAAATTATGATACCTCGAGAGCGAATGAACCGGCTTCATGAACCACAGCCGTCTGTGTTTTCCCGGGTCTATCGACTTTGGTCACTTACCCTTCTATGCCACATTCTCTCTAAGAATGAGTTCGCTCGACCGATTTGTTTTACTCCTCGTGACTGCGTGGAGCTGTTGCAAAGCAGTTGGTACGTATACGACCTTCACTGCCCTAAAAGGTGTCAGGCATGAGTCTCACTGCCTTGCAGACTTCCTCGACAGGCTATTCTGTCTGGCACGCTGAGCGCGTTACTTGATGATGCTTTGTTTCCGGCGTGCTGGGTCACGAGCAATCTGGCCACTGGCCAACGCTGATGTGCCCTCTTCAGTGGAGTGAGTCCGACACCTTTTTGTGAAGTTGAACCCCGTTTTGCTCAGACGCATTTGATTACTCCGTGATTAAGATATCCAGTCTGCCAATGCTCCTCAGCCTGAAATCTTGTTCCATGACTCTGTGCACGTATTCTGTCTCGAAGGATTGGACCAACATTGCACTTCCAAAGTCATTAGAATATCGTACTTGTGAGCACCTCATCGTCACATTCAACACTCATAGCTGACGTGCGGGATTGAGAACACGCCGTCGTCAAACGACAGCAGCTGGAGGACCAGCACTGCACTCGAGAGTGGCCGGTGCACTGGGTCGTAAGTCCAATTACGTGCTTCTCGGTCTCTATGATACAGATTGCGGCCTCACTCATGCGAGCGAACAACTACAAGTAGTAGTCGTCTGACCGCTGATTCATCTCGCACTGCTTGGAGTGGTGAAGCTAAACTCTGATCGGAACCTGTTCAGCACATCAACACACCATCTCAACAAACCCTATATTCATCTAGCTACTCCTTAGCCATAGCGATTATCATCCAATCCCGTGTCTTCAACACTTGACATGTGCGATTCACACCATTCCGACTGCAGCTCTGTTAGCTTTACACAATTCTCAAAGGCTCATACAGAGCACAAGATCGCGTATGCAGCCAAGAGAAAAAAGTCAAGCATCACAAGTATCTTCTGTTATGGCATCATTTGCGCCACACTCCCTGACTCTCTTCCGGATAGAATTTCTATATTCAATTAATACCAAAAGATATGGAACAAGTCGGCAAAAAGGATGGCTTCTAAGCTGGTGGACCAGCTAGAACGTCAATCGACGTTGGCACTGCGATGGTGTTAATAGTGCTCGATACGGGGATGCAGCGTCGAACATACGGATTCGAACCTACGCCCCCGAAGGGAATTGATAGCAATGCCGGGATGGCGATTCTAGTCAATCGCAGTAACCACTTTGCTACAACGCCAGGTGATTGGATGACGTGTGAGGGGTCAAAAACATATATAACCCTACCAATTGCATCTCGAAAGATGGCGATCAGTCGACCAATGGTCTAGCAGCTTCTCAGCTTCTTAGACGTCTTTGCAGAGACCAAACTGTCGGTCGTTTGCGAAGTTTGGATCTTCCACAGCCTACAGCAGCTAGGGTCTGTGTGGGATAATGCCCACAAAGCTTGGCTGAATGCGGGGTGGAAGCGACGTGATACATGGTGTCAGTACATAGGGCAGGAAGCATTGTCCGAGCGAAGCGAAGTAAACAGGCATAAGCCGAAGCATTCGAGGAGCTTGCGACGAGGATGCGAAGGTGTTGTCTGTTTACGAGCTAAGTGGAAGAACAGTCAGAATTTGTGTACTTAGGCAGGAATTTGGATATCACGTGCAGAGTGTTCGCCGGGGGTTCAGTTTGAAGATGCGCTTATACAAATCCAGGCTCGGCTTCTGATTGGAAGAAATCAAAATGTCCCCCCTACGTGACTGTAGCCTTGTCGCCTTACAGCTTCGCTTTGGCACTGCAACAACGACTCGGAGATGTAGCAATAGCGACAGCGATATTGCGACAATGCGACACGACAACAAACTGCTAAGCAACAAATTCTGACAGTTCTTCCACTTAGGTCTCGCTTCGCTCGGCAACCCTCAGGCAGCACCTGCCTGTACGGTACTTTATAACCCAACACAGGCATAATTTGCTTCTCGTATTGGATAAGATAGGCTCTGAGGCGCTTCTACAGGGCATAATCATACTACCGAAACCTTGATAGAGGGTGTAGTTGTCAGAAAGGACTCAAAGGAGGTCTATAGTCCCGTACTGCTTGCCGCTCTTCCTACCTGCCCGTTCTAATCAGGCAGTCAGGCCGCTGCACGTGATATATCTGAGTGCACAAATTCTGACGCTTCTTCCACTCAGCTCGTATCTAAACAGTGAAGAGCTTCGCGTACAAATCGTGCCCAGCATCGTCGTTCACTTACCACTTACCAGTACTTAAACACAACCAGCCTGACCTCTACAGTCGTATAATCCCTACCAAAACCACTACGATGCGGCTCATCGCCCTTACTACTACTATCATCGGTCTCGTTTCAACCGTTTCGGAAGCGTATTCGCATTGTCTTTGCCTTGGAGTTGCGTTTTGCCATGGGGACGGCGCTTGGGGATGTCTGATGGCCGATAAGGCATTTTGCGTCGATGAAGCTACAGACTGCGATACTGCGTGCGACGGCGTCGGCAGAATGGCCTATCACAAGCATGAGTAAGTAGCGTATCTTCGAATTGTTGACTAGTTGTTAACATAAGATACAATAGCGGAACACCCGGATGTGTCTGCACAAACATAGATGCCAGCACGGGATCGGACTGCTGATTCCGGCAAATTGTACCCACAAATGGTGGAGATGGTGAACAAGCAAATGCGATCGCAGGGCAGAAGCTCAGCCTCAACCTGAATACCTATTCCATTCCATAGGCTTACCACATCAACTTTTTGAGCTGAATATCTTCCTGCTTCATCTCACACTGCTCTATACATTACGCAATCTGCAACATCCTCGAGAAGGGCCACAATCATGCCTTTACCACTCATCAATCCGCCTCTGATCAACAGTTCCAATCCGTGGGCAACAACAGTCGAGGACTTGCAAACAATTTTCGACTCCGACATCAATCTTTCTTGCCCCAATATACCAGGCAAACCACCGCCAGCATATTCGAGCTCTATCCTGGAGTATCTAACAGCACTGGCCCAAGAACGCTCGACAACCAATCAGCCTCAGGTGGCAATAGGGATCAAGACGCCACCGTACACGTATCACGATCAATTCCAGGTTCTGATTGATGCTTTACTTGCGGCAAGCAACCCGACCTGTCATGTCGACTTCATCACGGCCACGAACACGCTGGGGTCAAGTCTGGTATTGCGGAATGATTTTTGCACTCCAGTCCTTGAATCTGCCTCCGGTTTGGGTACAGGTGGAATGGCTGGTGCACCGATTCATTCGCTTGCTTTGGGAAATGTCAAGACGATCCGAGCAATGCTTGACAAGCACGAAGAGCTGCAAGGCATTGACATTATAGGCATTGGTGGTGTTAGTGATGGTGCTGGTTTCCAAAGAATGCGTGCTGTTGGTGCTGAGGTCGTTGGCGTTGGTACTGCTCTGGGACGCGAAGGTGTGGCCGTATTTGCACAGATACTTGGTGGTGCCTCCAAGAGCTGAGGTTGGCCTGCAAGCAAGCCAGGGAGGCAAGGCAAGACAGATCGAATGATGCGCACGGTCCTGAACTTTCCTGCGTCTCCACCGAAGCATGACGGAGCCGACCTCACCGACCTCTGAATACGCCCATTTCGCCTGCTGGGTACGGGAATGAGATTGCTTTTGAGTCTTTCAGCACCGAACAAGCAATCCATTTGTGAGATCGCTTTCGACCTCAGGTTGCAAGAAGAACATCGCCCGACATGCGACGACACGACATACATTAAAACACCGGATACAGCAATCGGCAGACCCGAAGCAGCCTTGCTCCTCAACTACATGTAGCCCCGTTAAGCAATGATCAACTGCTTCTCCTTCTTCAAGTGCTTGACAAAGTCAATCGAAATGTTCAGCGATTGTGCGACATACGGCGCCGGCGTCAGCGCGAGCCATTGAGTCAAGGAGATATCAGCAATGCGATCGGCCTTGAAAATTTCAATCCTTGAAGCTCGTCAGTTCATGGCGTGGCACTTCAGGACCAAGCCTGGGCTTTACGTACCAGATCAAATCCTCGGTTTCTGATGTATTCTCAACATAGTGCCCCGAATTGTCAGGGCTGCGACGCACAACGTCAGCGCCAAACTGCGAGTTCATCGAGAAGTTGTACTCACAAGACGGCAGTATCGCCTGCAGCAAAATCGAAAGTCCGGGCAGCCGCGTTTCCCATGAAAACCGTGGCGCGAGCCTGGCCTTGGGCGAAGTAAACCCATTCTTGTACTGTTGGATGCCAATGCAGCTCGCGCAGTCCTCCGGGCTTGATGGTTACGACGGAAGATGCAATTGTGGTCGAGATAGGGAAATTTCTGGAGTCGAATATCTGGATAGTACCTGAGACCGTGTGTCAGCACTTTTCGAGGCGATTTGACGGAACGGCATCCCACTCACCACCGCCGCCTGGAGCAACGATTGGCTCTACGTCTTTCGATCTGATCACGTACGAGCTGTTGCTCTTGCTGAGATCTCCGATGGGATGATCGACACTCTGACCTGGCGGTACATTGCCTGGAAGGATTTTCGGATTGGTCTTCGGCACATCATCGAACACTGATGCATTCACACCTGCAGGCAATGAGTTAGCAGGCACCTCCCTTCGTGAGTAGGGGTAACGGACCAAAGTTCTTCGCCAGAATGTCTTTTGGCGTGTGTGCGACCCAGTCATCGACATTGAATGTCACACCAGTGGCGTCGAAATTGCCGTCGTCAAAGACTAGCAAGAACTCGTTGTCTTCGTCCAACCCTTGGACGCCATGCGCCACTCCCTTTGGGAAGAACCAGATATCTCCTGGTCCAAGGATATCCTGCAAACGCCGAGGAGTGGAAGTTTAGCGAAGGATGGCAATACGACATCAGCCTCGAATGCAGAAGACTTACATACTGGTTTTCACCCTTTTCGTTGACGGCAGATATAGCGACCCGGCCAGCATAGACGAACGCCCACTCTGACTGAATCACGTCAGCGTACAATGCTTGAAGCTGTCGAGATTCTGGACCTACAACTTTGTGCCAATGCAACGTGCGGAAAGCGCCCTTCTTCAGGTGTTGTTGAGCACCAGAGATATCCTGACTAGACGGAAGGTCGGTGATAACCTGCTCACGTACAAAGCCTCCATTGTACAGATTGGTCTTTGAATCCGAGAACCGCCATTTGAGATTCACCACGACCCCACTGTCCGTGGGCTCCTGACCAAGATTGCTGGGGTTTTGAATATCGATCAAGTTGTTCGTTCCACCTAGCTGGCGTCAACAATTTTGCTAATATTATGAGATTTTGAAATGAATTACCAGAGATGACAGCCCCTTTCCCGGAACTACTGATAGGTTCACCTTTCGCGAACTCGCCTTGAGAATAGCCGGCCACTTTTGTATCAGGCCCATTTGATCCAATCCTTTTCTCGGATTCTGGTTGTTTGCGAGGTTCGAGCACAGGTCGCAAATGCTTAGAGCCCGAATGAGAAGGGAGACCGCGGCCATAGTTGAACACCTTTGGGGAGGATGACTTCTGCGCTCCATGTGCGAATGGCTTCGCAGACGAGACGTCAAAGAAGCAGCCAAGCGTGTAGGCGCTCAAAAACAACTCAAGAAGTCTCATGCTGAGTCGATGCCGGTTCGATCACATCCACATTGCTCTCGAGGGGATTGCTTTGGCACCTATCGACCATTCTTAAAATCGTGACTGTCAAGGATTCAGGACCACTCGCATCTCGCAAATTTGCACCAATGGCCTATGCATTGATCATCCCTCTCCATGATCCAGGTGGTTGCCGGTCACTGATGAAAGATGGAATTGCCATTTGTCGTAAGCGCGATCATCGAACATGGGCAGAAGCAGAATCTGCGCTGTCACACCATTCGATGCATGCCTGCCGCTGGATTGGTTCCGGGCTTTGGGCCAGCTGACCGACCGTTCGCTGTTTTATCTCATGAATGAGGTCGAAGCTGGCAGATTTTGCAGGGTAAGAACACTTCCTGCGGCTAGCTTCGATTGTACCTTGACATGGGGTGATTGGCATCATCTCTAGACAACCGAGTCAGATTGGCTGTCTCTTACCTTTTGACCCTGGGCTGAAGTGCTATAGTTCATACCCTGGCGAGAAGTGTTCAGCTGGTTCCTGTTAAGGTTACTATGCGCACTCATCCCCGTCAATTGTGCAATAGATGCAAACTCTTGGCGTGCCGTCTCGACCATGCAGATTCGGAAATCTGTTCCTAGGAATGCGAATGACAATGCAAGTTCATCACAAGAGCTCTACGAGTCTGCGGTAACGATCAAGCCAATCAAACACTGTCCGGCTATGAGAAACTTGATTGATCGACATTCATTCCCTGGTTTGTCTGTATCTACCCATGGGAGCACCTCCGGTCTCGTGTCTATGTTGTAAGCCTCACTAACATCAGCAATACAGTATGTGCAGCTTTGGCATGACAAATACGCGAACATCCTCATATTCAGCTCGAGGTTGCATAAACCGATCCAAATATCCACTGGACACGTGTCACGAAAGCGAGTATGTGGAGCAACTGTCTCACAGGCCATTCAGCAGAATGATAGATGTATCTTGACAGTAGGCCTGCGCCGAGATAATCACGCGATAGTTCGACGTCCCCTCGGTCCATTGGCTTCTCTGGTTTCAGGCTCTATCGCCCGAGTCTTCATCTCTCCCAAGCAATGCTTTCCTTGCGGTCGACATGGGGAGGCTGTGATTATCATATGGCTTAGGAAACCCTCTATGTTCCTCAATGTATTACCGCGGCATGAGTCCGGCTGCAGCGGTAGTAACAGAACGAATGGTCAGGGCGTAGCTATAACTCCTAAATCGAGAAGAGATTCAAGAGAGCAACGCATGTCGAAGATGTTCTCGCCCCGGAACACCGCTCAGCAGACTTCATGGCTTGTATATCCGAGCAAATGGGTTATTTGAAATGGGGTGCTGTGCTAAACCGTCGCACTTTAGCAGACTGTCATTCATCCACAGCATACTCTGTATCTGCGGCTGGCTTTGCTCCTGGTGGTCGAAACGTCCGGACAAAGATTGGCCTGTATGCGTTAATAACCATCCATGTCGAGTCTATAATGAATCTCTTCGGGAATGGTCTCAAATCATCTCGATGTCTGGGCAAGAGTTAGTGGAAAGATTTGGAAGCATGACGGCGCTCATACTACGACCCTTGGTCACACTCCCTCATTCATCTCTAGCTCCCTGCCAAAGTAGATAGCGCCATCGCTCGAATTTAAGGCATCAGTTGTCGACCATTTCATCGAGAATGTCGCCATTGTGATATTTGCTCCCATATGCAGGAACCGTCATTTCCTTCATATAACAGTGCGTCACAGGCGAGGGCCCAGTCGCTGCATACATGCGCTATAGAAACCTTATAGAAATCCAATGCCGTGGGTGGGCTGGTGCAGCGGTTGTGGCACCGAGTAGGTGAATGTATCAAGAAACACCTATGCCGTCCGTGCATACAGTAAACCCTTGTGTGATATGAAGGAACCGTCATTTCCTTTTGTCGAACGCAGCAAAGCGTTGTGCTTGCATGCCAGGCAGTGTTGATCGGATTGATGTTCCCCGGCCGGGAGCAACGATGTCGAAATGCAGCAGCGTTCGATAGTGCATGTTCGGTGATTTTTGATGCTGGCAATGCACCTGTCCAGATGATGCATTGACTGTCACATCAGCAAGTTGCTTCGAAGGTGATCCGATATGGGTGCAAAGAGATGAAAGTCCTGACAATGTGAGTACTGCAGCTACGGGCGAGCATATATATCGCTATCCATGTCCCCTAAACCTGCTCAATCGAACTCGTTCTCTCTCTACTGGGTCAAGACAACCTTGGCACCCGTCCACGAACGCCACGGCATTGGCTATGCTTTCGTTTCGATTCGTTCTGGTCTTCTTTGGCCTTGCCTCTGCCTTTCCTACCATCGACCCAGCATCTGAGAAACATTCCGAAATCAAACGGCAGCTCGGTCTCCCAATCAATTCATTGTCACTACCTGGATCTCTCATTCCACCTGTCCCGGGTCTAACAGAGCTCATCAACAACGTCGCTCCACCGTTACCTATCCTTCAGATACCCACGCCACCATTACCGTGAGTCTAAATGTCCATTGAAGTGCAAGGTGTGATAAGATCTTTACTGATATTGTCTATCTACTTCCTACAGAAATCCAGGATATGTCGGGAGTAACATCCGGCCGCGCAAATTTGGCTTTTTCTGGACCTGTGCAGGTGACAACAAGGCAAGACATATATGAGCTTCTTACGATCTAAGCCATCTTAGACTGACCTACCTCAAAGCATGCAGACTTTCTCGCTTCATTCAGTCTGGATGATGACACGTTCGGGACCCTTTTGCGTGTCGTTGAGGTATTGTAAAAGCTGCTAAAACTAGATGTCGAACATGAGAGCTGATCGATTCTTGCCGTAACAGGTTCCTTCCTCTGGGTAAGGTGAAATCCTCCTGGAGCAAATTCGACCTGTCGAGAATGACTGACGTTGCTATATCTTAGAAACAATCCACACCACAGCGGTGTCTCTACCGACGGAAAAGTTCTTTGGGGCGGAGGCCTCCTCAGCCTTTTAAAGACTCAAGACACGGGCTTCTACTTCGATGTATCCGATCCGTACGAGCCGAAGTTCTGGAAGAGTGATCGAGCTCTGCTTGCCTCGATCGCCGACGAGATCGTTGCAAAACCTGATGGAGGCTTCTTCATTACGTATATGGGAAGCTTGGTCGGGACATCACCCGGTCGACTTATCGAGACTGACGCCTCGTATAATATCATACATGAATGGCCGGAAGACCTCGACGGAACCTTGAATATTCTCGGGGAGCAGTTCTCGCCTCATGGTCTCAGCATCGATTTCAATCGTGATCTGATGCTGACTTCAGACTTCGTGATACCTGTGACAGTGCTGAAGCCCTCGCTGACTGGTACGTATACTGCTTGTCCTTGGGAGTCGACCGTGAACCTAATCCTTGTCTGCAGGAATCGTGAAGGCCAATACCCTTCGACTTTGGAACTTGGCCACTCGCAAGATCATCAACACCATCACTATCCCGGACGGTGGCGGTATTCAAGATGTCAAGGTGCATTCCATGTACATCATCTGAATGTTCTTGGAGCTGACTCTCACAGTTCATTCCCGGCAACCCTGAGGCTGCTGCAATTGCCACAGCCGTGCATTTAGGTCAAGTCTGGATCATTTACCCTTACCGAACAGATGAGAAGGGAAAGCCGGGTCTTACTCGTATGCTGTACGACTTTGGCATGCCTGATACCACGGCGGTCTATTCCACACTCTCGAAGGACGGACGATTCGCATACTGTAAGTATGGACATCTTGTCACAGTTCAAACACAGCTGATCTGGTTAAAAGTCACTTTCACCACTGCTAACCACGTCGCGGCTTTGGATATTACGAACCTGGACCACCCAATTCGTCTTGACAACCCTTGGGAGAAACAGCCCCTCATCGGTCCTCACTACCTCAAGCTAACTCCTGATGAGCGTGCGCTTGTAGTCACGTAAGGTCCCCATCTTCCGTTTTGGTCTAGAGGTCGGGGCTGACCAGATTGGTAGAGACTACTTCGTGCAGACGAACGGACTTGGTATTATCGATACTCCAGCAGACTTCAAAGTCCAGTACATCGATATTCTACCAAATGGTGGCTTGGTGAGTATTCCAAAAATGATTTGAATGATACCAGAATGCTAATCGAGCTAGCACTTCAATCGTACCATCGATTTCCAGAGCATATTTCCCCAGTATGGCGGCGCCAAGCCACATTCATCTGTGATTTTCGACTTATCAGATCCATGGCATCCGAGGTGGTACTAAAGAAGGAGTCTGGGTAGATACGAATGTCAGGAGCACTGCCCGCGCCATTGGGCATAGCATATTGTCTTTACCAGTACATATAAGATGATTTCGGCAGAAGTATAATGTTTAATGTTTAATTAATACTTAACCTTTGTCCTTTCTCATGTGGTCACTACGCCGAATTTCTTACAATGCGGCTGAGGCTTTGACAGAGAGCATTGACATCGTGCTAGACCTCTGGGTACACGTCACTACAAGAATGGTCAGCTTCAGTGGACTACATGTAATACGTGATTATGACAGGCACTCACACTCTTCGTAGAAGTGGCATCTGGATTTGAAAATGGCACTGGTTAGCAAGCGCTCGACGACGAAGACTGGCGTGCATGGATTTGTTCGCACCTGCTCGCGGATTCTCTTAAGCTTATTGAAATCAATCTCTGCCAGAATGACCTCAGGCTCGTCCTTCTTTTCGCCCCCGAGCTCAGCAACCACCTCACCCCACGGATCAATGACAACGCTGTGCCCGTAACTAATGCGCTTCTCACTGTGCGCACCAACTTGTGCCGCAGCTATTACATAGCATTCGCACTCAATTGCTCTTGCACGTAGAAGCGATAGCCAATGAGCCTTTCCCGTTGGCACAGTGAAAGCAGAGGGATAGAGTAGGATATCAGCATGCTGGCGTTTCAAGGCCAGCGCGATTTCTGGAAACCTCAAGTCGAAGCATATCATACAACCGATCTTGCCCACTGGACTGGGGAAAGGTGGCAGAATCTCGTTCCCTGGCTCAATTATCTTGGACTCTTTCATGATCGGGCCATCTTTCATCTCGAGATCGAAAAGATGGACTTTCTGGTATCGTTGACTTATCTCTCCGTGCTCATCAATCCAGATTAGAGTGTTCTTGATGCGCTTGCTGTTTGGGTCATCGCTTGGCTCATGAATACCGACTGAGATTGGCAATTTGTGCTTCTTAGCATCTTCTTGCAGTCCGAGAACAAACTCCGACTTGCTGACTGGTTTGCACAAAGAGATGGTCTCAGTCTGGTCGCGACCAATGTAATCACTAGCCTCAGGAAGGAACACAGCCTAGACGGAGTGAATGAGCCTGCAAATCTCTCTCCTGGATCGATGCAGGAAGGTCACCTTCGCTCCAGCAGCCTTCGCCTTCTCTATCACCACACGGCATTGAGCAAGATTGTGCGAGAAATTCTGTGTGCTCGTAATTTGACCAATTGCCTGGCAAATATCAATATACAAGACATCAACCGTATGTGCTGAGTCTTACAGCGAGCGCCATCTTAGTCTGCGCTTTGCGGATCACCATGTCGATTAGATGTGCAGTTGCACGAGAGTCGTTGAGTACATGTAGTTTGTGGTTGCCAGCCGCATCGTCTGACGAGCCTCAGGCACCGCGGGAACGCCCGCGGGCCTTTCCCGCGGGCCAAAGCACACTACGGAAATCCTCGACTTCAAACCCTCGCTTCTTCCTTCATCACCACACGACAACGCGCTTCCAGACCGGCAGTGCAGTGCAGCACAAGTCATCGGGAGCGCGTGTGTGTGCGGACTCTGTCCCGTAGCAACAAAGCGTGCTCCGCCTTGGTATGTCACCGTCCCTCCCCCCCCCCCCCGGACCTGGCCGCCACAAGGATGCTATTCCACGAACAATCCAATACCTACTTTCCGTGAAGGAGACATTTCAAAAGCTCTAGAATTACACTGAGACCTGGCGACGAAGCACAATCACACCCGGGCATGCGTAATTTTGCACTGGCTAACCGCCCGCTTCTTACAGGTTTGATCTGACGCGTTGCCATCGCGCTGTACCCGCCTCCTACCACCCTCCATGTTCAAATATCAAAGGTCAGTCACCCAGTCACGAAGACGTTACCCCATCTCCTTCCGCTCCAGTGATGATACCTTGACAACGAATTGGCATTCCTCGATCGGAATTTACCATGTCGATCCTGTCATTAAATAGTTTCAGCCTTGTCTGATCTGCTAGCACTTCTGCATTCTCATTGCCCTCCTGTGAATCGCCGGACGACCACTGACAGCCATACAGGTATTATTCCCCCCACTTTCTTCCATACTTCGCATGATGAGCCCTACCACGCAACGGGCGGACAGACTGCGGTCGGCGGCCAGCATTCATCACAGCGAGGCTTTACAACCCTCGTGGATGCTTGGTCAAAGGCTTGCTTGTTGAGAAAGCGTCGACTGACTTCAGCATCATCTGCTTGCTCGAGTGCTATTGCTTGCCATGTGGACATCGCTGACTGTCCGCAGGTATGACTTTCTCCAGCTTCACATATTACCCGAACTCTGCAATGATGAATACTATTCACACTGTTTGAACCTTTCTACGTCTAACGAACGGGATTGGTTGTGAACGCACAACACTGAAAATTCTGATTTAATGAGGTACGACTACCTCCGAGAAATGACCTGTAGAACTTTTGCTAACAGCTTGCAGCCTGAATGCAGACTTCCGAATTCTCTCAGACAAATGCGCAACCTGCTTCGAGTACATCGCTAACAACTATTCTGAGCAGGTAACATCTCTGGACAATGTTGATTTCAGCTCCCTGCTTTGGGTAAGTATCCCTTCATGCCGTCTCGCCCTGACGGAGGATGTTCACTTTCGACGCGGATCAAGGTGTACGTCTTAGAAGTTCGTACATCTCCTATGAAGCTCTCCAAATCAAAATCTCTGACGTTTCCGATTCACGATCTTTTCTTGCTTCCCACGGTGGCTCCCATACTGATTCGTGCTCGCCTTAGTGGTGGCCCTTTACGGGTTTGGCCCAACACGCGCGGGAATAATTGGTACCTTGTGATTGCAACCATCTTAGTTCCACAGAAACAAGCAATGAAGAAATAATAGGTTCTCATCGTGCTTCACTGCCGATCTTTGCATCCATCCTACCCACCAAGTCTGCCTGATGAATCTGGGGTTCGCGACTTTCTCGGTTGCGTCCATATATGCAAGAAATCGACATGTGTACGAATGCAAAGTTCTGCTCACGAATGGGTTCTCAATGAGCAATAACGCAGGCCAAGCTCTCATGCCGCGCCATCGAGGTGTTCTCTTCCAAGCATCGGGCCAGTCTCTCTGCACCGTGATGGCACAGGCACTTTCATCCACTGTCACGGTGCTCTTGCTGGCTAATGATCACACCGACCGCAGGCAACAACACAGCCAGAAGACACAGCTAACGGGCGAGAAAGGAAGCACGTGCGCCTGTGTATGGATTTGGGTCGGAAGAGAGAAAGGTTGGGGAGCACGGAACGTGTGCTTGACTTTGGACGTGCCCTGTGGCAAGAGGGCGCACGCTGATTGGCGCATGCGCGAAGCGGGCACTTCCAGTCCTGCGAGCTGCGAGCTCGTCGAATGTCGAATGATGGCACGCGACACTAGGAACGTGCCTCTGCTGTCTGGCAGCGCCCTCTCCCCTCTCCCCTCTTACCCTCACCCTCGCCCTCGCCCTCGCCCTCGCCCTCGCCCTCGCCCTCGCCATGCTCCAAGTCCGCCAGCTTCTCAAGCTGTGCCTGCAGCCGCATCCTCGGCAGCCTGCTGCTATCGTCGTTTATTAGCATTCGCTGCCCCCACCTCTGAACCGCCCATCGTGACTTCCTACGCCCAAGCCATATTCCACGCCCGAAGGCCTGCGCCAGACGCTGTCCCGTCCGCATGGCCAGCCTTGTCAATCATGCCTCGACCCAATCCACCGCCCACTCCGGGCTCGTCGAGCGACCTCCGTGGTAAAGAGGGCACAGCGGCCGTGTCAACCTTCAACCTGCCGCCCACCGCATACCAAGAACAGGCGGATCGAGCGGGCACGAGTTCGGCCACGCCTTCTGCCAATGCCTCCGACTCTTCATATCGCCCTGTGTCCCCTGGCCTGCCCGCAGACACTCCTCGAAAGAGACCTTTATCCCACCAAGTTCCGCTGATTACCAAAGATGATTTCGCCTTGCCTCCACCGCCCACTAGATCCCGCAAGATTATACAGATGAAGCCAAGGGAGAGCGATGTGCACGAGAGATCTGCGGTCTCTGTAGCATCTCCGCCCGCGAATCGGAAAAGCGGCGCACAAACGGGTAGCAAGAGGAAGCAGACCGGTTCTGGCCAGACGGCGGCAGGGCGTAAAATTGCACGCAAGACGGCACATAGCTTGATCGAGCGTAGACGAAGGTCGAAGATGAACGAGGAATTCGCCGTGCTGAAGGATATGGTTCCTGCATGCAGAGGCCAGGAAATGCACAAGCTTGCCATTCTGCAGGTATGGCTTTCGAGACATTGACAGTCATGCAGCTCTAATGTATTCGCAGGCGAGCATAGAATATTTGCGATATTTGGAGCAATGCGTGGCAGATCTGCAGGCGAAGAAGCCATCACCGCAGCCGCAGCCTCCGACACGCCGAAGAGAGGTAGAAGAGCAAGCTGCTGATGAGGATGATGATGAAGAAATGGCGGACGACGTGGGCGAGACTGAAGAAGGCACATCTACACCGGCTACATCGACTTTGGAGAAATCTGGATCATTGATATCGCTGCCTTCGCTCTCACAAATCACCACGACAACCACCACCTCACCATCCATCTTCTCCGTCGGCACTGGAGGCCGACACTACTCCATCTCCTCAGCAGCCTCGTCCTACAGCCCCTACTTCCATTCGAATCAGGCTTCGCCAGCATTTGGTCCTCAGCTTCATCACGTCTCAACGGCGCCCTCATTCAATAATGTGTTTGGTCTTGGTTCCCCTGCTCTCAAGCCTCTCGACAGCGCAGGTCACTTGCGGCAGATCGCTGAGGGAGCAACTGAGCTGAGCGAAAAGCATGGGCATTCGCAAGCACAGAGGCTGGCAATAAAAGGACGAAGTGATGAAAATGAGCATCAAATGGATCAGGAAGCCACTGCGGCGCTTTTGATGCTCAATCACGATCGACGAAGCTGGAAAGCTGCCAATGCGCCCCGTGAGGAGGGTGCATACAGCCGATCCAGTGGCATGAGTGTTCGAGATCTTCTTGTAACAGACCACGAGAATCGGCATTGGTAGGCAGAGAACATATAATTGGTGGGAGGCGTTTGTGCCGTCGTCTGTTTTATCTGTGTTGATCATAGGACAATGTGATACCCTACGGCCAATCGGCACACGGAAAGGAGGACTGTTGGATTATGTTGGGTAATGAGTCACGGCTTATACAAAAGTACATGTAGCATTGTTCTGCAGCGGTCACGATCTTCATTGAAAATGATTGCATTCCTACATCCGCTCATTTGAAATGCTTCTACGAATTTGATCTGGACCAAGCACTCACTGCTCATCCATCACTCATTAAGATTCTTCTGCGCCGTGAAAACATCGCCCCGATCAAACATATCAACCAAAACCACATTCGGCGGACGATCCCATTCCTGCATACACAAATCCGCCTGCGCCCCAATACTCCCCTCTCCCGTAGCAGCATTCGTCTGGAGATTCTGCTCGGGATGTGGGATCGTGGCTCTAAAAAAAATCCGTATTTATCGTATGATTTATAATATATATTCTGCCCTTAGTAGATTGGCCTTTCGGACGATCGAGATCACACTGTGCGAATTTGGGATCTTTGTTGCCGTAAGGGGTTTCGAAGAAATGTATAAATTCCGAGAGGATATAGGGGACTTTGGAATCGTCGGTCATGCTGTCCATGGAGATGATGAGGCGTTTGTTATCGGAGATTAGGTTTCCGTAGGTTGGCCATTGGTTCATGGGGATTTGGGAGGGAGATGTTGGTGGGATGTAGGCGAGGGAGTGGAGGCCGGTGGATTTCAATATGGAGTCGAATTCGGACATGGGGCGGAGGTCTTGATCTGGAGGTGAATTGGTGGTTTAGCAGGTTCTTCTGCGCTTCGAGAGCTGCTGAGGCGTGGACTTACTTGTTAAGAGCATTGTGACGACATCGTTTGGATGGGAGTCCAGTCATTTCTTGACTGTCGATAGGTAGTCCTCCAAACTTCCTGCGTAGAGCAATTCGCAGTTGGTGTGGCACATCGAGAGCTCGTCGGCGTCGTCTCGCTTCTGCGTCTTGTTGTCATTGCCACCATCCTTATTCAACTGCAAGACACGGGGATTGCCCATATGGGTTTGAGCTTGTATGAACCGGATTCCAGCGTCCAATTGCTCAGTGACTGTCTTCTCTTGATTCATCCTTGGATCGAGGAAATTGCCGACGAACGCCGAATTGCTGTAAGAGATGAAATTTAGTAAATGTCTCGAAAGCAAACAGAGTATCACTGCTCGTACTGAGTGCCAATCAAGGAGACGTTGCTATATCGGCGATCACAGAACGCGGCGTTGCCGATGCAGATCTGTTGTCGTTGGACATGGCGCATCGTTGAAGCTGACGTGACGGCCGTAGCAATTGCTAGAATGTTCAATAGACATATCATGGCTTCGGTGAGGTCGCGAGGCTGCGAGAGATCTCCTAGATGCTGTAATGCTGTATGAAAGGAATAATCGGTCACAACAAATTTTTGTGACACATTCGGATGGGAACTTTTAGTGAATGTGAAGACAAACACTGAAGGGCATTGGGTTGCCACTTTGAAAGTGAATTCCGATGCAGTGAACAGGAGAGCTTGGATACTCTTGCGTTTCTGCGCAACTATCTGTATTCTCAGTGGTGCGGATGTTTCACAGCCAGAGGGATTGCGGAGTTGGTGAGAATCCAATAGCTGCCTCCCACACGAAGCTGCTCAAGCCTTGTTTGGTGATTTGTTGGAAAGCCGACGAGTACCTGAGCGGTTCATCGGCACACACTCGGTTCTCAATGGACACCTGGTCTTCCGAATTTCGGCTTGAGCGGTAAGCTGTAGTTCTTGCATAGTCGAATCTCGCAATAGGCACTGCATGCATCTTCCAACAGCATGCCGTGCGTCACATATCGATGGTCCAAGGATCGCATGATCTGCAGCGCGAAGTCTTGGCGAATCTCCTGGGTCATGAAGAGACTTGTTCAGGATCGAAATATTACATCGATTGCGCTGGATGCTCTCAGTCTTGCGTGGCGTGTCATTAGCAGATGCGCGACTACTCTGCAATCATTCGCTCGAACGTTCTTGCGGCTGTTTCGTGATTGCGACATTTGCTGTCTCAGATAATGCTTCGGCCATCTGCGGTGATCAGAAGAGCGCAGTACCGTATGCTTGGCTCCCCGATTTTGATGTTTTCCATTGTCTCGATGAGCACATTCACCTTTTCCAGTAGTAGATCAAGCCGCGCAGCTAGAACAGTCCCTGTGGACTTTGTAATGGAGTTTGAACCCTGTGCAAAGCTGCTCAAACGTGCAGCAGAGCAGATCCAGAGCACAGTCCGCAGCGGGTGAAAGCCGCAGTGCGAGTCAAATGCAGGTGCATGTGCTCATGAGGGAAGACCGCCACGATTTCCAAATCCAAATCCGCCCCGTCCGCTTTGATCTGGGCCACGAGGCTGTCGAAGTGGTTGATCCTCTTTGACGGTGCTATTCAGCTCCCTCTTGGGCGCCAATCTCCTGCTCATGTCGTCTGGGTCGAAGAGCTTGTTGTCCGCACCAGGCTGTCGAGCGGGTGAATGCTCAGCAGGAGAATGCGGCTGGCTCCTGCGACTGGGGGTCTTGCCTCCTCTTCCGCGTCGATTATCTCGAGCTTGCGAGCTTTCTCTGGAATTGGACGCTGGTGACTGACTGTTCGAGCCCATGATTCTTTCCCTCGCCTCTGCGTATCGACGCTCCTTCTCGGCGCGCTCTATCTTTGCCTTACGCTGGCGCTCTTCAAAGTCGCTCTCGCGCACCTTCCGTCGCTCTTCCTCGCTGTCTTCTTCATCTTGCAGATTGAGCTTTGCGATTCCCTCGGCAGTATTTTTCTTTGCGATGGTGGGCGGCTTTCGCGCCAGCAGCGTGACGGGCTGCTTGAATTCCTGCTTGAGTGGTACAACACCCTGGGTTTCGAGCCAGTGGAACCTGTCGGGATTGTCTGCTGAGTCCCAGAGCTGCTTCTGCTGCTCGACATGCTGTGCTCGTCGCTCGGCCTTGGTCAGCTTGGGAGCAGGCTCGGGTTTCGCGGGCTCGGCTGGCTTCTTTTCACAATCACATGTCAGCCATTAGATGTAAAGCGGAACACAGTAGTATTGTATCAAGAGGAGGGATTAGAGGCACGAAGGTCGAGACGCACATCTGCCAGAGTCTCCCAGTCATCTTCCCACGCATCCGGCACAGGCACTCGGCCTTTGCCGCTCATTCCTCCAGCGCACAGCGCGAGCCGCCGCTACTACTGAGAGAATGAGTATGGGAGGGTGTTGGCTTGGCCTTTCACGCACTCGAGAATAGAGAGAAGTGGTGGTGACATTGGTTGGACGTGGTCGGGCCAAGTCGAACAAGGTCGCTCGCGAAATAATTGCGGCTTGAAGCTTGCCTGCCAACCTGCCCCGCAGTCGTCTCATCTCCTGCCACACAACCTGCATTCCATCTACCCGTGCTGCTTCCTATGTCTCTGGCAGCACACTTCTGAGCGCTCTGCATCTCCGAGGGCCAGCTGTGATACGCTTCTGAGAAGCACAATTATATGCAGCAGAGTTCAGCACATCACTCTGTGCGCCGTTGACCGTAAGAGGCTAACAAGGTCTATTGATGAAGATGGCAATGGCGCATGTCCTCCAGAGTCCACACATTAGGCGCAGACATGATTCCAGTCTTTTTTGTCATCTTTCGCACATATGGAGATCAACGTGTCTAGTGAGAGCTAAGGTGCTGTCTATAGTATGCCAACGTCGGTGGATCGTACAACTTGGCGACTACCTATTTGCGAGCCAGACGGTGGAGCTCCGAACGTGGTTCAGCTCCTTCCCCACGGTACGAGATGACAAGAGCTTTGGAATGATGGCGTGAATACTGATGGGATGATTTTTCTAGGCATTGGATTCGACCGCAGCTACTGGGACAATCCATTCCACAACTACAACTACTCCTACGTCAATGTCGCCGTTGATCAGTACAAGTTTGCGACATGCTCGGAAGCATGGAAAAGTCATGTAAATGTTACGCCAGTCAACGCTCTCAGAGCCTAGGAAATGGTATGATAATGCAGTCCACAATCCATTGGTGAAACTATTTGCTAGGCCCCATTTAAAGTCCTATATCAGCGTCCGAGCGCCTGACCCACCGTAGACTAGGGCCGTAGACCGTGAAGAGCGGCGGTCGGCGAAGATTGTATACGCTTCCGCTCCGGCGCGTCTACGCGTACCGCTTTGTTTAGGCTATTGTTTTCTGCCTCGCTATCGCCCTTCTAGCAAGTATTCCGCTATCGTTTCTATCTCTTCTAATAGCGCGTTATTACTTAATTATGCCTTTAATCTCTTCTAATACTATATTAATTGCTAATTACCTCGGAGGTACTAGGGATAGCGATATACTCGCGTCGTAGGCTTAGGGTAACTTCGCGCTTAGTATAGATTGCGACGATAGCGTAGTTAGAATCGCTAACTTATTAATAGAAAAGAAAGAAGGGGACGATTTAGTCGATTCTAGTAATAAAAACGCGTTAGATTCCTTAAACTACCGCCGCCCTCGCAAGTCTCGAGTTCTAGTAAAGCTCGAGTTATACTACGCGTCCTTACTATATATCGATAACCTACGCTAATAGCGCGAACGAGCTATTCTTTACGGCTTCGACAACTCGTTTAAAGTACTAGCAAAACAATAGTATACGCTATTACTATATATTAATAATATATAGATAGATAGATAGATATTTCATTTGCCTATTATAGTGCCTTTCGGCCTATATAGGTCTGTTTCTATGTATTGTTTTAGGTAGGAAACTAACTTAGTTAGTAAAAACCTCCCTCCTATCCTATTTATAAGTGTTAATCTTCCTCGTTTCCTTGTTTTCCTTCCTCTAGGGTATACTAGTATTATAGTTGTTACCCTCTAACTACCTTATCTGCTGCCTTATCCTTCTTTCCCCCTCTTCTTCCCTCCTTCTTATCTACTCCTTAGTTTCCCTTACTAGTACGAATTGTTATATAAATCCCTGTTTAATAATCTACTTTACTATCCTCTTTAGGTCTTCTTTGCTCTAGATTAGCTTATCGTATTCCCTTTCTATTGCTTTTAGTCTCTAATTACTTCTACCTTCTAACTATTAAGGGCAGACTAGCAGTATATACTTAGGGTTCTAAGATTAGTAGCTATATTAGTAAGCCCTACTTTCAATTCCTAGGACGTTTCTTCTAAATAGGTAAGATCTAAGTCTAATGTGTTTAGATCTAATTTAGATAGCTAGGCTTGCCTCGGCCCTATTTAGGTCCTTATAGAGCTAGTAGTTGTATTAACTAAATTTGATTAGTGCTTTTAGGGTTTCTAGTCTAACTTGTGTTTTGTTCTATTCCTACTCCTATAGGTATCTAGCAATTAATTCTACTAGGCTTTGTTTCTCTCCCTTTAGCTTATCTTCCTTTAGCCTTATATTTAGTCCCTAAAGCTCTTTCTCTAGCATTTCTCTTATTAAGACTCTATATTGCTCTAGGTCTTTAACCTTCTAGGGAGTTATTTATAGTCTGTCTCGCCTCCTAGTCCTAATGTACTAGGCTTTTATCTTGTCTAGTGCCTTTTGGATAGTCTGTTAGGCTAGGTATTCTATTGTCTTTACTATATATTAGTGTCTTAGTCCCTTAAAGTATTGTTTAACTAGTAGGATCCCTAATTCTATTTCTACTACCCTTGTTAGTATAGTTTTATATGCTCCTAGGATTTTCTTTAGGCTTTAGGTTTAGGACCTACTAACTAGTTGCTTAATCCTCTTTAGTGTTTTCTCCTAGGCTGTCTATATCTATACTCTATATAGTATTGCTAGCTTAACAATTGCTTTATATATAACTTTGGCTTTCTCGAATATAGCCCCCTATATAGAGGCTATAAGCCTATTAATAGATTGTATATTAGCATCTGCCCTCTACTTTGCCTTCTTTACTTATAGTCCCTAATTTAGTTTTGGATCTAGCTAGATCCCTAGTACCCTAAGCTCTGCTAATAGTTGGGTTTTAAAGCCTTAGATAGTAATCGATTGCTTTATATTGTAGGTTGATTTAGCCTTACTAAAGTAGATAAGCTAGTACTTTTCTAGGGCGAATTTTGCTCTATATCTCCTTACCTATTTTTTATACTCCTAGTGCTTCTCTTCTAGGATCTTACAGTTGGTTTCTATTGTCTTAGACTAGGCTAGGATGTTTGTGTTATCTATAAACCCTAATGCTAATGTGTTTTTTGATTCTAGGAGTAGGAGTAGGTCTACTATAAAGATAAGGAAGAGGATTAGGGAGAGTATTAATCCTTAAGGGATTCCCTTTTTAGTTAGTATTAGATCTAATTTAAATTTGCCTAGAATAAGCTATATTAATCTTTCCTATAGGAAGGACTAGATAAATTGGACTATCTAGTTTAGTATAGCTTTCTATTTAAGTATATATAGGAGCCTTTTATAGGAGATATTGTTAAAGGCTCCTAAGATATTAAGGGAGAGGAGGGTTACTACCTAGTTTTAACTATAGTGCTAGATATACTTAATCTGTTCTATAATTAGTTCTATAGCTATTAGTATTGACCTCTTCTTTCTTCCTCCTATCTAGCCTTTAGGAAGGATGTTCCTTTCCTCGGTAAAGGTTGTTAGCCTTTTAGCGACAATTTTTTCTAGCACCTTGCCTATTGTATTAAGTAGGGCTATTAGTCTATAGGCCTTAAGCTGTATATAGTCTTCCTTCTAGGGCTTCCTTAGCACTACTATTAGGGACTTCCTAAATAGTCTTAGGTAGTGTCCTAGTGCTAGGCTTTGTAAAAAAATATTGGCTAGTACTAGGGCTAGCCCCTTCCTATATGCTTTTAGAAGTTTATTGTAGATCTTGTCTTCTCCTAGTGCCTTATTGCCTAGAATTTTCTTTAGGATCCTTTTAATAGTTTCGGGTTTAACCTAGGTGTCTCTTAGTATACCTAGTAGTAGAGTCTCTTATTCTTTCTCCTTTATATCTAATAGGTCTGCTTATACTTTTCTATAAAAGAAGTGTTAGCCTAGGGCTCTTACTTTCCCTTCTATTATAGTCTACATTTGTCCTTATTAGTCCCTAATATCCGGGAATTGTAGTAGCATATCCTTATCCTATTTAGGTCTCCTTACCTATTTAGCTATCCTCTATATCTCCTCTAGTTTCTTTGTAATTATTCCTATTATAGATCTCTATTCTTGTATCTTATCTTTCTTAATCTAGATCTTCTTTTCCTAGCAGGCTTTATTATAGTTGTCCTATACTTCCTAGATATAGGTTTGTATCTACTACCTCCTAGCCTTCCTTACTGCTTTAACCTTCCTTATATACTTACTAGTCTAGTATAGTTGCTAGTATAGTAAATATTTCTTTGCTAGGGTATGCTTTCTAGCTACCTGTTTTAGGATTCCTATTAGTTCTTCTACTGCCTTATTAATGTCCTCTAGCCTTAGTAGGTACTTTGTTAAGAGTTCCTCTAGTTTTAGGTCCCTTTCTAGTTCCTCCCTAATCCTACCCTATTAGGTACCTTTCTAGTTAAGCTTCTCCTCTAGTTCCCTTTCCTAATTAGCTTAGATATTTAGCTTAATCTATACCGGGAAGTGGTCTAATAATTCTTCTAGTTCCTAGTTGACCCTGTATCTTGTAATCCTGTTCCTAATCTAATATAATACAAAGTATAGGTCTAGTATGCTACTGCTTCCTCTTACCTCCTAAGTAATTAGTCTCTTTAGGGTAACAATTTCTATTCCTTCCCTCTCTAATATGTTAATTAGTCTTCCTGCTAGGAAGTAGTAAGCTAGGGTAAAGTCTAAGCCCTAGAGGGGGTAGTAGAGGTTGAAATCCCTAAGTAGGATTTAGTAGGTATTCCCCTAGATAACTCTAGGTAGTCTTTCTAAGGTTTTTAGTTAGGTACTGCTTCTTAAGTCTAGTAGTAGGTTGTATATATAGTAGACTTAGAGTGTACCTTAGGATGTCTCTACTTAAACTAATATTAGGTCCCTATCCTCCTATAGTATAGCCTGCTAGGTTTCTATATCTATCTCCTTGCTAATATAGATATATATCCTTAGGGCTCCCTAGTTATAGATAATTAGGTAGTATCTTAAGTCTTTAACTGTTGCTAGTCTCTTTATATATAGGTTGAGCTAGGGCTCTTAGATTGCAATAATATAATGTTCTTTTAGGTTTAGTGCTTGAAGGAAGCTCCTCTATACCTTGTCTTTACTCTTATTAACATTGTACTATATAATGTTCAGTAATATTGCAATGTTTATTAGGTTTTATCTATATTATTTCCCTATAAGTTTTCCTTTAGTCTTCCCTTACTTTAGACTAACATTTGACTAAGCTTTATCTACCCTACTTCCTTTCCTATAATATTAAGGTATCTTAGTCTCCCTAGTTGCTAGTGACTCTCTTATGCTAGTAAGGCCCTAAATATGAACCTATTATCCTGTCTAGACCTCTTTTATAGCACTTAGCTAGGTTGCTTCTATACCTAGCTGCCCTAGCTTATTATATATCTTTTTAGTGTGTTGATTCTAGCTTCCTTTGCCTTCCTAGCTACCTATATTCTTACTAGGTATTCCTTCGCCTAAGAGGGGTGTCTTTTAGTGCAGTATGTATATCTTGCTTCTCCCTTGTATACTTTGTATTCTTTGACCTAGTAATCCCCTATATAATAGGAGTAGGTATTAGTTGTCTTTATATACTTAGCTACTAAGTGTCTATAGTGTTGACATTTGAAGCACTGCATTATCCTATAGTTGCTTCTATATATCTCTGTTTCTAATCTTTTAAAGTCCTAGAACAACCCCTAGTCTAGTACTATATTAGCTTGCTCTATACTCCCTACCTAGATAATTAGGGAAGACTGTTTCTTAGTCTCTTCGATTTTCCTTTTGATCTATACTACTTTTGTGATCTTTAGGCCTAGGTATATAGCTTGGTTTTGTCTCTATAGGCTCTTAATATCCTGTTCTTCCTTAAAGCTTCTTATTATACTATAGGCTATAATTATAAATTGCTATTAGGAGACCTTTGCTGTTTTCCCTATCTTAGTTGTCTATTCTTTTTATATTTCTAGCTTCTTTTTATCCTACTCTTATACTATAAACAGCTTAATTACCC